ACATTTCCGGTTGCTGACCTCGCGTGTTGTTAAAAGGCGATAGGACAAACTGATGATGTGACGCGAAAGATGGGACTCGCCACATGCGCGCACAGGTCATCCATAAGTCCTTCCTCCGTGTCCACAGGTTGGAGCGTTTCCATTACCTGGACTACCTCAACTTCCCCAAGAAGACCGAGAACCAGTGCGTTTCCTTTATGAACGCACAGTTCGGTGAGACTTTGGGGCTGACTAAATGTAAATCCAGATCCAGCACCGCATCGTTTCATTGACTATTGTGCCCGCCGGCTAATGGTACTGACATCCGTGCATGTGATGATGATAGATACAACTCATGGACCACCCCTTCACTTTCTGCTTGCAGGCGGCATGTGCACCATTAACAATGGCCTCTTCCCGGACTATGTGACGTACGTGGAGCAAGGCACCAACCAGATTTGGAACCTACGAGACACCACCTTCCACCCCCTCCACTTGCACGAGTCACCCTTCCGCCTAAACAGCTTACCTGCGTGTACCACTAGCGTAACCAACAACTGGCAGGTACGATGCAACGGTTGGACACGGCGGCCTTATACATGCATGGGGAGGGAAGGGGGGGGTAAACAAGTTATTGCAGCGGACGTTTCCGTTGCCTGCACAACGGAAATTAGATTATTATCCAAACCTCCGTGTATTTACCCGTGCATACACCCCCTGTGGCCTGTGCTACTGCTGTATGCAGGTTGGCGACTGGCTGGATACGCTGCTCCTTCCCACCTGCCAGACGGGTTGTGCCTGGCCTGATCCAGCTAGTGGCATCGACGGCAGCATGTGCGGCTCCAACGTCACCATCTGCGACGAGGCCACGGTGCAGTTCCTGGCAACCGACTACAGGGGCACTCCTGCGAATCCTATGTGCAATGAAGGGCAGTATGCCTCGTCACCGTCACCGTCACCGCCGCCTCCATCTCCATCACCACCTTCTCCGCAGCCTTCGTCGTCTCTTCCGTGCCAGCAGCGCGTGAGTGTGTACCACTGCCACATCCTGAGCCACGAAGACGAGGGATGCATGTCAGTGCTAGTGTGGTACTGCCCGGACAACCCGCCACCAACAATGCCCAACCCGCATCTCGCTACGTGCCCTACAAGCTACCCGCCTTGCGCCGCCTAAGCAAGGCTAACCGAAAGGCAACGCGCACAAGATTGTGGACAGAAAGCGGGAAGATCATCATGCGGGAGGGCCGGGCAGGAAGGTGATAGGAATTGTCGGTGGATACGGGCATGACAACGACGGGGCCGCCTTGCCCAGTGCCCAAATGTAAAGTCCTTACTTGCTTGTGGATATTTTATATTAAGTTTTGGGTAGAGGTTGCTTTCTGTAAATTTATTTGTGGTATGTACGGATAAGGTCTTAGCAAGTAAAGAAGGCTGCTGGCGATTGCTTTTTTTATACTACACCCGATCTAGCAAAGCAACGGTCAATGGTCAGGTCGTCCGCATGCAAGGTCCATGCATGGATATTTATTATATTTACTAGCGTGCAGGGGACCACATGACCATTCATCGCCATAGGGCTTGCTTCGTATCTGCTCCAGCTTTACCGTGCTTCAGCATGGATTCGTGTTTAAGGCTACGCCGGCGTTTGTTTTTGTATCTCGTTGCTTGCTGCTTTGGAGGCTTGCTGGGGACGCAGGCGCACTATTGGTAGTGATTAAGTTTACTTGGCGCCGGTACAATATGTCACGCAAATTGTATATGCATGACTGCCGTGCTATCGCCCACTGCATTGCTGTGCTGCTGCTCAATTTATGCTCGACAATCTACTTGCTTGCACTCAGAAGTTGGTCTGTACATACTGATACCTTGTAACTAACTGTGATTGCTCATCGTAACACGAACCTTCAGCGAGCCTTACCAGACCGACTCGGTCTACTGCTCTTGTACGTGGTTGGCACCCGTGCGTGGAGATGCAAATTCATGCATTTCTTTGCTCATAATGTGCGACTACGTACGTGGGCATGAGCATGCCGACCATATCGTCCTGCACCGTAATGGAAGTTCCTTGACAGCATATGTCCGTCCTTAAAAGCGAGGTCAACATGGTTGCATTTGGAGGGCTGTATGACTTCCGCATTGGTACCGTAGTCGTGCAACATCATCGCCCAAATTTAATAATTATCTGGACAGGTGGGGGGTAGTACCTGCAAAAATAGACCCCAAGATCCAAATTAAAGGAGCTTGGCGTGGGGATTCCGAATCCGCTTTCAGAATTCTGTTTGGAGTTATAATGAAAAAATTATGGGCTTGCAAAGTTGGTCGTACGGCAGGGGTGGGTGGGTGGGTCCGGAGCCTCAACGACTTTTTTTAGATGAAACGCCGGAACGTTTTTGCCAGGCCTCTGGTGAGAGTTCTAAAAGCTGTATTGTATTCTTTTCTTCATCTCCTATGTATGGAACTAGTTACAGCAACAAAAGGTACATTTTTCAGCTTCTCATGGGTCCGATGACGCTTCAGGTCTGAACTACAATAGCCCAAATGGAACCGCCTGATTCCCAATTTGCCCTAACATATAAGAAGCACCGTTTAGAGAAAGAAGCAGATGCGGAGGTCGCGAACGCGTCTAATTGTGTGCACCGCATGTGCATCGTATCACGAAGGTCATGTGGAGCGTGTGGTACAACTACCCGGATCATCTGCAGCACGCCCACCCCGATGAACAGCTGGCGGGGCTGCACGCAGTTATCAGGGAGAAGTTCCACTCAGTTCGTAAGCGCGACAAGTTGTGTCACATGGCTGAGGGTCGCATTGCAGCACTCAAGAGCAGCAACGGCTACAAAGGGGATATTTCGCGGGTTCGGGGGAGGGTGCTTCAGCACGGCACCGACGAAAGCACCGGGTGTAGTAGCAGCAGCAGACGAGGGAATGGAGTGAGGGATGCAAGATGACGTGGATGTGGGAAGTGGCGCCGTGGGTAGTGGTGCAAGGCGTGGCGTGGCAGGGGGAAGAGGAGGCAGGGGCCGGGGTCGGGGACGTGGCGGGGGTAGTTTTCTGCCCGTCTCCCAACGGGGTTCTGGGTATTTGTTTAGCACTAAATAGAGCTTAAGCAGAGGAGTCTAGCAGCCTTTTTCCCGGGCGTTTTGGCGAAGTTTACACATTGTACGACATGCTTGCCGTACGGCAGGGGTGGGTGGGTTGTCCCGGGACCTACCCTTTCAAAAATTCAGCATGGGGTTTATATATAAATTTCTTAACCCCCCCCCCTGATCTGGATCTGAAAATAAGGGATGCGCGAATTCAGAAGCTTATCCAATCTTGACCTGCGCGAGATTATTGAAACCCAAAGGCGGCCCTACACTCCACCCCAATACGCCCCAACCCTATTCCAAGCCCAGCCCATGGCTGCGTGCTAGTACACCCAATGCCATCGGTGTAGGTATAGCTCTCTTGGCAATCTGGGCCTACAATGTAGGGCTTTTACAACCTAAAAGCAGGAAAGATATTGGCGAAACCAGTTTAATTCAGGGAGAGCCGTGCGCGAACCTGAAAATAATTTCAAGAAGGAGGGGTGCGCGGTGATCAAAAGAAGCAACGGTACCTGCCCGAAAAGGCGGTGCAAGTTTTGGGCGAAGCCCCCGCCGTGAAACGGACTGTCCTTGCGGCGGGTTTTCACGACAAGAATGACATCCGACCTTCATGAAGACAGTTAGCGGTACTACTTACATCATAAGAAAGCTGTTTAAACAGTGTCGTACACGAAATTCCCATTTTTGGCTGCTTTTGGGTGGTCAAGGGTGGTTCGCCGGACTTTTTGCTCTTACTTGTCAAATATTTGTCAAAATTATTTTTTCTTCTCACCCCTCCTGCCGCAACAAACGATTTCTTGGCCAGCCATTGAGAAGCACCACCGCGGCCACACCGAACCGCTCCTCTATAACGTTTACTTGCACGAATTCCTGCAGCAAACAAACCCTACCATTTCCTTCGGTTGGGAGGGACTGCCTATCTAGGCCATCGACTCCGCGATGGGCTGAAACATGCCGTAGTATAGCATATAAGAAATGGTTTCCGCAACCAAGAGTAGCAATTGCGGAAACCGTGGTTTCCTGTGTTCGGAGAGCAGAGCGAGATGGGTTGTCGCATGGTCAACTGTCGGTCGACTGTGTGATCAGCGCCTTAGGGAAAGCGGCTGTGTGGCCAGGGGGGGGGGGTGTAAATTGTTTTTTGGTAGCTCCCATGATGAAGTTTTGGTGGCGACCCCTCCCGGACCCACCCACCCACCCTACAGAACTTCGAACGCCATTTTCTCATATAGCCGTACGCCAAAAAAATCCAAAAAAGACCAATGGATTCCTTTCAGTGTCCTCTTTCTATGTATACAACTTGTTGAGCTTTTGCACCTACTAAGTCATGCCATGGTCGCGCCATGCCATGGTCACGCCATCCAACCCTATAGACAGCAGCGGGTGCACCGTTGTACACTAGCCTCCTACACGCGCACTACTGCGTCAATTACCAGCAAGGATTAGCAGGGCTCAGACAACATGCAGCGGCTGGCACAGGTGACGCAGCTGCTGCCGAGAGACCTGCCCCGTTCTACTCCCCTCAACCCCACCCCAGAGATGCAGCACATAGGGGAGCCGTGTCACATGGTTAACTTCCCTGCCCCCTTCTGCTTGGCTGGGCAGACCACCTGCGGGTGATTCCCCCCTAAGTGGAGGCACCCGGACCCGCACCCTGCCTGCCCCCCACCGACCAATACGTGTTTTGGTGTCTCTCTGACCACCCATGCGTGGTTATGTCATCATGCCATGCCCAAACCATATCAGGAAGAGGCAAAAATGCGTTTATAGACTGCTTACAGTATGTTTATCGTATAAATATACTTCATAGTGAGTTTGGCAACGCCAGGAAAAATTAGGAAGCCCTCGGAAAAATCCCACTGGACCCCCAGACCCCACCCACCCACCCTGCCGTACAGTCACCTGGGCGCAGATAACCTTTTCCGTACAACTCCAATTAAAATTCTCAAAGCAGATTTGGAATGCTCTCAATAAGCTCTTTAACTTTGAATCATGGGGTCTGTCCTCGCGTTTCCTACCCCCCCCCCTGGTGTGGCTCAGTATCTTCGCGAGTTTGTTAGTCAGATCTGATCTGAAACCACCGTGGCATGTCGAACCATACGAAGACCAAGAATTATATTTTTGTGCAGGACTGTGCCCTAAGTCTGTACTGCTGTACCTCGTGTATGCACCGAGGTCGCAAACAGCGTTAATGGACGAGTTTTCATATATGTGAGGCTACAAAAAACATACAATGGCGTCAGCTCAGCAAACACCTCACCCCATTCCCACAACCGCTTCCATACGGCTCAGCCCGCGAGTCTTTCCGATGCACCCCGCCGCCTTGACCGTATCCTTCCCTGTCTGTGTGTCCCCCCACATACGCACCACCACACCTGTTGTTCTAACGGTCTGCTCGTGCCACAACCCCACGTCGTCCACTACCAAAACCACCATACAGGCTTAGGATATTGTCCACCCTGCATACTTCATCCGATTCTTTGGTCCCCAGAACCATCTAGAGATGGAAGTGGGCACTGAGAGATCGAGGGCGATTTTTGTCGTTGAGCTCATGAGGCAAACTGTCAGGCACCTACTCTAACCCACCTGCGGTGCCAACACCGCCACGAGTGCGAACAACGCTGCGCCATCCTCCTTACGCCCTCCGCCTTTCCTCTTCTTCAAATCCCCACTCCTAAGAACAGCACTCGCCCAGTTACTTGACCGTCGCCACCCGTAACACTCAATAATACATCGCCTCCTCCTCACCGCCCACTTACTAACCCAGAAGCGTCTCTGGGAGTGGCGTGAGGTGCCAGGTACTCATAAGGCACTCGTAAGGGAGGCGATGATGGTAGTGGGGTTGGGATAGGGGTCAAAGCCATGCGTGCGAATTACGCATCCAGCCAGGTCACACGGTACGCGCGTATTTTGAACAAGGAATGAGTTCACGAATGGCTACGTGTCATGTGACATTAATTTTCAAGTGAGCGTAGCATTCAGGCCGCCACCGCCACCTCCATCTGCTCCACCCAACGCCGCCGCCGCTGCTGTTGCTGCCGCCGCCAACCGTGCCGCCATGCCTCCTTCCCCCAACCCACCTGCTCCTCCTGCTGCTCCCCCATCGAGCGCAAACCCGCCCCCTGCTCCTCCCGCTGCCGAAGAGGATGAGCCCAGCAGGAAGAGGCTCTCTATGGCTAGGCCAACCACCACTCCTAGCAAGGCACCAACCGCCACCTGCGTATGTTAGGGCAGTACGGCAAAGATAAACAATATGAGTGAATAGGAAAGAAAACAAGGCACAGTATACGTATTGACGACAACTCGATACGACAACCTGTCTCGCATCCTCACCCCAACAACTGCGTCAATCCCCACGCCTTCCAACCCCCGGCGTATGCTTGTGTGGCTCAGCTCGCTTCCGGCTTGTGAATGGACAAAGTTACTCTTGAAAACCTCCGATTCCAATGTCCTTGACCTATACTCCTTCAGGCAACACCCCCCCCCCCCCGACCCATATCCTATTTAATCTCTTTTCACAACTCCCAACACCCAAACCCCCCACTGTAAAAACATAAACCCATCCGAACCATGAAACCCCTTTGGTTATAATGCGGCCTCAGTTTATCCAGAGTAAGCCAACCCAAATCAAAAAGGCCAGCTATTCCCTTCAAGTCACTGTGCCACGCATCACTCCTCCGGTGGGTGTGCGGCTCCCCTCCCTTGCTCCCCTACTGTCATGGACCCTCGCCACATGCCCACACCCCACCACTGCAACTACAAGTCCCCATGCGCCCTCCGCTCGCTTGTGTAAAAGTATAGCCCTGTCCCTGCAGCAACCGACCCAAATCCCTCCACGACGGAGGTGCTCTCCTCCTGAGCCTTCCCGTCCACCCTTCACGACATCCAGCAAACTGTGTCTCCCCTTGCGCTCCTTCAACCTCCACCCACCCCCCGTACCAACCTACCTGCACCGGGGTGTGGCCTAGGCTGTCCCGAAGCCGACCCGAGTCCTGTGGGTGAGGTAGGGGGGTGGTTGTAGGTAGAGGGCAATGAGATAAAAGGACTCCCATCGGATAACGCTGCATTCCTAGGGCGAGGGACGGCATGAGGCAGTAGATAGGAGAGGTGTGGTGACGGGGGAAGGTGAGGTATAAAGAGATAAGGGAGTGAGGGATTGCTAGGAGAAGAAAGGACGACAGGAGGGGGAGGGCACTGAAGGTGCAGCGAGTGTTCTGACACTACGATTATTCATGGCATCCGGGGGCGTTGTGTGTTTCCCTTGTGCCCCTTGCCCTGGCATCCTCGAACTCCTCTTGCCTTACTTCCTGCAGTCCTCCCCACCTGTAAGTCTTGTTGGCCCACCCTTGCCGTCCAACCGTTTGCCCCTTCCTTAACCCCACCACGTCCTCCTACAAGCTATAACCCTATGTCCTCACCTGTACTGGGTGGTCGGGCGGCATTTCAGCTATGATGATGTTGAGGACGGTTGCTTGTCGTCCCGCGTGCAGTCGTACACCTGTACGGAAAGTGAAGGTGCGAGAAAAGTCAGCTGGGCTAACCGGAAAGCGTGCACTGCAACCTTCCAAATTAACTATGTGAGCTGCCCTCTGCTGCGGTGCATGGTAGCCGTCCCCTCCTACCCACCGGTTGCATCGTACATGACAATGAGCGAGATGACCAGGCACATTGCGAACAGCGAGCTGTTTGTACCGTCTTCTACCGCGATGGCCGTCGTTAGCGCGACTATGAGGGCTGTGTGGGATGAGGGCATGCCTCCGCTGCCCACAAGGCGCGTCCAGTCCCAGACCTACACGAGGGAAGGGGGTTTAAGGCTATTGCTCAGCCTAAGCGCTAACAAGACGTCAAGCGTAATGTACTTACCCGTTCATAATGATAGTGCGTAAACACTTTGGAAAGCTGGGCTATGGCGAACGCTACGACCGCAGATATTAGGACACCGTTGACAAATAACCCGACGATCCAGCTATGTTGCCCACGTTCCGCGGAAAATGCTGATAAACTCGCGTCCAGCAGCTTCCGCATCGCAGGGTGAGCCATTCTCAGGCTTTATCTTGCCGAGAAAGTAACCCTACTTTTAAGCGCTATTGCAACGCAAAGGGTACGCATAAGCGACCATCAGGAATGCCAAGGCTTACTATCAAAGCTATTTGTGAGCGTGCCGCTTCAGCTTCGTCCCTGTTCCTAGTGTTATGTAGGTGAATGCGCACTTTTGCACGTTAGCCTTAAGTAGCAAAAAAACAACCGAGTATATATGAATGAAACTACTACAAGTACAGCCGCATGGCTTTCCCCGTGGGTCCTACCATGTCCGGCAAGATTCCGACGCTGACGCCGTCCATGCAAAAATTACGCCTCTGCGCAAAGGCACTTAAGCAAAAATGAAAGGCTAAACATGGCTACAACTAAATCATCACTCCCTAACTGAACGAAACTGCCATAGCCTTATTCGCCCCATCCATCTAGACAACGTCGGCTGTGCCCAGCCTCAGCGCCACCTACCATGTTACACAATTACATGTATCCGACACGACTTACAAGTCGCGCACCTCAGCATAACAAACACTGACAAAACGTAGCGGCCACACCAACGCGTCACCAGGAGCAATACGCGTACCTGACCCAGATGGACGAGGAAGCACATTGGTAACGCAACCTCCACTTCTAACAATGGCCCCGGGGCAGGCCCCGCCCCTTATCCAGGAGGCTCCATGGGTCGTTGGGTGCCAGTAAATTCCTTGCGTTCGTCACTAGGCACATCCACATTAACGCATCATGCCTCCGCATGGGAAATGCGCCTGTATCTAGAGGCACATGGCGCCATGCCTGCACGCCAGTGTCGGTGCGTCAGTCCTGCAGTTTAATAAGAAAAACACGTGCCCGCCGCCCGCCTGCTTGTTTTTCACCTATGGCTAGGATGTCGATTATAAGCCGTGCTTGGTTCCCCAAGTTCCATGGACCCTCCACATATTTCAGGGCAGCAGTATCGTTGCTCTCGTAACCCTCATCCTGCCACTTAGTCTGCTGCACTATAACGCATTGTCGGTTTGGCTCCAAATCTACATGCTAAAGAAGCATATCCCCATGTCTGCGCCTGCCTGACTGCACGCTCGCCTTCCAGCCTCCAAATGCTGGACAAATCCCTTCCTTCTCCACCTGCCGTCTAATCTTCCTCCTCTCCACCTCAGCTGCTGCTCACGGCAATCTCACACAGCGGTGCTGCCTCCGCCAGTGCCGCTGCGGTGCCCCACCTGCTCCAGCGCCACCACTGGCCCTGGGACACGCTTAGCGCTGCCAGGCGGCGCAGGGGCTGCGGAGTAAGGGGGATGTGGAATGGGAGGAAGGCGGGGTGTAGGGGGTGAAAAAGGGGGGTTAAATGAGTAAAAATGAAGCACTTAAGGGGTAGAGAGGGAATGGGATGGTGGGCTGTTGCGTTTCTTGAGCGTCTAGCGACTCGACCCTTGATGCGCTCAGGGCGGCCGAGTGGCTAAAGGGCCAGCCACTCACCCTCAGCACCGCGGGATGCAGGTGGTGTGCGTCCAGTCCATCCCCCGCCAGCCACTTGAGGCGGCGCAGGCGGGTGAGGGAGCTGCACACGGCTAGACCCGCAGAGTCCAGGTGGGGGGACTCCTGTGGGAAGGGTGGCGGGTTGCATGCGGGGGGTGCCAGGGCAAGGGTAAGTGAGGACACAAACCAGCTGGGGGAAGCGAGTCGGGGCTAGGTGATATAAGGAGGTGAGGTGAGGTAAGGGGCTGCAGGTGATAGTAGGATGCTGGGGAATGCACGAATGCCCACCTCACGGAAAGGATCTCATCCCCTTGGCTGAATCATTCTTGCCCTTACCCCACCACCACTCACCAGCGCCCCCACTGCCAGGTTGGTAAGGCCCGTGAGCGCACCCAGGTCCGCCACATCCTGACGTCCGAAGCCAGACACGTCGTACACTTCTAATGAAGTGAGGCACGGCAGTTGGGAGGGACCCAGAGCTTCCTGCGAAGATGAAGGAAGGGTTGGAGGCCGGGGGTGGTGTTACCATCTGTGGTCTTATTTTTTATAAGGTCATATAGTTTGCGCAAGGTCAGGTACGGCAGTTGGACCGGTCCTGCAGTCGTCTGTTACGTATCCACAAGTACCTGCACCACCTCCCCCCACCCGAACACCCACTCTCACAGAACATGATACGACATGGGTATCGCCTTGCGTGCCTAGAGGAGCCGTGTCACATTGGTGCGTTCTCTCTTTTAACCCCATACACACACCGCGTCTAACCATTCACCTTCAGATGTCCGCAGCATCCGAACCTGCAGCGGTGCAACCTCAGCCGCTGCAACCCACCCAGCCGCGCAGCATGCGGATCCGCCACGACAGCTTCCGCCCCTCCTCCGTCTTCGCTGCCGGCATCCTTCCACTGCTCCTCCTTCCCCTTCCCCTCGCACTCCCTCCCCTGCCTCCTCGCCTCCTCCCGCGGACAGGGCAGGTGCAAGCCGGCGAGCTCCAGGGAGGTTAGTCCGGTGGGCAGCCAGTGGGCACGGAGGGAAGAGCCGTCGTGGCAGGGAGTGCCCTGTGTATTGGGAGTTGGTAGTGGTGTTGGTGTAGGGGGTAAAGGGGCGGGGGAAGGAGGTACCGCAAGCGACTAGAGCTTGGGGTTACCTAGGCCGCACGGTAGGGTTAAGGGTGCATTGGAGGGAATGGGGCTTTGCGTGTGCATGGGGAGTATGCAAGTACATGCGAGGGTACGCTTGGGAAACGCACTAATGTTGGGGCTTGCAATTGTACGGCAATCTCACCTGTACGGCAACCCGGAGCTTCCGCAGTGATGTCAGGCCCGCCAAGCCACGTAAGGCCCCGCTGAGGCCCAGGCAATAGGCGTTGACGTTGACTAGGTGCAGTACGCGTAGGCGGTGTTTGGGGCTGGATGAGGGAGATGGTGACCCGTGGGTCAGCAGGCACCTGAACGGAGCGCCCAAATCGACAGGAAAAGGTAACAGGGTTAAGCCTCCTATACCTAGGGAACAAGTGATGGTTGAACGGCTAGTCAAGGCGGCGACCCATGGGCCAGCCAGTTCCATTAGTCTCGCACGCCGCACAATCTTCGTACGACAAAACATGTTTTACCTGTGCACACCGACACTCACCGCGTCAGGTTGTCGTACACCTCCTTGCCGGGTCCCCCTAAATCCGCCCTCAGCACCTCCAGCTGCCGTACCAGGAACGGCCCCTCCAGCAGCTCCCCCAGCGCCCGACTGACCCCTTCCTCTGCTGTAGCCGCTGGCTGCTCTTCTTGCCCGTCGTTACGTCCTGTTCCTGCTGCTGCCTCTTCCGGATCAGCTTCCGGTGTCCAGGCGTCAAAGGAGAGCTCCGTGAGGGAGGTGAGGCCGGTCAGGGCAGCCAGGGAGGAGGGAGTGACGGTACAGGACCTGATACGGTGGCAAAGAGATAGATAGTAAACAAGTGAACGAACATGACCAGTGGATTAGCGGTGCACTATGCTACAGAGACGCTAGCAAGGCGCTAGACTGTTCCATGCAGCTGCCCCCTTCAACTGCCTGCCCACCTGAGGTGCAGCGCCTTCAGGCAGCCCGGCAGCGCCCGGGTCAGGAGCGGCACATCAGCCGCCAGCGCCCTGCCCTCCAACCGCAACTCGCAGGCATGCAGCTGCCGCCACAAGGGCAGATCCTACGGTTAGAAAATGAAGGGTTGGAAGCTAGTTGCACGCGGGTTCGTCACGGCTTGACACATACCTAACCGAACCTGCACCACTCGGCGTACGACGACGTTCCCGATTGCGTGTCATATGCACATGTACCCTGGTTTAATACCGGGTACTACTACGTGGCTCAGTAACCTTAACAAACATACCTTGGTGACCTCGTACAGGCTCTTCTCTCCCTCCTCCCCGACCGTCAATGAGAGCTTCCGCAGCTGCGGTAGACTGCGTAACAGCGACCGAGCGATTCGGTAGCTGACCTGTTGAGAGTGCATAGAATGGGACGATGGGTGATAGGACTAGCTGCGCCAGTGCCGCTCTTCAGCCTCCCCCTACCCTCCATCCTCTTGCCCCTTAATGTACCGTATCCACCTCCCAGGAATCATCCCAGCCCAGGCGGCTCCCAATCCCACCTCACAGCACCCGCCAGAACCCCCTCCAAACCTTGGCGCCAGCCAGCCGCAGCTCGGTCAGCTGTGTCAGAGCCGCTACCGCCGCCCTCCGTCGTTCGACCGCCTTCGCCCTCCACTGCCGCCGCCACCGTTCCTCCTCCGCCTCCTCATCTTCCTCGTCCACAATCACCACGTCTTCCTCCTCGTCGTCTGTCGGCTTCTCCTCCTCTCCCTGCCGCTCTTTCGCTGCTGCTGCTGCTCCCGTCTCCTTCGCCTCACCACCACCGCCTCCGCTCCCATCCTCTTCCTCCTCCTCCTCGCTTTCGTCCTCATCCTCATCCTCCTCGGGTGCCGCTATGCTTAGTGCCAGCCGGCGAAGTGAGGTAAGGCGGCTAAGGTCGCGGAGGGCCGAGGGACGCAGCGCCAGTCGTGATGCCGAGTCGCTGCCGGCGGGGGGAGCATCGGGGTCCTGTTGGGGTGGTTCGTAACCATGAGGGCAATGGTGTGGGCGGGCCGGGGTAGTGTCAGCAGGGGTTAGGTATGAGCGGTAGGATGCTGTTAGTTCATGTAGAATTTACGCACCCTTTCCGTACTTACCCCTAGTAGTGGCCCAACCACTAGGGAGGTGAGGCCGGTGCAGTTGTCCGCCAGGCTCTCTAGCAGGTCCGCTTGAGGGGCGCGACCGTGCAGGGTGAGGGACTGCAAACCCTGGAGGGTAAAAGGGCGAGACAGGGAGGGGTTGGGAAAGGCTGCAACAAAACATAGGCAGCATGGCTACACGAGTAAGTCAATATTATGGGTTTCGTGCAATACGGTTTGGCTGTGGGGTCCGTCGAGCGAGGCATTGGCATGGCCGTACCTTCAGACCGGTTACGGCGATAGGCCAGAAGGGCATGTCCGATGGCCAGGTTGTATAGTGCGATCCCGTTGGCGAGGTGGTTGTAAAGGTGAGGTGCTTGATACGGCTGTTTAAGCGCGCATCATCACCTATGCCCATAGTAACGGAGATCAGCTGGATGGGGGCCACCCGCTCGCTGACGAAGAAGTGTAAGGAATCCAGGGAAGGAAGAAGCGCTGGTAAAGCTTCTATCCTTGCTGGAAGGCCTTGCTGCGGGTTGATGTGCGGTCCACGGAGGTGGCAGATTTCCTCATGTCTGCGCTCTACACAGGTTTAGACAATGGCACCGTGAAGGAATGGGGAATGAGTTGTCGCTATATAACACAGCGCTTCTCTTCAACGGGATTTGTTGCGTATCGCGTGGAGCGTTTAGCGCATTACTGCCGTCATTGGCAAACGTCCCGTGCCCCACTTACGGGCAGTCAGGCCCATAGCCCATTCCTTGCAGACTAGCCGAGCTGTTAGAAACTCATCTTGTGAAAGGTGCTCTGCTAGGTGCAGCACTAGCACCTACGAAGCGACGGTTACACGCAAACCGAGCGCGAGAATGTTAGCCGGCGTGTACAACTAACGGGGTTAAAGTGCGATCGAAGGGCAGGCAGGAGTTACCTGCACCACCTGCTGGAGAGGCAGCTCCGCTCCAGCGCTGTCATCGAATGTCCCGCCATCAGCTACCGACGGTCCCGCAGGCGTAGCAGGCACAGTACTAGTGCTGCTACGCCGTCCCCTCTTTGTTGCTCCCCGCATGCGGCCTGGCCTTGCGGTTTTGTTGTTATCGCGGCTGTCACTGCCTATTGTCACGGTAGCTAAGCCAGCAACGTGAGGAAGAAGCGGGCTTCGTGCAAGTTTGTGCTAACACAATGTCCTGCCATTTGCTTGTCCTGGTGGATAAATGCCTGTTGCATGTCTACCGGCGTTCCGCGTTCGGCTTGAAAAGTTTGATCCGGGGCGTACGACCTTGGCCCCAGGAGAGAGCACCCAGGACGCCCGGCATATCCCTATTAGCGCGATCACTTCATAAGCATATGAATGTGGCAAAGTCAAGTAATTTTCTTAGAAGGCTGTTGGTGCGAGTGATACTTCCTGCGTAAGCATAAGCCTCCGTTTGCCCTCTTTGACACTAGAAGACCCTGCAAAACCTAATTTACAGCCAGCGCTATATTCACACCCTAGTCACTTGTTATATTGGCATCGTTTTCGGCATACCAGCATGGCGGTCGGCGCAGCATGTTCAGGCACACACAGGCAAGTCTCTTGCGCACGACCCATTACGTCAGCGATTGAAGCTAGGTCATGTATGCACTGCTGATCTGCCGACCCGCAGTGCACTCGTGTGAGCGTTTCCATGAAAGCCGTGCGTTTCGCCGCCCGTATCCTTACTGCGAAGCTCAGTTACCTAATTTCATACCTCCCCCTGACATTTAACTTACATGCTTATAGATGGCGCGCTTTGGGGCGCGCTGCGAATTACCTATGTCCGCTGCATCAGAAGGGGCTGCAATCCCCTTTGGCACTGCGTTGCCCTCTTCGCCGCGACATTCTGGCTATCAGCCGTCCAGTACCGTTCCCTACTGTCAATGAAGCCCCCAGCGCCCAAGCAAACGCGGCATCCACGATTGTGACGTCCAATACCCAAGCCAATCCGCAGACCCCTTCGTTCACGATCCCCTTCCCACCGTCATCAGCGTCCCCCAAACCTCCACGGCGCTCCTTGATACCGATTGCAGCTTTCGCCGCACTAGGCGCCGCTGGAGTAATCATCGCAGCTATCAGCCTCTTCTCTCTAGGCATTTCCTCCGCTGTCACTGCCACTGCTGCAACCTCAGGCCATACGGCCTCAGCATTATCAGCCCTTCCCCTCCTCGCCTCCGTCACCGCCTCCCTGCTCTCCTCCCTGTTCAAAGTTCCTACCTTGTCCATGGCCGCTGCGCCACTGGCCTCGACCACCGCAACCGCTGCAAGTAACACTGCAGCCGCGAACCACCATACAACCGCCAACCTCCTCATTACCCTGGCCAGTGCCCTCCCACATTTGGGTCTCTTCCTGCTGTGCCTCTCCGCGTCGGCATTCCTGCTTGCGTGTCTACCGGGCCTTGCGGCGCTCGCTCGTACCGCTGTACGAGCCGAGCGGTTGTTGGCGGCGGTTGAGGCGGAGCTACCGGATACGGTTGCAGCGCTGCGGATCACCGGTCTGGAAGTCACGGACTGCATTCAGGTGGGTAGTCCAGGAGGGCGTCCGTGGGGGCTGCCTCACCACGTGTAGCACGCGGTTCAATCGGACAACCGGATCTGGGCTGGTTGCAATTGCAGGTTCATGTCCTGGGTTGACTTGGTTGTCGTACAAAACATGCTTAGCGGTTAGGAACTCCAGTTCCCATCCATCCCTCTTTTCCCCAACCTTTCCAGGAGTTGGGCGCCCTAGGCGGCGAGTTGACGCGTGGGGTGCGGTCGACGGCAGCGCTTGCGGTGGCGGCGGAGGCGGGTGTACGACAAGGCGTGGCGGTGGCGGAGGCGGGTGTACGGCAGGGGGTGGCGACTGCGGCGAAGGTGGAGAAGGAGGCGAGGGGTGAGTCTTGTATCGCGGTGTCTCGTGTGATGTTGGGCGGGGATGAAAGAGACAAGCCACATATTACGGGCAAACGCGGAATGAAGGTAAGGCATGTGTGGATCTTCCGCAGGTGGGCTACGCATGCAGGCATGCTGCGACGTCACGTCCCAACGTGCCTTAGCGTCCTTTTGCGCCCGCCGCCGGTCATCTCCACCGCAAGCCCCAATGGCTTTCGCTCCTTCTCCAACTCCGGTCTTGTCACATGTTTCACCCTTCCCCCTCTACCCCCGCCCACTGTCAGGCGCCGTGGAGGGCCACCTGGCGTCCACCGCCCAGCTGTCGTACAGCGCTCCCCTGGTGGCCCAGGCGGCCGCCGCCACCCGCACCGCCGCCAGGAAGCTGCGCACGGGGCTGGCGGTGGGGCAGCTGGCGGGGGCGGTGGTGCAGGTGGGCTGGCTGAGGACTGGGGAGGCTGGCAGGGGGTAGTGGCGGCGGTGGTGGTGGCTGTGGTGCACAGGGCAACCTGAGCGCTGCGCAAGCCTCATTGTGGCTCCACAGCTGAGTGGGTTTCCGCTGTTTGTGCTCCCATTCCCTCGCGTTGGGTGTTGTTCCACTTCTCCGTCATTTCTTCCTTGCGCGCTGCAGGCGGGTCGGTCGGCTAGGGACGCGCTTGTACGGCAGCAACAGTTGGACGAGCAACAAAGGCTGCTTGCTGTACGGCAGGAACAATTGCCGGGACACCAGCAACAGCAGCAACAGGAGGCAGCACTGTTGCAACGGCAATTAGAGGCTCTGCAAGAGAAGCAACGCAGGCAACAGCAACAGCTGTTGGCTACACAAAAACAGCAGCAGCAGCGGAATAAGTAATGTGAGAGAGGAGGAGCGCGCCAGGGCAGCATGTTAACGGCGGGAGATGTTATGCCTTATGAGCGGCACGTTTTTTGTGGTATCTAGTGTTGGCTGGTTAACTAGCTAGCTAGGATGGCAGGCGACGTGAACTTGAACTACATTCGCTGCACAGACAATGCAACCTTGCTGGTACTTAACGCGGTAGGGTCCTTCAACGTGGGATACGTGTACGACATGTGAGGTGTTGTACGACATGTAGGATGTGTGGGGATCTGTTTTACCTGCGCATATCGGTATATCGACCGACGAACGACAGCCCTGTGGGTTGTGCTGCATTAACTGTGGGATGGAGCCAGATGGAGCTGGATGTGTTATTGTATGCTTGGATGGGAGGGACTATACCGCGCTGTGTGCTCGAGATGAGACTAAAGTGATCCCTAATGCTCATCCCTGTCAGTTCATGATACTTTACAGCAGGAGAGCCGAACTATGGCCAGTCCCCACATCCCAACAGCGCATACTGTTCGGAAGGTCGGTTGAATCCCCCACAGCGAAACGTGCACCCTGAGAACACCCCGGTATTGAAAGTGCACTAGTGGCCAGAAGGGCAGACAGTTGTACGCGTTGCATGTACGGCAGAGGGTAGCAGCGTACATCTAGTTGAGGCGGACACGCAAGTGCACTTGCTTGGCGCGTGCAGATTGTGGAGATACGGTACATAACTGTGTGTAAAGATCCTAGCAGCGGGCTTGTAGCTGAACCTGTCATCCACGGTTTGTGGGTCCGTCCAAGGCCTGGCTAGAGCCTAACCGTCATCGCACCGGGGTAATCGAATTGCTTGGCAGCAGGACAACGGCAAGTCATAAGTAGAAGTATTTTAATTCTGACGTTATTTTCCGGAAGTTTGCAACCTACACCAACCCCAAAGAGATCCATTGTTCTCTACACTACCTGGAACGAACAGGGCTCGGTGCCACAAGTGGCACCGAGAACCTTTCTCGACCCCGCAAGATCGCGTTTACCCTGGTAGCACCATTTTGGCTACCGTCCATTCGCAAAACAGCGCTTTAGCGCCGGGTCTCAAACGCCTACAACAGGTCGAGACCCACTTCGCCCGTGCAGGTACGCTCAGTAGACAGGCATGGACTTGTTGTTGGCAGAATGAGCGTGCCAGTGGAGGTCCAGTCGTCGAAACGTTGGGTGCTCAAAGGTTTCTGAGTCCCGTGGGTCGTCGCGCGCTGCCCTTTGCCCATTTGCTTTCGCTCCTTTCACCTTTTAGCCCTAGCTTGCTCTCAAGTCGCTCTGTAACTCTGATATCACCTCTTAGCGCACACATTCCCGCCTCTAAGCGTTCATTCGCGTGTACATTTCTTTGGAAACTCTGTAACAAACTCTGTATGTTTTTCGCTCCCGAACCCTCGGTGCGAGAGGACAGCAGCAGGACGTACTCATCTGCCTTCACTGGTTCCTCGCTCTGCACCGATACACGGATTCCTGGCACAGACAAGTCTACTAAGCGGCGTTGCCAAGCGACCTGCTGTTTGGCCTCATTGTGCGACCCCAATAGATGAAACACGCGAGTCCGTCCAGATGGATCTAGGCATTCCCCTCGAAGGTGCTTTGCCTCCTGGTGTTTGGAACCTGCTGATGCAGATGGCAGCTGGTGCTGCGTCGCCCCCTGTGCCTGGGTTGCATGCAAACCCGGCGGCTCCCCCTGATGGTGTTGGAGCGCCTGGAGGTCGTACTGCTCTCCCTGTTGGAGGAGCAGGAGCACCCGGCGGGGCGGGGGGATCCCTGCTGCCCAGTGCAGCACCGTTGTTTGGTGTGGGTCAGCAACTGCATGCTGCCGTCCAACAGCCTGTCCCGGCAGCTGCCCTGGCAGTGCCAGTGGCTCCACCACCATTCGCTGCTGATACTCTTGCTGCCGCCGCTGCTTTCCTTGCTACACGTCTCCCGGGCACGGTCGTGCCGAATGCTGTCGCCGGCGGGGCAGCAATTACCCCTGTTGAGACTGAGGCCCCAGCAGGTCAGTCCGTGGCCCCAATTGGCTCAGGTTCTGACTCTGCCGCTGCCGCTGCTGCGGTCGTAGCTTCCTCAAGTGCTGCTGCTGCAGCCGCCCCACACCAGCCTGTAGTGCCCGTGAACGTGGTACCGCCTGATGTGCAGCAGACTAATCAGGTGGTAGCTTGGTTTGAACCGAAGATCCGCCTGCCGTACCTGCATGTCGTGGGTGGGAGGCCCGCCGAACCAGACCTTGTGCATGCGTTCATAACTGACGCACGCTTGTATTTTAGGGTAGCCGGCTGGGTGGACAACCCCACATTGCAGAAGCTGTTCCTGAGTGGGGCCCTTAGGGGGGAAGCTAAATCCTGGCACGCGACGTGGACGCGTGCCTACCCAAACTACACCGTGGAGGAGCTGTTCACAGCCCTCCTAGCCCGTTTCGCACCTGAGGTGCTGTCGCGCGGTGACCTCGCACTCCGACAGCTAGCCAGTGGGCAGTTCCAACAGGGGCTTTACGAGACCGTTGCGACGTTTGCAAGCCGCTTCCAGGCACTGGTCCAGGACCTGCCTGATATGCCTGAGGGCGGACGTTGCTTTCATTTCCAGATGGCCCTCCTACCCCACTTGCGCCAGGCAGTTGCCTTCCACCCGCTCACGTTAGCCCCACACACATCCTACGAGCAGCTACTTGCCCATGCACAAGCCGCAGAGCGCCAACACTTAGAAGATGTGATGACTCACGATGCGGCCCAGGCGAATGCCTCATGGGAAGACGCCCATGCTCCCGCACTGGAGTCAGCGGCTGCCACCCCTATCTACACTGCAGCCGGAGGCAACAGGGGCCGCGGCCGGGGCAAGGCTAACAGGGGCAATGGACGCAGCCGTCGGTGGCACAGTGGTGCCGGCCGCTGTCCAGGCAGTGGGGCGGGCAGGGGAAGCGGTGGCGCAGGACGTGGGGGAGCAATGGCTGGTCGCGGTGCGGGACATGGTAGTGCCGGTCGTGGGGGTGGTCGTGTTGGGCAGAACGGTTGCTACGGGGTAGGCAAGCGAGGCGGGGTCAAGAAGCAGTGAAGTAGTGAGGTCAGAAGGTAGCAGGTGTATCCTGCTGGCTTGTACTGTACTTGTTTTGTGGGGCTGAAGGCATGGACGTTTGGTTGAATCCCATGCCAGGCCAGGGCAGGTGTGCCAGTTGAACGTGTAATATCAGCGGCTTGACGTGTCCGTTGGGTGGATGTGGTCAGTTCAGATACGGTTACCGGTAGCTGTTGGACAGGAGAGGTGATGCCTTGGCTGGATGTTACGCATGTCTTTGGTACAGAGAGCAGCACGTACGCTCGGATAGGTAGCAGCTGTACCAGTAGCGATTCCAAGGGTTAGGCACATTGGCCGTATACACACGTATGACCAGTGTCGTGAACACACATATGGCATCACTACACTTCAGGAATAGTGTAACCGTAAACGTTTTGTGATTCGCATGCAAACTCCTGTACGGCAAGTTAGGACGGGGGCTCGCGGTCGCCGTAAGGTACATGAGAGATGCGAGAAAGCAAGGAGTTAGGTCAGGCCTCTCTCTAGCACCCCACGCTGCCCTATGGTCAATAAGTTACTAGTAGTCGTACCCCTCATTACAGCTAACACGTCAAAACACATCGTAACATTACGACAGACTTTAAGCATTACCAGGGAAGGTACAACCATAATCTTCCTTCCTCCAGTGACTGCCTCACAGGAAACAGCGTAATGCACGCGTTGCTCCTCACCTAATCCTTTGCGTCAGGAAAAAGTCACAATTGACGTATGAAGGACCGTGCTGCGTCATGCTGTGTCAAGTGACCTTTTATGTTACATTGCATTGCCTAAATCTTCTCAGTTAGTCGGTTAGTTGCTGGATGAGAGGGAGATGTCGTACCCTGCCGGTACGAACCAGGGCGAGAGCTCCACTCCTGACTCCACCAACTGCCGCGTCTTGGGCTCTGTCGCGGAGAGGAGCTGCGCATTGGGGGAGTTGCAATGACACGGGACGGAGAGGGCGAAGAGGAAGTGAGGGCCGGCGTAAACAGGGTACGCCTAAGATGCTGCAGTGTTACTAGCCCCCTATGGTAATGGCAAGTCAGGCGATGAGGAGATAGGAAGGGGCGTACATTGTGTGCGTGACATGAACACATAATGAGCGGCGGGTGTTGAGCAAGCGAATGAGAGTGAGTAGGGGCTTTGGCCCCGTCCCGGACAACGCACAGCTGCGTTGACAGTCCTGACAACTCAGATGTTAAGGATGTTAAGGACGGGCGTGTGTGTGGTGTGTGCGGGGGTTATATGTACGGTGGTTTCGTAACACCTACAGTGCGTATCTTCGTAGCCCAATGTGTGTTGGACGCCTCAGCAACGTGCGCCGTAACGACCCCGCCGGCAGCCAGCCCCCCAGCCCAACCCCCAGGCCAACGACCAACTACCCCACCTGCTGGTGCAGTCGGCCGTTGCTAGCCAGCATGGAACGCTCGAAGACGGAGAAGGGCCGCCCGTCCATGGTGGTCACCAGTGCACCCGCCTCCTGCGGGGTGGGATGGGGTGGGGTTAACATGTCCTAATAAGGCTTAACGCCACAAGGAGGCCACATGGAGGCCTGGGTGCGGGGTTGGAGGTGTGCTTGCGAGGAAAAGGAAAGGTGGGGCTGGCGGGGCACCCACCTGCGCAATGATGACGCCCGCCGCCATGTCCCAGGGCTTCAGCCGGTACTCCCAGTAGCCGTCAACCAGGCCTGCGGGCGTTGGGCGGGTGTGCCAGTCAACAGTTATAACCCACTGTTACAGGCAATGTCGGGTGGAGGAGGTGGAACATAAAAAAGATGGACGGAAAGGGGGTAACAATCTAACAAAGAGCTTGTCGGGTAGCAGGGAAGTGCTATGTGGCTCTAGTCCAGCACCGTTATAACTTTGCAGGGTTCGTTGCCGTAGCCGTTGTTGCAGCACTGCTTCCAAACTTCGCACGTGGCGCCACCCTGGAATCCACCGACCCATGGGTCACCCACCCATGGACAGGTGGCACAGGTCCACCGCCGCCGCCCCCAGCCGCCTCACGCCCTGACTGATGTCCGTCCAGTGCCGGAAGAGCTCCATGTTGGCGGCCCAAGCCTCGTCATGCTCGTAACCGAATCCGGTAACCAACAGCGACCGCCGTACATCGGAAACCTGCCCAACGGTTGCCATAACGCTTGGTTGCTTGGGAGGGTTTAAGTGTCTGGAGCCGGAAACGTGGAAAGCGACACACGCTATGCAGATACATGCAGACAAGCGCTGCTTATGTATGGGTTCGCTAGTTTTCCTCTTCTCACGAGGCCGTACCCACCTCGCTGACTCGTACGGGTTTACCGTTGCAGGTGGTTTGGCGCCCCTTGTGGGCCTCGTAGGTACGGGTGACCCAGGCGTGCGGGCCGCCTGCATAGAGGCAGGAAATGTACGGAAAAAACAGTAACACGTGCGAGTGACAGGATGTACAACTGACGGTTTGTCCAACACTGCAACTGAAGAGCACGACCGAAGATGGAGGTCGGAATCCCGCCCTTGGCAGAGGGCAGAAGGTCGCCCCAAACACTCAAACTCGCTTCCCCCGACGCCATCACATGGTAGGGCATGTGCCCCTTAACACCGGCCTGCACACAGTGTGATACAGATATCTTCATTCTTCCCCTTCCCACTGCCTACCCCAGAGCTCCACAGCAAGCCGGGACCCCCTCCGCCCCTGCCGTACCCACCCACCCACCTGCAAACTCCACCACCACCCCCGCCACGGGTGTCCCGCCGCGCACCACCCCCACACTGACTGCAAAGGCGGGGTAGCTGTGAGCGAAGTTGGTGGTACCGTCCAGAGGGTCGACACACCTGGGGGAGGGGTGACAGGGGGGGCGGGGAAGGGTATGGGGAGGGGCAGGGAAGGGAGGGCAGGCAGGGAGGGACCAGCTGTGTTGCCGCTCATTCCCTCGTCAAACCAATCCTAACCAAACCCTACCAACCACACTCCCACCCTCCATCCCCACTCTAAACCCCGCCCAGCCACCCACCACAGGTAGGGGCTGGCGGTGTTGCCGCTCACCCCGCCCTCCTCTCCCAGCAACGCGTGGTGCGGGAAGTGCCGGCGCAGCTCCTGGAGGTAAGATGGGGAGGAGCGAGGATAGCGAGACAGCGAGGCTGTTTCACGGAGTAATTTCTAGTAGTATTGAGGGAAGCATCAAGCGAACAACATGACATGGGACCCTAACAGTACAAGACAATGAGCGGGTGGAAGTGAAAGGAGGTGGAAGAGCCCTAGCCAGCATGTGCTTTGTCACAACAGCGTACACATATATTTCCTGATGCTCCAGGATCCATCACATGAGGCACATGGCACGCATGACACCCTCATCCCAGAGGCTGCTGCGCCAGGAAAATCCAGCCTGCTACGCCATTACTAAGACTCACCGCGAGTACCGCTTCCTCACTGGCCTTGTCGGTTTCAGTTACCAGGTCCGTTGCGCCTTTGAAGGTGATGGATCGGGGGCGATCCAAAGCCTCCCGTACGACCTGATGTGCACGGCATGGTATGGAGGAGGGGCTTCGTGTAATGACAGGTCTGGTATGGTAGAGCGGTGAAGCTAGCCGGTCGCAAGGAAGGTGGGTATTGCTGGAAGTTCAACATTGTGTTGATGAGCGTGTAACACGCAGAGGCGTCGAGAGCTTTTGCTTGTAGGGCTGACTACTACCGGTATATGCTTGCACCGACGTGTCAACATTTCAAGTCCACTTTGGCTTGCAGAGCCTAAATAACGGCAGCACGATAAGGACGTTTGAACAAATTTGTACATCCGCCCAATCCAGCGCAATCCTGGACGAACGTTACTACTGAACCATGGTACCGACCGCCGAATAGAACATCCAAAGCCACGATAAGGGGGCACATTGCATGCTACGCGCCCAAAGACGCACCTCCGCCCCCTTTTCGGCCGCAAGCTTTGCGACGTGCAGCAATTCGGAGAGCTCCACTGCATCCGCCGAGGTAACAGCCGTCCCCTTCGTGGCTGATTTGGCGACACTGTTTTGTTTGTTAAGAAAGCGAGCGTGTAATGTTGGAGCGGCACGTGCAGCTTTGGCTAGGCCGCGAGCAGCTACGCATCGTCGCGCACAAATCATCCTAGTGAGCGATTGGAATAGACTTTGCTGTCAGGGGATACAGCAACTTTACACTTGTTGCTTTGTCGTTTTCCAGCAAGCCAAGTAGATTGAGGATAAGGGTCACGACGTCTGATCAAGACCGCAGCTGAGCGATGCAATTTTCTCCTTCCAGCACTACATGTTCAATTTGCAAGAGAGAACCAGGCTTGGAAATTCGTCATGAGGGTTTCATGGTTTCGGAGGGACTACTGCCAACAGCTAGCATACCGGATTACCGGTAGCAGCGTGGTGGAGTCCCTTGGCGTTCTTGCAGCCTGGCAATACGCCAGCCATCATCTAGTCTAGGTACCATTCGCAGCGGAGTTACTGCGCCATGTTGCAGTAATGGTTGAGAGCGCTCTGCTACCGGCACATCAACAGCTTTACCTCAACCTCTCAGATCCACAACTCTAACCTCATCCGTCATGTCCCCAGCTGCATCCTGTCAGCGCCTGTCCTACCCCGGTACTCTTACTGCCCTCCTCACTGCTGCCGCTGCCTCCGCCATCCCCGGTAGCTGCAGCCTCACCGGCACAGACCCCCCGCCTGCTGCCTCTACGCTGCAACAACTGCTGCTGACACGGGGGTTGACGAGGAGGGCAGCTGCAGCCGCAACGGCACCGGCCCCTTCGGAGCCAGCCCCACATCCCCCAGCTGCCCGCATGCCGCCATCTGGTCGTCCCCCTTGCTGGCCCTCACAGTGCAGGGGCGGCCGGCGGCCAGGAACACGCCGCGGAAGGCGAACACGGCGGCAGGGGAGGACCTGGGTAGATGGGGGGAGGAAAACAGGAAGACCATGCTTTGAACGATAGTGGCAGTTGCTGGTGAAAGCCCCTGGCGTATGGATGGAAGGGAGGAGGGAAACAAAACGAGAAGTGCATCAACCGGAGTCCCAATCCCATATCCCGACACATGCAGTGAGCACCTACGGAGACATTTCTAGAACCAAGCAATACCGTCCTCGTACTGGAGGACGAGGGGGCCTCTTTAACCCTGCCTTGAACCTCGCCCACACCCTCCCGCCGCTCCTTAGGCTACTTTACGGGTTATGGCAAGAGGTCGGGCTTCGGGCTTCGGCAGCCGAGTTTCTTCTTCTTTGCCCCATGGCCTCGTCCCCGCCCTCCTCACCTCTGAAAGGGAGTCCCCGCATGCGGGTTGAAGACGATCAGGTTGACCAAGCAGTACACGTCAGCGGTTAGCGCCAACAACCGCTGAGCGTCCTCCACACTATCGTTCACTCCCGCAAGCAAGACGTACTCGATCACAACGAAATCGTCACCCTGTTGGTTTTATTAATGCGGTAAATAGGTTTGTCGTACAGAATAAGTACAGGGAGGTTTGAAAATAAACACAGTGATTTGCAGGTGTATGTGTACCGTACCTTCACGATATCATCACGCAAAAATAAATAATTATTTCGGAAAATGTGCAGTTTCGCGCAAAATTAAATAATTGCTGAAAGGGGTGCGCGAAACTGGGGAAACCCCTCAGGACCCTTCCCCGCACCCCCAACATGCCCCAGCACCCCGTCAGCTCCGCTGCCCAGCCCCGGGCTGCATGCTAGTATGCCCCATGGAATACATAGCGGTATTTGTAAAGCTGTCTTGAGGATCTGGGCTTACATGGATGGGTTCTTACAGTCAAAATATGTGGTGGACATGAGCTGCGCGAAGCTGAAAAATAATTCCTGACACCCCTGCGCGAGCTTGAAAAATAATTCCATCTAATGGGGCTGCGCGATGATCACCCGAAGGTACGGTATGCATGGAGGACACGGAATTGGTTGCAAAGATATCGACGTCAAGGCTTCTTTCAGGTGCTCGTCGCCCATGGCGACTTGACCTGTATGTTAAGAAACATGGCCTCAAGTCGGAACGGCCTGTATGTGTGTACGACCACATACGATGCAGTACGTTTTAGTCCAAATCGTATCATTGTACTTCCAATACATCACTATACATGCGCAATGTCGTACAGGTTGTACCGACCTTGCGTTTGTCGTATGGAAAGGCCTCGCGTAGGGCCCCCATCAGTTGCTCCAACGGATAACGGCGGTTGGTCGGAACCAGCCAGTCGCGAACCTTTCACGGAGGGAGGAAGAGAGGCAGGGAAGCGGGGCATCGGGTAGTTAGTTGGTTAGGGGGTTGGGAGAAGCAATGCTAGGGGCTGTGGGCTTCACCGCTTCACTTTTCTGCAGTGGCATGCAGGGAAACCGCCGGAAATCGCTGCAATTCGGGTAACAGTCCTACCCGTGCGACCGAACTCTTCGCGATCCATGCACAGCCCACAAAGCCCCCCACCGCCTGCCCCTCACCTCGTCTGTGGTGGCATGCAGCGACACAGCTAGCTTGGCCACCCGTGCCGCCAGGAACCTCCGCATCTCCGGCACCAGCCCCACCGTGGATACGATGATCTTGTTGCGACTCAGCTCCAAGCCGGTGGCCAGGATCTGTGGGACCAGAAGGAGTAGATTGGTAGGGTCAGTTACCGGTAGTACTTGTACCCTGCTTGTACACAAGTTTTGGCCAGTTGCTTAAACACACGCTTCCGACCTACCAGTTGGGCCTAAGATACTACTTACGTCCCAAGCCTGTATATGCTGCCGCTCACCTCTCACTCACACCATTTTACCCACTGTTCATGTTGTTGCACACCCACACACCACCAACCCAGTCGACAATCCAGTACCTTCCTACCCGCGGCCACCTATCTTAACCCACCATCTCACACGCACTCGCGCTTACCTCGATTGCCGGCATGACTGCTTCGTAGTTGTGCAGCGGCTCGCCCATGCCCATGAACACCACGTTGGCGATGGGCGTGCTCACACCCTCAGCCGCTAGGTAGCGCCGAGCCTGCAGGCGGGAGGGAGGTTGCGGTGTTTGCGGGGGTGGGGCATGGGTGTCTAACGCTGGGAGGGAGGTCAACAGCAGGCAAGACGGGTAAGGGGTAAAGACGCATGGTTGCCTTATGCATACAACGTTGGGATGGAGGTGGACTGCGAGCGAGGGTAAAGATACCGGACTTCTCGTCTTTGTTTCCTACCGCGAACTGTTGTCTCCAATCGTTCGTCTCACCTGTACGAGCTGCTCCACGATCTGTGCCGTACTGAGGTGCCCCAGCAGCCCCATGCGGCCGGTGTGGCAGAACTGGCAGTTCTGGGCGCAACCCACCTGGGGCAAGAGGGTGGAAGGGGGTTTGCCGGTTGGAGGCGTGGGCGTTTCAGGACAATGGGACCATACGGGGGGGGGAGGTGCATGACGGGGACTATCCGGGTAGGTCTGTGCCGCGAAACCGAGCAAAGCTCAGCTCGTGCTTGCGGGGAAGGAGGCGGAGGAAAGAGCGGACCAAGGCCCAATACCTGCGTGGACAAGCACGCCGTATAGCGGAGGTTCTGGCCGCTTCGGTTGGTCATGGGGATGAGCACCGTCTCCACCGACCCACGGGTCAGAACCGTCGCTCCTTTCCCTCCATCTCCCCAAACACTGCTGCTGTTGCCATGGCTGCTGCTACTGCTACTACTCCTTCCACTACTGCTGCTGCCACTTCCTTTTCCCTCTGCCTCCGCTCCTCCAGCTGCATTCCCAGCTTCCTTCTCCTGTCTCCCTTCTGCTGCATCCGCCTCCTCTTCCCTATCCGCCTCCGCCGGCTCCTCCTCCTCCTCCCCACCAACAAGGTCGTACACCAGTTTGCGGGTGCCGTCTCGGGCGGTGTGGACCGACCGCAGCCGCAGACCTCCGGAGAGGGAGGCGGAGTGCGAGACCTAGGGAACGGTACGAAAGAAGGGAGATGTGAGGTGATTTGTGGTGTTAGGAGCATGCAAATCCTGAGAGGCGGAAGGGATACCTGAAGAGGGAGTCACGGCATGCAGAGAGAGAGGCAGAATGAGGAGGAGGAAGGTGGATGGGGTGTGCTGAAGAGGAGGTGGGAGACAAGCGGGAGCGACGGAGAGGGGCTGGGGATGTTCGGGTGCAAGCTAGTCAGCCTGTCTGGCAGGAACACTGACATCCCCTGGGATCACGATTCAATAGCTTACTACAGACGACTTCCGAAAACTCATGCACGGCATGAAACAGCGGCGCAATGCGCTCCCTACCTTGGCTTTGAACGCTGCGCTGAAGGCCTGCGGGTCCGAATCCGCCTCGTCAAGGCTGCGGATCCATTTCCGGTTGCCGTACAACCAACGGTACAACTGTCGTGCACGTTTGGGAGGCTCGCCTGCAAGGTCGCAACATCGCAAGAGTTGCGGTTGGCAGCAAATGGGCAGGGTCGCAAGGTGGGATAGGTGAGGAGCAGGAGATGCCGCGAATGGAAGTGTAACCTGGTCACCCCACCATGATACAGACATACCGTGCTACGGCAACACATGAAAAGTGTCCGCGGCTACATGAACAAGGGGGGAACTCACCAACGCTGGCGCACCACTCCTCCAGCTCTGGTAGCGGCAGGTTCTTTAGCATTAGCTGCCCTCGAGCATCTCGGATGCCACGCCTGTGCTCAAATGACAGTGGAGCAGAGGATACGGTAGCCTGTCCCGCGGAAGCAGCATAGCTCCCTGAGCTACCTTGCAGGTCCGTCCTGGGGCTGAAGAGTGTGGTAGGGCTGTTGGTGCTGCTGTAACTGGCCGCTGCTGTGTCGTCTAACTGTGCATCCGCAAGCGCTGCCGCCCGCAACAACACCTGCGCCAGTGCCAAGCGGCGTAAAACCAGAAGCACGTGTAAGCTATGCCGAGGGGACTGTTATAAGCATCGCCGTAGGGGATATAACTTCGGTGCAGCAGGAACGATGACCACAGGAATCGCGCTTTGACACCTGCTGATGTCGCACACTCCGCGAAGTTGGGCGCGTTATCAAAGGCGAAGTGCAATTGCAAATTGAATGGTTTCCGGTTGCCCGGCTCCGTAAAGCTGTGACGCGCATGGCAAATTCACACGTTAATAGACGCCAGCTAGACAATAACTACATAAGCTAATACACATTTATGTTTCTGCATGTCCAATTAGGATTGATAACCTAAACACAATAGCGACATCGTGTGCAAGCCGGCTGCAAGTCGGTTTCGTGGCTCGGCAAATATACGCGTGATCGCTATTCCTTGCTCAAATCCTTATTGTAAACAAACTGCTACTTTCTTTCGGAAGGTGGCATTGTCCTTCCCTTCTCGTCCATCGGTAACTTCCACACTGTACGTGCCGTGCAACGCATTCGGAAGCACAAACGCCGCGGGCCACTTGTAGCCCTCAAACGCACAACAGTCTCCCCTCTACGGTTATGTTCTTTTACGTGATTGAGCTTTTTGCTTAACTGTTGGAGGTTGTAGGGGTTGGTAGGAGGGTCATATCCCTCAGACGTATCTCTTCCTGCTCAATCCTGAAACTGGGACTTATACCCTGAGGTGGCAGCAGCTTCTCACGTTCATCTCCTGTTCTGTGTAGTGTTGCAATAGGCGCTCGTTCGTCAAATCCGTGAAACACCTGTTATCGTGGGATGCAAGTAAAGCAGCTTCGTGAGCCAATGAACATAGTAGTATCTCCCGGTGGATGGAAGGCGCGCGTGCAGTCGACGCCAAGGTAACTCTTTTTCCTCGACGGCATCATGGCCGAGCCGGCCGTCGAACTTACGCTGCTGCCACATCTCTCCCTGACGAGGCCAGGATGCATGCGCTGAATTACTGGTATCTTTGAATTATTCCTTACCTTTGGCGCGAGTGCTTCGCAGGCCGTATGGAGGCCCAGGCTTATGCTGTGGCGGACGCTTGCCACCTACTAATGCCATGGCAGGAGTGGGCCTTCAGGTAAAGGATAAAGTGATGATCGCGATCGCAATGCTTACTAATCGCAGGGATGTTGGGCGGGTTGTTTTCCCATTAAACGGTTGCTGCATACGGTTTGCGAAGGGCTTTGCAAGAAAAGGCTTTCGGACGCAATGATTACTTTTAGATTAAAATGCTTTATTTACAGGTTCCTACGTCCACCAGCTCGGCCTCTGGTAATCTCCGCCACAGCGGGCTAACGAGCAGCAGCGGTCAGCCGCAGCAGCAGCAGCAGCGTGCGCCCAACGGTCCCCTCCAAACCCTTGTTCGAGCAGCCAAAGAGGCCCGCGTGCTTACATCAGCCCCGCCTGCTGACCCTTTGGAGGTGTCGTCTCGGTTACAATCCACACGAAGCTGGCCAGCCCTTCAGGTGAGAGCAGAACCCTTGCAGAGCCCAGGAAAGTCGCTCGTGCCTAGTCTGTTGAAACGTCTTGCATGCCGTACATCTGCCTTGTGTTTGGGTTTAGCTTGTCTAGCTCCTTAAGACCCCTCCAACGCCTCTCCGGGCAGGTAGTTGTGCTCGCGGGGACCTCTTCCGCAGGGGACTTCATGCCTCACTGGCAGGATGCACCATGACATTGTAACGTACATTAACCTACATACCGTACCGGCACCCCTACCTTACCCCGGTACTGTACAACACGCAGGTGCTTGCTTTGCAGTACCAGGGTCGCCTGGACCAGGCCTCCATGGTGGCGTTCTTCCGTAGAGCGGCACAGCTGGGGGCAGCAGGTGAGGCACATATCATGCTTCCGGAATTAGGAAAGGTACTTGGAGGCTCACGACTCCTTGTCATCCCCTTAACTCGCCTCCCACTCCCGCCCTTACAGCCTACCACACCCTCCCGCATGTGACCACACCCCTACCCCTTCCATGCAGCCTCCTCGACAAGCGCCTCTCCCTCTGCTTCAGACAAGTACGCATGTTCCCGGCTGCTCGAATCCCTAGCTCTCAGCTGCGCGCCCCTGGTTCCAGACATGGGCCCCGCCACCGTAGCAGCGTTGCTGGGCACCTTGGGAGCACTGGCAGCATGCGGACTAGTGGATGTGCAGGGGGTAAGGAGTGGGGCACAGAAGCGTGGAAACGGGTAACTGGGATGGGGGTTGGGATGTTTGCTGTTCGGGTCGTAGTAAATTGAGAATACTGGTAGTGTTGGAGCACTCTGGGAGCACTGACAGCATGCGGGATAGTGGAAGCACAGCGGATAAGCGAGTTGCCGCTGACGCGCCACGCTTCAGCACTGTAAGCGAAATCCTCGCAACTGACCCGTGGGTCGTTCATTCATGCCGCCTGCCTCCATTCCTGCAGGTGCCGTACCCAGTTGTAGCGCTGGTCCAGGCGCTGCTGCTTGCCTCGCTGCCGCAACTGCATGCACTTAGCGGCGCACAGCTGGCTTTCAGCCTGCGGGGCTGCGTGCTGCTGTGTCCGGGGGGCCTGCCGGAGGTGAGGGGTGTGTGTACGTAAGTGCGGGGAAAGCGCTGTTTCGGCGGAAGCCCCCTCTTGCCCCACCTGCATTTTGCCTCACTCTTTCCTCCCCTCTTTCCCTTTGCTCCCCGTTCTTCCCCCAGCTTTGCCCGAACTTGCGACTTTCTATAGTTTGGTCTATCTCTAACCCCCTGCCTCGCACCCAGGTGTGGCTGGACGAGTGGCTGGCGGCTGCCGGGGGCCCGGTGGTGGCGCAGATGCCGCCGCAGGCGCTGGAGGCGGTACTGAGCAGCTTGCAGGTGGGGGAAGGAAAAACGATACCATGCCATGGTGGGGGGATGGAGAGGGTCCTGCATGTAACTTTGCCCCCCACTCTTCTAGCCATGGCCATACCGGTACTTCAAGCCTCTCCCTTTCTCCTATAGCTTTTCTATTCTTGGCACTCTCTTCACCTTCTATAACCCCACACCCAGGAGTTGTACACGGTCCAGGGCTGGTCGCCCGGCGATCAGTGGCTATCGGACTTCCTGCGGGCGCTGGAGGGGCGGCTGGGGGACTACGATGGCCAGGTGAGGAGATGAGCTGGGGAGGGCAGATGGAGGGGGAAATGAATAAGAAGTGAAGCAACCGAAATTTCAATCCCATGTCCCCGACTCGTGCTGGTGGAGGGGGAAGGCGAGTGGTTGTCGTGTGTCCAAGGCTGGGGGTCCCCAGTCCCAAGGCGGCTGCCCGAGCCTTTCAGCATGAAGGGACTTTTAAAGCATTTCTTACTCCCTCCTCTTCCGTGCCCCTCCCTGCCCCTTCAAATGCCCCCAGGGTTTGCGGCGGCTAGCGGTGGGTCTCGCCGGGTTGGAGGTACGACCGCACTCCGACTGGCTGGGCGCTTTCAGGGGCGCCTTCGACTCGCGCGTGGCGGCTGCTGAGATGGAGGCGCATGACGTGGCAGGGGTGCTGTACGCGTTCACTAAACTGCAGGTGGCGTTTGCGTAATGGTGCTTGGAGAATGGGTGTGTGTTACACTGTTGGGGGTACGAGCGCGGGGAGGTGCTGGAGCTATCGTTGGATGCGTGTGCGTGCTGTGAATGCACCAGCGAACGAAGCTAAAATGTCTATTACAGGTTTACAACGTCATTATGTTGTTATATATGTATCTATTGGGGATGAGGACGGAGAGTAAACTGCGGAGGGTAGGGCAGGTAGGGCAGCAGGCAGGTAGGGAGGAAGCCGGGGATGTGGATGAAAAGCAGGTGGGCTGCAGCTACACGCGAACAGGAGGAAGTGGATGGTATTCCTGATGGTAAACCGAGAATGCAGGTGAGGATCTGGGCAAGACGCGGCAACACGGCAGGACGGGAATCTGCGTCACACGACTGTAGGCTCCCCGCGTGAGTTTGCTTGCCAGGGATAGGCAGTTGGGTCTTGTAAATGTCCTCACACTTTGTTTCGTATCAAACAGTACGGCATGGATCCAGCTAGGAAACAAAGGAGATCCTATGAACATTAGTAGGATACAAAGCAGACAGGTTATCTTTGTTACAATACAAGTGACATAGGAACAGGATAACACGTATGGGTGCCGGTAATGTATCTGTCGCGATCGGCTCCTTCTCCTTGGCATAATACCGAGATGCTACTTCCTTGGTTATTGGGCAACGCTTACAAATTATGTCTTTCTTGCATCATTAAGAGCTTGTGGTTCAGATGTTGACCAACATCGCAACGCCTGATCCTTGTACTTTCGCTGTCCTGTAAGAAACATAGGCTGCGAAGTTGGAAGCGGCTTTTATCGGTGTTGGATACTCGGTATATAACCGAAGGTAGACCCATGAACGGCGACATGGACAGCTGCGGAAGCGTACGCGATAGCCTGAGTCCATCTGAGGCCCCAATCCACGTCGACACAACGTCTGGAATTACACCATTTTCCTCAGCACGCAGCTCTGCATCCTGTGATAGCTTGAGGATGCTATCACAGGTGCCATCAGCCGCGAACTGCAAACTTTCCCACAACGCCTACGTCGCTGCTAGCGGAAAAGCAATATTAAACATGCAGGCTGGACAGATCGTGTCCTCAACGATTACCAGCTGTGCTGGAACAGATGGGTTGCGTCATGTGGGACGCACACCTTATGCTACCTGCCGAAGCACGACTTCCTCCGCAAGCGCGGCTAGTATGGTATCCGCATCTCCTCGGGGTTCCTTTCAGGCGCTGCTGCAGGACATAGACCTGATCGCGGCCTCTTTGAGGCGCAGCATAGAGGAAGACATGCGCCAAGAGCAGGAGATAGCGGCACTGGAGACAGCAAGGCGAGAATTAGAGGAAGAGGCGGAGCAGCCTGACATCCGCATTCCGTACTTTGCCAAGCAACTGTGGTTACAACAACACCAGCAGGAGAGCATGTTGGCGCAGCGGCGACAACAAAGCCCTCAGCAGTCGTGGGTTCATCAGCAGCACCAACGGCAGCTAGCGTTGCAACTGTCTCTGCAGTCAGCAGCGCTGTTCCCGCATCATGCTTGGCTGGATCCAGACCCGGAACAGGAGCTGCAGCAGGGGCAGGACGAAGCGCAGGAGGTACAACAAGAGGCGCCGTACGCGACGCCCGAGACTTTGGTGATGCCGCCACGAGCACCGCTGCTTTCATTCCCCCACAATGACGGCGAGGTGCCTGTGTTTTCAGGCGGCTCCGACACTGCAGAAAGCCAAGAAGCCACGGCGGCGGAGGAACATGATGAAGAAGGAGAATTACAGGAGGAGTTAGTGCCGCGCCGTTGCCTTGTGTTCGTCCAGGCCACTGCCGCCGCCCTGGCTCGTATGCTAGAGGCTGCAGAGGGACGTTTTGAGGATCTGCAGGAGCAGCAACAGCTCGCCGGATTGACGCTGGCAGAAGAGGTGGGGGCGGCGAGGAAGCGTGAGGCGGCGGCGGTGAGGCAACTGGCAGCGGCACGTGAGGAGCACGCCGAGCATGTCGCGACGTTGCAAGGGCAGCTGGCAGTGGCGCAGGCGGCGTGCAGTCAGGCTGAGGCGCTACAGGGACAGGTAGGTAGCGGATGCGGTGTGGTCTGGGGAGGGACTGCGACAACGGAAGGAGGAGCAAGAGTCGGTCCTACCATGTGCGGCGTCGTGCAGGGTGGGATCCGCAAGGAGGGACCGATATGCTTACATCTGCAGGTATCGGTGTAACTTGGCAAGGCTACTGCTTGAGTTTTGCATGCGGTGCACTGTGCACAGCTGGCGGCTGCCCAAGCGCGTGAAGCCGCTTTCAAGGCGACCCAAGCAGCCAAAGAACTAGAGTGGCGACAACAGCTCCAAATCAAGAAGGCGGAATGGCGGCAGCTACTACAAGACAAGGCCGCGGCGGCAGCTGCAGCTGAGGAGCGTGAGGCGGCCGCCATGACGGAATCGGAGCTGGTGCGTTGGGAGCTGCGGTGCAAGGTCGGTGGGCGCAGGATGGCCGTATGGCTGGCTGCCGATGCCGTGGGGCTTGCCTATGAAGGGTACTACTCTGGGTTGTGCTTTTGCGGCGGCTGCATTGGCAGGGAAGGTGCCCAAAGAGGGCGCCATGCAGCAACCCAAGGCAGGCAAGCCGCAGCCCGATGCAGTCGCGCGGCTATTTCCTCCCTACGTCGTTCACCTTCATATTTCGCCTATCCATCGCATGCCAATGTCTAACCGCCCCGTGCCATACTCCACCTCCCGCGCTGCTCGCACGCGCAGACGCCCGCTGCCTCAGCTGCACTGGCAAGTGCGCTAGAAGCCGAGAAGGCGCAGCGTCACCAGGCCTGGGAGGAGTACGAGCTGGTGCAGCCGCAGTGCTGTAGGGCCGAGGCGCCGGTGGTGGAGAAGCCGCGATTGAACGCGGTGGCAGAGCAGCAGCAGTGGAAGCAGCAGCTGGCGGCATGCCAGGGCGCTCTCGCGCGGAAGGAGGCGGAACTCATTGCATGCAAAGCGAGGCTGCAGGTGCGTGTAACTCCTTTTAGAGTTGGTGCCCATAAAGTATTGTACGTGCTTCTGGCTTTGTTGGGGGTGTTTTGGCTCGCCGAACCACCTCCTGCGACTTCCTGGGGTAACATGTGTCAACTGCAATCTTATGAAAGGCCACATACCTAACCAGCAAGCATTTTCGCTCTCCCGCCCGTGCAGAACATGCAGTGTGAGGTGGAGCGGCTGCAATGCCAGGTGCAAGGTGCCAACCAGCGGGCAAAGGAGCCGGAGCAGTGGGCGAAGCAGTCGACGGCGGCCAGCGAAGCGCGGCTGCAGGTGTGTTAGCCTAACTCATCATCGTACTGGGACATGTTGGAATGTCAACATACGGGTACATATCTAGTCCGGAGTTGCACCAGGGCGTATGTAGCCATATACGCAGCTGCTTGTTGTAAGCGCAAGGCCCAGAGCATGTGGTTTCCCTATCCTGCACAGTCCCGCTGCAGTTAGCGCTAATCCTGTGCAATCGCTTACGTGTCCTGTGGCCCCGTAGCGCATGCAAGCCGCGGTAGACCGGCTCCACTCCTTCGCCCCAGACGGCAGCTTGCGGCCCATGGCGGCAGGCCAGCAAGCGGAAAGGGCAGAGCAGCCGCAGCAGCGATTGCCTGGGCAGCAGCGGTCTGTAGGCGTCGAGCTGCGAGACGTGCATGCGGATCAGCAGACGCGGGCACCGGCGGCAGCAGAGGGTCTGCGGAGGGCGGCGACGACTGAGGAGCGACCAGCGGGTGCTGAGGTGGGGCTTATGGCATAGGACGGGTGACGTCGGACTTGCTTGTGGCACATCCTTTGTGATGCCGTATGCTAGATTGCTTGGTGTCCTGTGGCAGGGTGATCAGGAGGTAAAGCCGCAGCGAGCCAACAGGGCAATCAGGGCATTGTACGAGTACGCAGAATGTGTAATGGGCAATGCTGTTGTGTGCTGAGCTTTGGCTGGGACCTTTCCTCTCAACTACCGTACTCCATGCTTGCAATACGTGTGCCTGATTTCCTCAACACCGCCCTTACCACCACCACCACATCACCATATGCTCTTGACCTCCGTGCCCCATCCTGGAACCCACAATCACCAGCCGGACGCCAGACGCCGGTCCAAGGCCGCACCCCAAACTCACGTCTCCGTAGGCCAGCTGCTGGCCCGCCGCCAACCTACCCAGAAGGCCTCTGGCGGATTGTCTGATGAGCTGCAGCCGCTGCAAGTCATCCGGGAGCAGATCGACCACCTGCCCCAAACCACGTACCTTTCGCTGAGTCCGCTGCTGCACCGAAAAGACGACGGGACCGCCGTCAGCAGCCCCTTGCCGCCAAAGACGCGGTTGCGGCTAGCGGCCACTGCGGCTGCTGCCGACCGGACCGGTTTCGGAGCTTCCCCAGCTCGCAGCCCCACCCACAGCTCCTCCAGCCGGAACCCCACCCAGGCGTCCGACTGCAACCCCACCAGCACCCCATGCAAGTCGCCCCTGGGAAGTAAGGGCGTCGACCAGTTGAAGTGGGAGAACGAGGAGGGAGAGGAGGACGTGAGGGGCTGCATCTGCTGAGGGGTGCTGGGGCTACTCGTTTTCCCTTTCTTACAACAACAGTGCTGCGGTGCTTTGGTACAGCAGCATCCTCAATGGGCACGCCCTACGCCGGAGCCCTGGGATATGCCTGGCTATAGCTTCCTGTGCACTCGCTGACAACGACAATGCTGCGGTGCTGAATACGTCTCAGTAGCCCGACCGGAATATGGTGTCTATGCCGCCTCTTGCCGCGCTCCAGGACGGGCTTGGTAGCACCCTCGGGATACATGCAGCTGCGAAAGCTGGAGCACGGTATGCTGGTGTGGGGAACAGGGCACTAGGACTGTTATTCATAGGACTTTGCAAACGCCGGGCGGTAGGGTCATCTAGAGGCTCTATTGGCCTGCCTCTGGTCAGCAGCCGCAGCGCGTCATTGGTTACTTGCTGCGTGCCTGTACAGCCCAGGCATCTCGGGCATTGCTAGGGTTCTGCTGTAGGCCTGTTGTGCACCCGTAAGTAAGGGGAGTGTGTGCGTGGGACGCTTCGTCACCAAGTGTGATTTTTCTTATTTTCCTCCGGCTGGCTGCTTTACGTATTACGAGGAAGTGAGAGATCAAGCACAAAGTATTGCTGGCGTCTTCTATTGTAGAGTGCTGCGGGAGAGGCAACATGATTAGAGAGGGCATGGCCGCTCAGTCAACATACAAGTGCTGCTGTTTGCCAGCGCCCTGCACGTTTTGCTAGGTCCTACCGCTTTGGCAGGGGGGCAGCTGTTTAGGGTGCTTCCTAATATATGACAAACGCAGTCAGTGCAACACCATGCAGATGGCGGGGTGGAAACCATAACAAAAGTATACGTATAAGCGTGTCGTACTGCGGTGTTCAGAAGCACATGCAAGCCCATTGTTTGCGGTTGCTATGGAGGCGATTGGTATTACCTAATGGTGGTGGTCCTTAAACTAACCATGCACAACTAATAAGGTGACATGTGAGTATGCTCCCTAGGATATCCTCGGTAGGTCAGCCTCTTACCACCCTGACCCACGAGATTGCGGGCCCATTGCTCGCTTTCTGGCTGGTTGGGTGTTGGCCGCGTAATACATCGAGCGGCGGAATTGGGCAGCATGCTTGGGGAAGTAGCGCGGTGGGTAGTGCCGCGATTATGCGGGCGTCACAGATTGTTTATTTTCATGTAGAGTGCGGACGGAACCTTGACGCACGTGGGTGGCGTTTTGGAAAGCGCCGCGAAGTGAAGGCAGACACAGTGCCAGTCTTACACGTGCCTTAGGACGCGACTTAGGTGCTTCTTTTGAGGGGTCGTGCGTACCGTGATCACATTGAGGCCACTCCAAGTGCCCGCGCGCGTGTTCGCAATTGGGATCGACCACACATACAGTGCAGCTTCATTTGCGTTTCTACTGCCAGGGTGTGCTGCTGTCAGTGAGTGGTCTGCTTATCAGCTTACAGGTGTCCCAGTGCATGTGCCGCAGCAGGCCCTCATGTTCATATGGTAGCTAGCTATGAACATGACACTTTCTTATGGCGAGTTCAGGTATTGCCTTCAGATCGTTACGTTTTGCTGTGAGCAGTTAAGCTAGGTTGCAGGGACTAAAGGGTGGAGGTAACGGGTGTCTAGCCAGCAAGTAATTGCTGAAGAGCCTTAAAATCAGCGGTATCCGCGTACGTACGGTGTATCAGCGGTAACTGTGTATGGATTGCGGCCTTTGTATGCATTGCTGTCTAATACAGTCATTTTGTGGATTAGACCATGCGTCACTTTGTGCCTGGGAGATAGATGCCGCCGTCAGAGACGTTTCCCTCGGCTCGATTAATATGTAGCCGTGGGGCAGCGGGATGGGCACCCGCCAGGCGCAACTTCCGTATAGTATAGGTCAACATCTGGCCTTTTTGTGCGGTGTTTGCAGGTGTCTGCAGGATATAAAGCGCTTAGTATGGAATGTGAATGGCAATCTTGGTGTGACTCTTGTCTTGCTGCATGTAGGACAATGTCGATTGTGCCGATGCCCATGGCACCATTTCTCCGTCCGGCGCATGTACAGCGTGGCGCGGGCTTCCGCTGTGCTCATGGTACATAGACTGCACTTTGTACCCTACAGCAATTTGTTTTAGAGGCCACCGGTATGGATGCCTGGTATCTATGTCTTGCCGCTCCTGCCTAGGCTCCAGGCAAGGGTGCTGCATGGGTTACTTTACCCAAGCCCGCCTAGGCATGCGGTATGGCAAGAGTCCTGAGGGGAAACAACCCTCTACGTGATTGGTGCTTTCCTGTTATATAGAACGTCTTCCTGCTAGCGTTGTCGAATTTCCCGCAGGCCTCCGTTCTGTAACTGCCCTGAGTGGGGAAACAGAGGGAGGAAAGCCCCTTGCATGCAGGGTAAGTCCCAAGCGAGCCGAGCAGTAGCCCCCGTGTACCTTAACCAGCATAAAGCGAGCTTCAGTTCCTGTGTGCGGGTATGCTTACATTTTGCGGGAACCGGATGATACGCCTTCATGGCTCCTCCGCATTTCATCAGCAATCCAGGGGTACGTAGTGTACACGTTTACAGTATGCGTAGTTCCTCTCCAAAGCACGGTTTCCCAAACAGTGCTGTACATAAAGAGTACAGCTACTACATGACTACTCCCCTATTCTCCCGACGTCGCGACCCTAAGTCGCCTGGGAGACATCAGCGAATGACCCATGGGCCCCTTCGAGCAGCCCCAAGCACCTGGAGTGCACATATATGATAGGACCAGAGTAGGGTCGCAAATATATGTTTGTTTCATGACATTATCAAAAGCAAACGACTCAGGTCCACGAAATACGGTAACACCGTACGTCATTCTATCCAAGTGATAGATTTGTAACCATCACTATCTAAGCAGAAATATACTTAGAATGCTATATAGGAGCACATTCCATGAACACCACTACCTCCTTTGGTGATAAAGCAAGCCCATGATGCGTTGAGGGCGACAACGGGACCATCGTCCTTATACTTTACTGCTAAAGATTAGCTTCAACTTAAGCTTGGTTGTGGACTCCGGCTTGCGGAATGGGGAACTGTTTCTGGCAAGTCGTATGCCACTTCGCGGTCGCCCTTTGACAGGAAGCATTATATCACATCATAAGTGACGTTCTTTTTGTTGTTTGTACTTGCTTTTGCCTCTCTTGTTCCGCAGCATCCGCGATTGTTACAGTGCCTTTGATAATTCGTGCGCCCATGTTCCGTCGGCCGGGGCGACGAATGGCAGCCCGTCCCCCTATGACAAAAAGGATACGGTATGTGTTGCCTAACTCGCATTTCTGGCTGTAGTCCGAGTCTTTCGGGAATAGCGCGGGGTTGTCGCACTTTCCTAATCAAATTTAGCGACGGCGACGAAATCCGATCCCATACTGCCTGCAGCGCAAGCTGCATTAATACACTCTTTGGTTTTACGGCGTGTTGTTATTGTTTCCCGGGCTAGGCTAACGCGCCGTACCGCAGGGCCGTCACAGCTGGCGCCGCACCGTGACCTTGCAAAGGCACGCACGCATGTGCACGGTGCCTCCAAACGCACATGTCCCCTCCACCTTTTCAACTCGCTTGTGGCTCCTCTAACCTTTAGTCATCGAAACCAACGCCGATACCCAACTTATCCTCGCCTGCAGCGTGCCTCCTCAGAGGTTGAGCGCATAGGCACAGCCGGCGCAAACGACGGCCGTTTGGCCGCTGGAACAGGGGAGACCGGGGGAGCGTCGCCGAGAGACATCCAGCAGCACCAGTAAGTATTTCCCCGTCCGTGTTGCCCCGTCCGTGCTGACACATGCACTTGTCAGCGGACTTGTCACGCTGATGGCGAAGATTCCTCTGTCCATACCGCTGCTCTGGCTGGTCGGTGCTCCTAGCCACCTAGCTAGCAGCATACTAATCGCGTCTAGAACTACCGTGCCTTGCTGCTGCCGAGGCCAAGCACCGCCAGTCCACCTCTCTCTTATATGGGAGGCATGACCAGTTTACACCTCGTTAACCCTTCTTAGATGCACAACTGAGTAAGGCATGTGCCCTTTGCCCGCTCCCGCCCCTTCCTCCCTTTGCCTGTCTTCCTACCCGGGGGGTAGTGAGCATGACATCGGTCTGCCCGGCCAAGTCGTGCCGGACAACAACACAGCTAGACCACACCGGCGGCGCAGAGCGGCTCGCAAGAATCCAGAGGCAACAGAAGCACGTGGTCGACGATCCATAGGTTCAGCGACAGACGACACTGACGCTGACGCTGACGGCGGGTATGACGGCGAAGAAGATGACGACGAGGACGAGGAGGCGCGGGCTTACTGGGAGGCGAAGGAGCAGCAGCTACAGCAGCAGCAGGAGCAACTGCAGCAGCAACAAGAGCAGCTGCTGGAGAAGGAAGAGCTACTTCAGCGTAAGGAACAGCAACTAAGGCAAAAGGAGGAGCAGCTGCTTAGCCTGTTGGAAGAGAAGACCAACCTGCAGGGGCAGCTCTCAGCAATGGCCGCAGCTGAGGCTGCGCTGCGGAAAGCGGGCAACGGTGCTGTCGCCCAGCTGCAGGAAAAACTCGCAGCGGCAGAGAAGCAGCTTGCTGAGGAGGTGGCGGTGCGAAAGGCTAACTCCACAGCGGTTGCAAACCTGCAGGAAAGGCTCGCGGCGGCAGAGGTGCGGCTTACAGAGGAGACGACGGTGCGGAAGGCGAGTGATGCGGCTGCAGCCGACCTGAAGGCGAAGCTCACAGCGGCACTGGCGCAGCTGACGGATGCGACCACGGTCAAGGACGCCAGCGTGCTTGCCACTGGTAAGCTGCAAACCAAGTACTCGGCAGTGGAGGTGGAGCTGGTGGAGGAGTCGACCGCGCGGAAAGCGGGTGATGCGGCCATTGTGCAGCTCAAGGAGAGGCTCTTGGCCGCCAAGGTCCAACTCACGGAGGAATCCGCGGAGCGCAAGGCCAGCGACTCAGCCATTGCCAAAATGCAGGACAGACTTGCATCCGCTATTGTGCAGGTGACCGATGAGATTATTGCGCGGAAAAAGAGCGACGCGCTGATGGCTGGCCTCGAGAAGGACAAGGCGGAGCTCGAGGCGCAAGTCAAGGCGCTTCAGGCCAAGGGCGTCACCGCGGCTGCGGAAAATAAAGCGCTGCAGGTCAAGGTTGCAGCGCTGGAAGTTGACCTGCAGAGGGCTCAGGCTTCAGCCGCGGAGCACCAGTCCCGACTGGAGGAGCTGCGGAAGGAGATGGAGACGCTGGAGGTGTCTGCGCGAATCGTACACGGGCAGCACGAGCTAGCACAGGCGCAGGTCCAGATTCTGGAGCAGCAGAAGGCGGACCTGAGCAGGCCCACATCCCGACCGCTGCCAGCAGAGGTGGGGTCTTGGGTGGTGCTGGGTAATGTTTAGTGTTAACTGGGTAAAGCAATGGTGGAACATTCCGTTTGGATCAGGTGTACGGGTGCAAGTGGTTTTCTGACCCATGGGTCATCAACCAGGTCGGGTGTCGGTGATGTGCCTGTTTCGAGCTTAGTGTCCTAGGTAGCCCAGTATACGCTGGTGGTTGACCCATTCGTCATGACCACGGCAACAAGTCATAGAGCTATGCCTGTTTTAGATGCTGGCCCTTGCAACAAACATACCTGCAAGCCTAGATCACACGTCCACATCTCCCTTACCCATGCATCCTCGTTCGTCCACCTCTTTTCACACATCCTCATATCTTACCTCATGTTTCGCCGTCTCGATCTCCAGGCAACCGCCCAGTCAGTGTTCCACCCTACTCCTCGCGCCTCCTCCTCGGCCAACCTCGCCCTCAGCACCAAACAAGCAATCCAGTGTTTACCCATCGCGCGTTTACCTATCCCATGCCCATCTTCGCATTCTCCAACCCTCCTCCAATCCATCCTCTTCCCCACCCCAATCACCCCACCACCCGCAGGTCGCCGTCTCCGCCTTCAGCACCAAGGGCGTCATGACCTTCCACAACGGCACCATCCGCATCCGCTGCCAGTGCGGGCACTGCAGGCGCGAGGAGCCCTACGGTCCCAAACCCTGGGCGGAGCACGCGCTGGAGGTGGAGATCGCCTCCTACACCGCCGCCGGGAAGAGCCTGGATAAGCTGCTCAAGCAGCCGCTGTACTGGCACCGCACGATAAAGGTAGGAGTTATGATAGCCGTACGATTGAGGGTACGGTGGGTTGAATGTTCATAAGGACCCATAGGATGGTATCGTACGGTGGTTGTACCACCGGTATTTCAACTGCTGCTGAATATTGTTATGACAAACCGCCGCTCCCCAACCCCCAACTGCGCCGCATTATGCTGTACAACTATCCGAAGGTGGATAGCATGCCGGCGTACGGCGTTCGCATCGTGGATGACGGCGTGAAGAAGGACTTCATTGGGCGGTTGCTCAACTACTATGGATACGACTGGAAGGGCGAAGGGTACGTAGGGGATGATGTACAAATGCGCAAAGCGTTAAATAAAGCTGCGTTCCTTTTGATGCTGCTTCATCGTGCCATACAAAGACGTTGCGCAGCGTGATACTAAACGGGGGCATACACCTTTGAAGTTTCAAAAACCGGCAGAGTTTGGAGTCTTAACTTCCTTTAGATATCCCTAGGCGTGTTTAAGGAGTCGTCAAGCCTCTTTGGTTGCTGTACTGTGCCGTATGTTGCACCTTCATGTGCATAATCGATAGCCTTAGGAGTACGAGTTCTAGGATCATACGCAATACGCATGGAATATCCGTGCGCCTTCTTCCATATGAATTACAAACAACTTTAAAACGCTACAGGTCACCAGCTTGAAGAGGAAGTCTGTAAGGGGCTGTGGTAGTCCTTGTTAGCCCTAACCTTTGTCCTTGGCTGCCTGTCTTCACTAAAACCCCTTACCTTTGCACCCTCCCGCCCGCTCTCCCTCTCCCCTGCCCAACCAACCAACCAACCAACCAGGATTGAGTCCGTCTTCGGGCCCTAGTCGTGGAACGGACGAGGGCTGGATATGTAAGGTACTCCAACCATTCCTCTTTCTCTTCGATGACGAGGAGCAACACAGAGAGCAGGCCGCTGAACGGCCGGCTGGCATGGACCATCGCTCAAATTGGAGTTGCGTGCGCTCAGGTTATAACCATCTGTTATGGCCGTCCTAAACGCCCTGACGACATCGACGACATTGTTGCCTATTTAGGTGCACCGTTCGGACGGATGTGGAGCGTTCGAGCGACCGCCTTCAATTCCTGTTACCGCGTCTGCTCGGTGCAGATCCGTTCTCGGGCCGGATTGAGAGTCGCAAGCATGCGTGCCCTGCCCTGCTGATGTCGTAGGGGTGGTGGGGCCGGATGGCTATGTGGGATTGGTCGGTCGGCTAAACGTCCTGTCATGGGCTTGCTCCGGCATACCCCCGGAAAGGCAATTGCAAGTGCGTGTTCCCTGTAGCATCGTGACTCTGAATGGTACCGCATGCAGCGCTGAGCAAGAATACTTGAGGAATTACTTCAGGCATGTGCATACCTGTCCATTATGTATGGCGCTAGATGGGTAGGAGTGTGGTGCTTTCCCTGCAACTTCGGTCTGTTTGGGCTCGTTCCTGCTGTGTGCATCGTGCCATGTAGCTTAGCCTTGCCGTACTTTCTGGGTTATGCGTTTTCCGGGCTTGACGGTTTGTTAGTTGCTGGATGTTTAGGTCTGTTGAAGAAGCTGGTTATTGTAGTTGCCTAGCTATGCTGACGCATGGCTGGCGTTGTGTAGGTGTTTCCTCTTTGCTGTATGGCTGGATGGCTTTTAGAGCTGGTGTTGTTCGCCGCGCCGTAACTGCTAATGGCGATAAAGGAGATCTGACTTGCACTGTGCGACCAGTAAGCAGAACCAACTTTTGCAAATGCGTAGGGGTTCACGGGATATGTGTTTGTCCGTAGCGCTTTCAGTTCGGTCTGATTCATGGTTGGAGTTGTGCGTGGTTGAAGTGCCGAAAAGCCGTAAAGCAGCCGTGCCCGGCAAGTATGTGCTTTACCTGGACATGTTTCCCTACGTTGGATCACCATGTTATCGTATACGCGCGGCTTAGTGCTAGGGAGGTCTTGGTGAGCTGTGGGAAGGTAATTTATGTATGATGCTATTGACTCGCAATTCTGCGATCTGGCTACAGCCATTCTTTTGGGGATGTGGGGAACCACTCTCACTAGCAGGAAGATTGTACGCAGGGGTGTTTGCGTGGGGTTTCCGTAAGGTATGCTGCTGCATACGTAAGGGATGCCTCGTATGCCGTACGGTGGTTTGCAACGTACGCTATCAACTTCCAATTGCACCCTACAGGCCTGGTAACTATACCATGCATGCATGCAGTCTTAGCTCGCATTGTGCGGTCATCACCGCCTTACCTTGCTTATGGTTTCTATTCGCTTCATCCTTGTTGCTCTCTTGGCGGGTCTGGGCGCTCACGGATTACCAAGCTCTTTGCCGAGGCTTGTCCGGCTGATTGCGGCGCTGCCATAGCCTTTGGACCATACATGCATCCACTGAGTACTCCGTTGTAACAGATACTCACTGAATGGATCCGTATCTCCCATCTGTGCCTGTCTCCCAAAGCCTAAGAGCTTTTGCCACACTTTATCACGCATCATGCCTGTCCTACCGTGCTCAAAAGCCTCCCAGCTTATACTTGCTTTGGTACCCTGCCACCTCCTACCCTATTGGTTAATCCTGATTTGTGGTAACCTCCGGCCCTCCGCCAGCTACAACCCCAACTCCGCAGAGCCTGGCTAAGCCTCCCGTGTACCTTTTCCGTTAGAATAGTAGTCGGACCACCACCACTTCTAGTGTATGCAACAATTGTTAATTGTGGCCAATCTCTGTTCCCTGCTGTTTGCAACCGCCACTCACTCGACCCCCAGGTCAGGGAGTGCTTCACAATTCGTTTCAAGGAAGTTGCCTACGTGGCAGCAGCGACCGGGGAGGAGGCGGCACGGTAATTCTGGCGTGCGAATTCGCTCTTCGGTGAGGGGGCTGTACGGAACGATGGGGATGGGGATCAGGTGAGGGGCCGCAGGCGGGTTGGTGTACGGCAAATGAAATGACGGAGTGATACGATGCGAGGAGGCCGTATCGTACATGACATTGGGGATGTACAGGACGGCAGATGTGGTGGGAAGGACTTCTGGGGATGGGGGTGTTCGCGGGCTTGGTCTGGGACGCGCACGCGCGTGTAAACGCTTCTGCCGTGTCGCCACCCCAATTTGGCACTGTCTACCATACGAATCAGACAGTACCGAAGCAACACGGCTCGCGCCTGAAGGGATTTAAATGCTCCAAGTGCACCTGGTCTGACCAGGTCTGGTTGCATACGCACGGCGTGCCGGTACTTGCAACTTTGCCCAGTGTCAAACCCTTGCCTAACCTTTCCGACACCTATAGCGCTTGCAGGGTCGGGTTATTCCAAGGCATACTGCCTTCTTCAATACGAAGGTTGACTAGCTGGTAGGGTTCTCTAGCTGTTAGCGGACTAGTACCCATTGTCGTCCGGGTACATGATGTTGCATTATAATCGTTAAGCTAGCTGATATCTGTCCTGTACTGGCAATTTGAGCTCCTCTTTTCTCACGTGCTCGTCCAAATCTCCATCCGTCTTCATGTATCCCAGAACAAGCATACGATGTCTGGGCGTGTAAAATGTTGCTTGGTTTGGGCTGGATTACCTTTGCAAAAAGTTTTTTTGGCTTCGAAACTAAAGCTACGCCCATGATCGCGCTTATTACAGAGGGCGTGTGTCCAAGCAACACAGCTCGTTGAGTACTACTTTAAGACTTTCTTCACTTGCCCTCATCAGTGGGGAGCAACATACCACAAGCCGCCTTGAGCCCAAGGGGTTGATATACAGCGAACCTTTACTTACCTTTCTCCATGGGAAACTGCTTAAGTGAATTCAGGTAGGCTGCGCTTACATAGTCCTTTCCCTCGGAAGCATCCTGATTACCGTTACTCACAGGTTGGCGCGCTTCCACTCTTGCTCTGCACATGCACAGTATCATCATGCTTGTGCCATGCCTACACGACGAAGATGACGATGGGCCCCGAGGCGCGCAGCGGGCAACTGCTGCCTCGCAGCAGCCCGTCAAACGCGTCGAGGTATGTGCTTGACAGGACACTCCGAATGAAAATCTGCGCTACCACACTGGAAGGATACCGTTATTTCATATGCGATTCTGCTAACATCCTGTCCAGCAGCCGAAGCAAAGCGTCAATCTTGTATGGCGCTTTGCTCAGCCGAGGCCGCGTAGGCCGCGGTTTCCTGGCCTTTCAACCTAAAGCGACGCATATAAGCCACATGCAGCAGCTCACTGCTTGCCTTGCTGCGCGCAGGTAACAAGCAAGCACCCATCCGCGCGGCCATCACCGATGGCGACTTAGCGCTTTTCCGTGGGCTGGCCACTAGGGCAGCTTCCGCTCCCTCATGGTAGTGCTATCTCAGCATATCAGCTATGGCAGACGCCACGAACATCCTGTTCGGCGTCTTGTGCAGCAGGAGGCCCGCAATCGCATCCGGCATCGCGGGCTGAACCGCGACCGGCGGTTTCAGAGGAGGAGAGGAGGAACCTGTGGAGGACACGGAAGCCGTGTATGTCTTCAACTGGGTGGGACGTGGTGGGGTCCGAGCGAGATGACAGCTGCTATGGGCGCGTGAAGGGCACACCAGTGGGCAGAGTCAGCGAGTGAAAGAAACGGACAGGATGGGGACAGGGGTGGAGAGTGGAGCTGCAGAACGAGAAGAAGTACCCGCAAGAGCGGGAAGCTCACGCATGGCTCTTGGTGCCGGCCTGCATGAGAGAGAGCTGCCGGCATGCATGACCGAGAGCTGCCAGGCGGCGCTGCGACTGCTGCTGTCCCCGATCCAGAAATGGGCTAGGTAGGGGGCTAGTCGGACTGGCTTGCGCGTGCCTTGGGCGGCCTGGCCACATTAAGTGAACACGAACAGCTGGCTCAGAACTGGTAAACTGCTGCAGCTGCCTGGCCATTGACTATACTTTGGAGTGGTCAGTATATATACATGGGCTGACGAGCGTACTGTGCTGAGACCCTTGCCTCTCATATGAAACAAGGCCGGCGGGACTAATTACGCAGTTTCACCTGCCTCCTAGTTAGTTCCCTAGCTGTTGGGTGGACTGTATGGCAATAATACGGCGATGGTACGGCACCAAACACTTCGGTGAGTGATAACAACCCCAAGAGGCATAACTGCATTGCGGGGCGGTCGTGGCCTGTGACAGAACAGTGTGCTGTTGTTGCATAAAGAGAAGCTTGTGGCTTCGGATGTAGGCTGCGTGTTACCGCATGGCTGCTGCTGGTGAGGACAGGACTAGAACTAGGAAACTTAGTTTTGCCACGAGGAGAGTTCAGCCTGTGTGCACAGCTGCTGTGAGTGTATTTTGTGAGTGGCGAGAGCATTGCATCCTTGGATATATTTGACAGAGCACGCTGTGACGCGTGGGGCATAATAATAGGCCTGATTGTGCAGTGGGCCTGATCGTCGTGTTTGTTGGGGGCATTGATATTAACAAAGGCATAACAATTGCGAGCAGAGAGCAGTTGGATCGGGTTATGCTGTTGCCGTACGAGTAAGGCGTACGGTGGTGAACCTGCAGTACCATGTCCCGTACAGTAGGTTTACTCCTACATACATTAATCCCACGCATGCATTCGTACCGGGCGGCGTATTCGGGTGTACGACACGGTTTAGCGCACACACGCAAACGCTGCGGAAGGGCATGTTCGTGTGTGCGGTCGCATGCAAGGCATGCGTGGCTTGCATGCGCGTGTGGCCCCATTATGACCCTATATGTGTCTTTTCATTTCCGTTGGCAGGTGTTTCCTGCAGATCAGTACAGCCGGCGCGGGGCCTTATGACCGGTAGTTGGATGCTCGAATGTTTATGCAGGCGGTTATGTTCCATGAAGTGCGCGAGTTTGAAGATGGCACTGAATGTGGGTTTGCTACTAAGTGTGTGTCTTTGCGTGCTGGTGAATATGCATGTTAAGGGTCTGGTATCTGCGTACGGTTGCCGTACTCGCCAACACCCTTGCATTAAACCACAACGTCCGTTGAGCCAGTACACTTAATAGGGCACAAGTTGTGCCTGCATGCCCTCCGTCGCCCTGTTAACTGAAAATCGTCAGCCGCGTACCTGTTGTACATAGCAAGGCGGATCCGGCCATAATTCCTTATGTGACCCGCTTCAATTGGCACGCTTTTAATGAAGCACATGTCAGCAAGGGAAGAGGCAAGGGGCGAGGGAGCGATACGAAGCGGCTGCTCCGAAACGCTAACCGCGCGCAGCACGCGCTCCGCGCAAATATTGTATCAAGGGTGTTGTTTGCGGCCTGCAAGAGTAGCTATAAACGGAAAACGTGTGTAACTTTAAGGCGCTACGATAACCTGCGGACTAATGCCTGTCGCTTACCCAAAGAGACATGGCTTATGAACACGACGGCGATAATGCCTGGGATGACGAAAATGAAGACGAAGAGGATGAGCCCAAGCAAGTGCGTATAGGTCGACTTGGTCGCTTTACACTTTTGCGCGCAATGTGCCGGGCAACTGACAAGGGGTTCTTTTGCAGCGGCCGGAGTCGCTTAAAGAAAATCTTATCTTTCTCATTGACGCTCAGGGAGACATGTTTGAAGAAATTGAGGTAGGTACCTGCGAGGCACTGCGTCGACAGGTTGCCATTCCATGACGCTTTTTCGACACAAAGCGTCTGGGTAGCACGTCTTATAGTATCCTCTTTGGATTAAGAGGCGGCTCTCTGGATCGTTACCGTCAATCCGAGTGCTTGAGCCCGCCAATCAATCCATCCCATCCGCGTCCACAAAGCCCTTCACCGCCCCCTCAGCCCATGCAATCCGGGCCTTCGCGCTTACCAAGTCACCTCCTAAGTGATCGTGTACAATTGCTACACTTACCTGCAGTTGTACAACCAGACCACGACATCCTTCGAAGCTGCTCGGCGGGCAGTTGTGGAGCTGATAAAGCTGAAAGCTATCCAACACCCCGACGATCAAGTGGCCGTCATCTTGTACAACACGGTGAGAACGCATCACTCTTCTCTGCCGTGCGTCAAGTCATACACTTCATTGCACGGCACGCACTCGTGTTGTGTTGATGCACGGTTAAGCGTTGTCAACAGCAATTCCCTCCTCACGTAACAAGTTGATCTCACCATTCTCGTCCATCCAACCTTCAGAAGGAGAAGGACAAGCCGGCTGCTGCTGCTGACGCTGCTGACAGCGCTGGAGGCGGCGGTGTTGGCAGCGGCAGCAGCAGCACCTACCTGGCATCCTTCGAGGGAGTGCGCACGCTGCTGGACCTGCAGCCCCCCTCCGTGGAGGCGGTCAAGACAGTGCGGGACCTGTCAGGTGGGGACGTACGGCTCATTGGGGTCTTAGGGAAACCAAACCGTTCCTTAGAAAAACAGGGGCAAGGCAGTGGATCATGGGCGGCCGCCGCCGGCCCTTACCGCCCTTCCATCCCGCCGTCCCCTGCCCCCCTGGCTTGGCTAATTCGGGCTGGGCGGGTCGGGCTGGCTCACATATTGCAAACCATGATGATGCCTTATCACACGGTCAGTTAGATGTTTCCTCTTTGCCCCCCTGGATCGCATAACATGCTTTGACTCTCTCACTCCCCCTCTCCCTTGCCCTCCCCTCCCAGTCGCCTCCTTCCAAGCCCGCATCGGCTCCCTGCCCAACCGGAGGGACGCGGCACTAGCGGACGCCTTGTTCCGGGTGCAGCACTGCCTGACGGGCGGGGGAGGGGGAGGCAAGGGAAGCACTGCAGACAGGTGGGACGCAAGGCGTAGTACGCGCGGTGTGGGTAGAAGCGGGTCGGTGTTACAGCGTACAAGTTTCTCGAGGGACATCTCGAGGGCTGCTCCGCAGTCCTCCTGGCAGGCCCTCCAGCTCGTTGCCCTCCCACGTGTCCTCCGTACAGGTCGTACAGGTCGTGCAGCATCCAAGTGGTGCGTTGCAATGCCCCAAACCCAATGCCCTCTCCCCCTACCCAGCCCCACCACTTCCTCAAACCCCCCTCTCCTGCCGTACAGGTGGTACAACACAGTGGTGGTTTTCACCAACGACCCGGACCCCTGCGGCACGGGGCCGGCGGCGCGAGACATGATGTGAGGCCAACGGGAAGGGAGGGGCGGTGGCGGGAGAGAGAAGGGAAGTGGCCGTGAAGCGCTGTGTGGGGCTTCAGGTGCAAGCGGGGGAGGCTTTCCTCCCTTGCCGAGACACCATTTGATTAATCACAACCGACCACTGCCAGGTTTTTACCCCACACGACCATGCATGTACACTGTTCCGACTCGCGGCCCGTTTTCTTAGCACAGTTGCTTTATCACACCCGCAGTGACAACCTGGGCAGCCGAGTGGAGGCGTTGCAGGGGTACGGAGTACGACTGCGGTTGTTCCCGCTCGCAGCTGCCGTACGGCCCTTCGAGTCGGGGCGGCTGTGGCAGGGGTTGCTGAGAAGCTTACGCGGGGCGGCAGGAGGAGAGGGTGGAGGAGAGGGGGAGAGCGGGGGAGGCGAGGAGGGCGGCGAGGCGGAGGATGACGAGAGTTTGTTGAGGGAGCTGGTGAGTGGAGGGATGTCGGGTACCGGTGGGGGATGCAGAGGGTGCACAGGGGTGCAGGGTTGTAGGGCTGGCGCGGCAGCACGGAAAGGCTGGGACTCCTTCCCTGTGTAGCCCTGTGTCGTGCGCTTCTCCCCTCCCCCGCTCGCAACGTCTAGCTACCGACCTCCCCGTCGACCGCATGCCACATTCCATCCCTACCTACCGCAACGCACCCTTCCCCATGGCGCCCCCTCCCCCGCCAGGCCTCCGACCCCTCCACCCGCCCCGACCCCTCCTCCGCCATCACCTCCCTCTTCGACTCCTTCAAACGCCGCCTCAGCCGCAAACGCACTGTCATGCGGCTGAGGTGGGAGATCAGCGAGCAGCTGGGCATACCGCTCAAGGTGAGTGGGCGTGTGTTCAGAAGCATGGCCGCAAGCCGGAACGTACCGTACTGTCTAGTGAGGGTGTGCTGCCTTGGCGGCAGAAGGAAGGGACGGCTTTCACTCAATTCCTTCGTACCCGCCTCCATTCCCTTCTCCAGGGCTACCGGCTCCTATGTAATGAGCAAAGGAAGCAGGGGACGATGCGCCCCTCATCGCCCCTCTTAGCACGCCCCAATCGTCTTCCTCGTCTCTCCCTCTCCTGACCCCTCCGCAGGGCTATCTGCTTATATCGGACGAGGCTAAGGCTGCCAAGAAGACCATTCCCCTCAACCCAACCACCAACCAACCGCTCAAGGTAAGACTCGGTCGCGTGCGTGCACATTTGTTAAGGAAACGGATCGCGTGCGCGTGCGTGTCATGTGTGCGTGTGTGGTATTGTGACGCCCGTTTCGGGCATTGGGCATACATCCTCGTTCTTTTTTCTCTTTTTTCTTCTTTCCTCTTTCTTTTCTGTGGGTTCCCTATGGTTCGGTATGGCCTTGACCCCCCACCGCAAGGTGGAGCCTTGTCACGTGGACAGTAGCTACGTATCTCCTCTTTTCCTGCCGCCTCCCCCTCCCTCTCATTATCTCCTTCCTCTCCCCCCCCCACTTCCTCTCGTTCTCTCCCGCCCTCAGACCGTGACCACCCTGGTGTCCACCTCGGACGGGCGAGTGGTGGAGCGCGAAGAGGTGGGGCGCCGCAAGGCATTCAGACTCAAAACGGGCAACACTGAGAGGATGCCCGAGGTAAGGGTGAGAGGTATGACCCGTGGGTCGTTGTGGTGGACGGGTGGGTGAGTGGGTCGATGTGACCCTCGATGTGTTAGGAAAACTGCCCGCGAGTGGGAACGTGCTGGATTGTCGGATTGTGTGTGATGTGTGTTTAGCCGCCCCTCCCTCCAACACAAACCGCATCCCGATCCCCGCTCCTCCCTCTCACCTCCCCTTTGCCCCCTCCTCCCAGGTCCTGCTGCCTGCCTCCGAGGCCGCCCAATCCGGCCCCGTCCCCCTCTGCCCGCCCGGACTGCGCCTGCTGGGCTTCAAGCCGCTGGGCCCCCCCGGCTGCTGCCTGCGCCGCTGGCACCAGCTGCGGCCGCCGCTGTTCCTGCGGCCGGACGAGGGCGCGGCGGAGGGCGCCACGGCGGCCTTCATCGCGCTGTGGAGGGCGATGCTGGCGGAGGAGAGGTTCGCGGTGTGCAGGTGAGGGGGGGATAAAAAAATATATGATGAGACACTGACGAAGCAACTGACGAGGGGGAGGGGAGGAGGGGAGGGGAGGGGGTAGCAAGGGGGGATATGTGCGCGTGGTGTGCATGGGCGGGTGTGCGGCGAAGCAGCAATGGCACCGGCGGTGATAGATATGGTGTGTGGTGATCCGCCGCTCTTGGTGCTCCCCTGCGCCGTATTCCTGTGGACGTCTTTTCCGACCGGGTTCACAGTAACTGGTAGTGCATGGTAATGCAACCCCAACCACCCACCACCCACCCTCCAACCGCCCGCAGCTACAAGCGCGCCAACACGGTCCCCCAGCTGGTCGCCCTGGTGCCGGTGGATGAGGCGGTGGATGTGTACGGCATGCAAACCCAACCCCCCGGACTGCACATGATCTACCTGCCGTACTTGGACGATGTACGCCAACCCGAGACAGTTACCGGCCTGCCTCGTCAGCAACCAACCGACGAGCAACTGTCAGCCGCCGCGCAGTTCGTTAGCGCACTCAGTTTGGAAGCCGTTGAGCCGTTCGATCTGACACAGATCGCCAATCCTTGGCTGCAACGACATTACCAGATCCTGGAGGTTGGTGGTGGTTGGTTCTGTTTGTTTGATGTCAGATGTTGAGGTGGTTAGGTAGGTCTTATACGGCCGTCCTGCCTGCCAGTGACCTCCTTTGCAAGCATGCGCGCAGGTGGGCCAAACCCAACAACACCCCACTTCAACACCTGCTGTGCTTTCCAATCCCTTACAACCTCACTCACGCACATCCCCCTAACGCGCCCCCCTGCTAGATTCCCCTCACTCCCACTGCGGCCTCTCTTACTGCCGGGAACTCCACACACATAACCCCTCCCTCCCCCCCTCCCCCCTGGTTTGGTATGGTCTTTGACCCCCCTCCCCCCTGCAGGCCATCGCGCTGTCCGAGGAGATTCCCCCCTGGCATGCGGCCTCCGACGACCCCACCCGACCCAACCCGCAGCTCTTCACGCAGCCGGAGGCGCTGGGGGCGGCGGAGGTGGGGGGCGGGGGAGGGGAGGGGAAGGGAGGGGGAAGAGAGGGATGTGTGAATGTTCCCCTTTATTACCGGTACTGTTCCTAATAGAACCCTTTGTGGCAAACCCCTTAAGCATAACCCCTCGCCCCCTCCAGGCCTTCCGCGCCGCTTTCCCTCAGGGCGGCGGCGGTCGGGGCTCTGCTAAACGCAAGGCCGAGGGGGAGGCGGGCGGCAGGGTAGGCAAGCGGCGGGCTGGCGGGGAGGGGGTTGTGGAGGGCTCTCAGGGTATGACGGCGGCTGAAATCAAGGCGCGGAAGGCGGAGGCGGTGGCAGATGTATATAACGGTGGGTGGGTGGGCAGACCGAAGTGTGGGGGAGGAAATGGGGCGTTATGCACTGTCCCATGTCCCGACTCATGCAGTGACCGCATTAGCAGACTCCACTCAACTCTAGGAACACGAAACCCAGGGGGGGTTAGGTGGATGGGAATCGAACTTAGGGAGGCGTGTGGTGGAATGGAAGGGGGGTTGGGGTCTGGGTAGGGAGGTTGGAGATTGGGGTAGGGTTGGCTGGCTATGGCGGATAAGGAAGGAACGACCGCGGTGGTTAAGAAAGGTGCGTGGGTCAGGTATGCCCGCTGCCGCATGTACGGTTCACAACCCTAACCGTGACTCCCTCCCCCTCCTCATCGCTTGCAGAGTTCGACTGGCCCTCGCTCGCCTCCAGCGGCGGCCTGAGCAAGCTCACGAAGGACGACCTCACTGTCTACCTCAAGTGAGCTCGCGTGTGCATGACGGGGGTCGTGTATGACGAGGGGGCAGTGCATTAGGGGTGGTGCATTGCGGGAGGTATGAACTGGTCAGGCTGCAGCGAGGGGCCATGCCGTACTGTTCTGCAGGGTAAGACAGGGTACACTGATACCACCTCCCTTCTCCTCCACCTTCCCGTCCCCCCCTCCCCCCAATGCAGGCGGCACAAGCTCAAGGTGACCGGCAAGAAGGATGAGTTGGTGGCTCGGATAAAGGAACACATGCAGGGAAGCTAAGAAGACGATCTAGGGATTATCGGGGAGGGGAAGGTGACCCATGGGTCGGACTTGGCGGCGAGGAGGACGACTCGGCGTGGTGGTCGTTTCTGCAGTGGAGGTCTAGGGTGCTGAGGGTATGCAGCTACACGGGGCATGGTTGTGTGTTTTTAAAGTAACTGGCTGCGAGGCGAAACGTACGTATGGTTGTGTGTGTGTGTGTGTTTGTAGGGAGAGGAAGGGAGGAGGGGCGCTTGCGTGCAGGAGTGCTTGGGGGGGAAGTGGAATTTGAATTAGGTGGAGTAAGGGGAGCCGTCCCCCTGTTTCTTGGTTGAATTAGTTGCATGTTGTTCCCAATGTCGGTGTAGGCGTCCTTGTCGTACCGTATAACCATACTTTCTTGAAGAAGTGAAGCGTCATTAGGGTCAAGGGGGGAATCGTCGTAAGTGGTGCAGCAAAACATCACTCAAATCTCATGCATGGCGGGCAATACAGTATACATACCGGTGCTGTAGATGTCTACTCTTCTGAACATGTCGCGTTATGAAGAAGAATGCAGCACGCCAACGCAAAGGACACGGCGGAGGCGTTGATGGCTGTGTGGCTATACGGGCACTGGTTACCCTTGTAAGATCGTGTGATCGGTTGTACGGCCGACCGTGTACCGTACCAAAACTAGCTCTATTATGCTGTACGTTTAACCATGATGAACAGTACAGAGCATCCTCCATCTCCTCCAACGATGTGACAAACGAAAGGTGCCTTTGCACTTCCGTCGTACAGCTAAATTGCCGTAGCAAATAGGGTTCGGAGAGGGCTTAGTAGCTCCATAGCTGTCGTTGGAAAACAACTTAAGCGGCGATAAGAATAAGGCAACGTAAGATAGACACGATAGGGAATGCTCAGGTGCATCGACGTGTTGGCGGTCGCAAAGTGGGAGCAGTTTGATAAGGCAGAACGTCGACTCGTGGCTGCTAGAGTACATTCGGCATGAATGATCTTTGTATTGGCGGACTTTTAACTGCCGTTTAGGTCCCAGGCAGGGAATCCCGGAGGCCTAAATACCTTGGTTTCGGAGGATCTTGCGTCCCATGGGCTTCCGCTGTGCATTTGGCGCCTCGTCGCAGTTGGATTGCGCAAAACTTGTTTAGTTATTGAAACAGGGAGATTGCTGTCAGTTGCGGGGTCTAATAGACCAGTAAATGCAGAGTATCACTAGCAGGGACACGGCCACGCACATCACAACGCACAACGTGATATAAATTGGTCAAGCGGAAAACAATGGGCGATTGCAATTTGCTTCCACACTTTGCGTGTAGGTAGCTTAAGCGGCGAATATTAGACTGGATGCTACTGCTGCGACCGCCCGGTTCGCAATAATGTCTTGTTCCATGTCGCGTACACGAGGCAAATCTCTAAGGAGACCAGTTAGTGTTTCTCACTTCACCGTTATAACTACATCTCTGAACGCGGTAGCTATCACTTGCTGCGAAATGCTGGCCGCAAACGTCCATTCGTATGCCCCCGCAGATGCCCTGCCGGATACCGGACAGGACAGCGGAGTTTCGCATAACGAGTTCCTGAAGGAGCTCCTTGACGCGATTCCCAGCAATCCTGCGGCAGCTGCGGTGGGTGCTTACTTCCCTCTTTTGTGCTTCGGATGCATGGATGTGTCCGCTCATATCCGACTGCTATCTGGTTGCCCGTGCTACACTCACAGAGGGGGATAAAAATACAACATATATATGTACAAACACGGTCTTGTATATTGGATGATATGTTCCTTTGGGTGGCTTTGTTCCCGTCTTTTCATGACAGTGACGCGGTCGCGTCGAACGAACGCCGGTCATTGCTCTTCATTTAGCGCCTTGGGTAGACAAGTGGTTCAGGTTGACTCCATAATAATAATTAACCTTAACTAGAACGGCTACGCTGCGTCCCTAGAACTGCGCATGCCCATTTCGGCTTAGCCGTGCAATACTTTCCAAAGTTAGTACGTACTCAGATCAGGCTCCACTACTCGAAAGGGGCACCGCCTCTGCTTAATGGACACGGTAAGATGTCCACGCTATAACGCAGTGCTATTACATTCCGACGTTCATGCACACACATGCTGAGAAACATACAAGTCCCCGACTCGCTTTCTTAGCCACTTCAACATCTTCAACAATATACCTTATCAACGGGCTCTGGCAATTACCTTATTTGCGTTTGGAGTAAAGTTGCTACAGAACATATGTCTCTGCCTCCTGCCGTACTAGAAGGCACATGCCTACGCGCCGTGTAGCTTTTACCTTCCGGCCCATTTCACCTCCCATGTTGCCCCTCATAAAGGCAAACATGCTTGCTTCGCCTCCTGCACTACAACTGTCATTCATACGTCACCGTAGCCCTCCCTTCCGTCTCCGATGATGCCCTCCCCTTTTGCCGTACAGGTTGCTGTTGCCGGTGCAGACGGCAGTCTCGCGCTCCCCAGTCTTCAGATGTCAAGCCTGCTTGACGGAATGATGCTCTCCATTAGTCCCGAGGAGATGCATCAGGTGAGGAATGCTAGAGCCGGAGTCTCTAAACTAGGGTTTACGGTTTGTTCCCAGCACGGATATGTAGAAGACGTATGTCATCAAGGAATGCAACAGCTCGGGTATTTACAGAGTAGTGATTACTGGCCTCACAGGTTACGCAACAATGTTGGAGATAGGTTTGGAAATCCCATTGCTCTCAGCGTAGCATGCCGTACTCGCATCTAGCAACATCCAGCAGCAACCGTTGAGCTTTCCTCTGTCGTACATCAATCTGCCCTTCCGTTCCTCAGGTCCTAAACCTGCCCCTTCTGGCGCAAAACGGATCTGCAACCGATGCTACAAACAAAGTCAATGCGAATAGTACGGCTCTTGAGAAGTCGTACAAGATGCAAGAGGCCCAACAGGGTCCATCCGTACAGCCGCAGCAGCCGCTGCTGCAGCAGTGGCCGTTGCCTCAAGGACCGCAACCGCCGCAACCGCCAAGCTCCCAACGGCCGCTACAACACCTCATCGGCAAGCGCATTGTACCATCGCACCTGTACGAAGAGCAAAGCTGCTGCTCCAATACTGAAAATCATGGAGGCAGAGTCACCAACACCGCAACGGATGGTACGGCAGTTATGCCGCTGCCGCCAGCACTGCATTCGACCGTTGGCATCAGTTACGACATGCCGTACGACGGCGGCGCTATGGACGGCGGAGTCCGTAGCCAGCGGGGCAGCTCGACCCAAATCAACCAGTGTACGGCAGCAGCAGCAGCAGCAGCTGACGGTGGTGGTGCTGACGGATGCCCTGGCAGTGGCGGCGGCACTGCAGGTGTGGGTAGCGGCGGCACCAGCTGGGAGATGGCTGCGGCTGCGGCAGCAACAGCGACCGCTGTAGCAGCCGTATCTGAAAGTAGCAGCCACGGCTGCCGCGCTGTTGGTGGCGGGGGCTGCAGCGGTGCCTTCTGCAACGCCGGAACGCACCTTAAGGAGATGTACGGCAACGGTGGCGGCATTGATGGTAGCGGATTTGACAGTGGAGGTGCCGGCGCCGCCGGTGGTGGTGACTACATCCGCTGGATGCAATCCGCTATGGACACTCGTGGCAGCAACGACCATGCAACCGTCCCTCCTCCTTCCGCCACTCCTCCTCCTCCTCCTCCTCCTCACCCCCAGTCGAACCCGCAGTCAAACCATCTCGACGACACCAGCAGCACTGATACCGATGGTTCGCTGCTTTCAACCCTGCCGTACAGCAATCCCGCTGCAGCCACTGGCTGCACTACTACTACTATTGCCGCTATGGCCGCAGCAGCAGCTGCTGTTGCAGGCTCCGTAGCCGACACTTCCAACTCCTCGCCAGTGCTTACGCCACTAGGGGCCGCATTGTACGGCAGTATGAGCGGTGTACGACAGCACCTGCGTGTGAAGCGAACTGGCGGTACGGCGGCGGCCACTACCGGCAGTGGCGGGACTGCTGCGGCTGAAATGTTGCTGGTACGTAGCCTTATGCGCCGTACGACGAGTGATTTTCCGCAGCATATGAAATACAGATGCATGCATGCACGGGACGCACAACTGTGAAACATGCATGCTTTCAGACGCACTGCGTATGGCTTGCAAGGCAGGCCCGACACATGCAAGCACACGACAAGCTGTACCCGTCATATGTCCTCCTGTGCTTACCTGTAATGTGTGATGCACGGCGAACCGCCATGGACGGTAACAGCTCATCTGCTGTCATACCCTTTGATGGCTGGGTAAGCGGTTGCGGAGAATGCATAGTTAGACATGTCGCTGCAAGAAAGATCACATCCCATAACCAACTGCAAATACGCCCATGCAGGTACGCACGGCAGCTACAGCTGCTGCAACAACGCCGCGATCCGCGCCTGCAACTGCCTTCAATGCCTCCACCGCTGCTGCAAACTCTGCTGCCGCCGCTGCCGATATCGCCGGCATGCCGTACCTCACAACTGTCGTGCAACAGCTCCAAGAACTCCATCTGCAAGAACCCGATTCAACTACTTCTGCCGCTGCCGCGGCGGCTGCTGCCGCGGCTGCACATGGTCGCAGCCTATTGCCGCCGACCCTTGGGTCACAACTGCCGCAGCTTGCCGGAACGTCGTCACCCCTTGTTGCTCATACTCAAACAGAGCAGCGAGCCGCCATGTCGGCGGCTGCTAGCAGCTTCATGCTGCAGTCAGATGGGATTGTACGGGAGTTGTTGACGCATCTCGGCTTCAGCGAGCTACAGGCGGAAGCCGCTATTAACGGTGAGTCTGGGCGTGTGCATGCTTGCACCTGATCCTTAACGAACGGTCAACCACATTGTATTTGATGTTTAGCCACATCATCTGCATATTACCTGCGTATGGACAGGCCGACGCGTCCGCTTACATCAACGCGTAAAGCTTCTACCCAAGTAACTTGCTTGCAGCCGTATCAGCGATTTCCGAAGCCCGCCGATGCATTGGCCCATGGGTCATCACCCTGTCTTTGCAACTTTGCTACATACAGGATCGCTGGCCGATTTTCCGGAGGCCGCCGCGAACGTGGTTTCCATGGTGCTCCGTCTGAAGGGCTCCGTGCTCTCCCTCTACATACGGCATTTGGACGAGAAGTCCCCACTGCTGGCTGTAGCTGCTAGTCCGGATGATGGCGGCGATGGCTATAGCAGCGGTACGGCGTACGACAACCGGCCCCTTGGTGCTGCGGCTGCGGCCCTGACGCAGCTACAGCTGCACAGTGGAGTGGCCGAGTCGCTGCTTGCCCTGCTGCGTAGCAAACTCCGGTAAGGGTCTAGGGTTAGGTGATGGAAAGGAGGGCAACCCCGGTGGCCCTGCGTTATGTTTTACATCAACGGCCTCGTGTTACGAAAACTGGCCTCGAGTAGCATGGTGTGCATGATACCTCCTCCTTCGTTGCCGTACCCCTGCCTCCACAACCTCCGCACAGATTATGCTATATGTGTGTCTTCATGCGCAGGTATTTACCTCCAGAACCTCACATGGCACATCAACCCGCACTTAGTCGCTATACGTATCGCAGTGTCTTGCATCTCCCTAACCTCCATGCTGCACGCTGCACGGCCCCCCGCCCATGCAAACATGCACAGGTCGAGCGCCTGTCAGCTGTGGGCCCTGGCAAACATCGTGGACCCCAGGCCCTCGCGGCCCATCAAAATCAGCCTGGCGTCGTACACCGGCAAAAGCACCAAACAGGTGCGTCGTACAGCGTCACTTTCCAATCACTCCTTTGCATACCTACTTACCCAAGCCATACTAGGTTACCTTGCCGGATATCGTCGTCAGTTCCTTGACCGTACAACTTGTACCCAAACGCCACTCCGACGCAGGTCACGGATTGGTTTACCAACTGGCGTGCCCGACACTGGCGACCCACCATCATGGCTCTGGACGTGCAGGGCGGCGGCGGCGTTGCCGGTAACGCCGGTGGTGCGGCAACTGCCGCCGGCGGCACTGCTACGGGTGCCAGAACTGGTGGCGGCGGCGGCTTGACAGCAGCCCAACGGAATCGGTTGGCAGCAGCGGGACGGCGGGGGGATGAGGCAATGACAACGACGGATGGGGGCAGCATGGAGGATGAGGAGGAGGGTGCTGACGGGGATGCGGCGGATTCCTGGGGGTACAGCGGATGAGCGGGTGAGTGGCTGAGCGTTGAGCATGTGTGAGGGTGAGGGGCAGGAGGCAGGAAAGAGGATTGCTGGGCCTGTGGCATGTGTGCTAATAAGCTTGCGAGAAGGTGGGACGTGCGATTGCAATGCATGGAAGAGATATGTTATGTGTTTTACGCCCGATGAAGGCATCAGGCGAACTGGGAGGATACCCAGCAACCCAGCGTATTTTGGCTGGCGAAATAATCGGAAGTGGACGGCCACAACAGTCTTAATGCACGTACGATTGAATGCACGTACGGTGGAATACTGTCGTACAGCGTTTGTACATATGCCGTACAACGGATGGGTAGGTCCCGTGGCGCACAGGAAGATGAGGAAGTAAGGTCGTAGGGAAGGTTCTACGGGAACCTCGCGTGCTCCTCTTATGTTTGATATGTTTGGAAGAGTAGCCTTTTTGCACCTGTACAACTATATGTTAATAGTACCGGTACAGCAGCATACACCGTGCCTTTGTATCACATTATCATTATTCCACGTTACGAGTATTCGATACGATTGCACTGCCGTACCCCGCCTATCTGCCCCTCCAGTGTAATCCTCGCCTCCTATCTGCCCCTGGTTTGGTTTGGTTTTGTCGGGGTCGCTATCCAGGCAGCAGCAGCACGGCATGGAAGTGCGCTGGGCTTGGAAATGTCCTGCCCACTAACATGCGGAGAGGGCGGTCATGCAATGTAACAAGTGGACATGGTGCATTTGGAACAGACGCGCTCGAATCACCATGTGCGGATTCTGGACCTGGATCCTGCATCTGACAGAGTCAGGTTGCGAGCTGCGGCAGCTGCCTGCGTGAAGGCTTGGCGGCGTGAGGGTTCAACCACCTAGGGGACAAACGAGTACTCGACCCATGGGTGTGGGCATGGAGGTTGTGTAGGCAGGGTGCGGCATGGGCTCCAGCACCAGCAGCAACCAGCGGCGTTTCCACCATTGCAGCAGCAGATGACGGAGGACAAGAATAGGAAGGCCGGCACGGAGTGGCTACCACTGGGAGCCGACGGTAGGTTGTAGCAAACAACATTAGGGTTGGCCACTAGAGGCAGCTGGCTGTGTGTGTGGGCGGTGCCGGGCACTGGTGCGGTTTATATGTGGGAGCGACAAGGAGCTTGGAGAGTGACGCTGGTGGGGAGAGAGGGGGGAGGGTAGCAGCAGGGCAGGGCATGCGGCGTGGAAGGCGATTGGCGTCGGCACAGAGGGTCTTGAGCGTAATGTATGGGTGGTCGATGGGAGCCGCGGCGCGAGTTGCACTGTAAAAACGTCCCTTCCTGGGCATGAATGGTTGCGGCGTCAGTCCGGCTTCCTGGATGATGCGTCCTCCGAGGATAACGCCATGGACGTGGGCGCTATCGGCTGATGTGGACGGGGACTTGCTAGTGTCCGCGTTGCGTCTCGTTGTATTGGGGGCGGCAACGTTACACGTGCTAGGTGTACACGATTTGTTGTGCTGAACGTGCCGGGAGGGAGGGGTGGGGCGAGATGGAAGGGTAGGTGGGGCGGGAGGGAAGTAAGAAAGAGAGATGGTGAGGGCGGGAGGGAGGGAGGATTTGGTGAGGGGAGCGTGTGTGCCCGGGAATAATGTCCGTCGTTCCGTGGCTGTGTAAGGGATGCAGGGCAAGCCCAACACGACAGGTGAGTCCCAGCCCACTACAATATTTGAATGGCTGAAAGTTATTGCAGCGCATATCTACATTAAGGCATGGATTGGGCTGGAAGGTGTAGGGAAAGACCACTGACGCTCTGGATCTGCCGTACGAACAGAGGCAAGACACCCCCGAGGCAAAATTGTATCGCGCTCTGGCTATATAGTATTGCTGCTTAATATTTTGACGGAATATGAGAAGTACATTTGTTTACATGCTACCGATACCAGTATTTCGTTTACATGGTCCTTACAATGTTTTTTCAGCATGTTTGTTATAATACATAGCCCGCATACAAATGAGCACCAGACAATTGTTATCAGAGGAGCGCCTTGAGCTCAGTACTCCGCTCGACATGAGCGAAAGTTGCTTCGACGGGGCCGCACAGGTGCCGCTGGACGTACTAGCACTGGTGTTCAGTTATCCTGGTGTTAGATGCCGTGATCGCGGTGCAGCTCGCCTCGTTTGCCGGCACTGGCGGTACATGATCGATGGCCTCACCGTTAGAAGCTTAGTCCTGCGAAGCCCTAGCTGCGGCCCAGGTCGCTCAGCTTCGCAGCTTCTGAAGCGGTTTCCCCTACTCCAAAGCCTCAGCTTGGGACCAGCAGTTACATCCAACCGCACAGCTTTCACAGACGTCTTGTCAGCGCTCCCCAGCCTGGCCCAGCTGTCAAGCCTGACACTTGAATTCCCTTCTCCCTCTGCCGTACGCCTCCCCACCGTCCTACACACCCTCAGCCGCCTGCAGTCCCTTTCCATCAGCGTCGTACAGCAGGGAGGGAATAAAGGACTGCTGGGCAGCATTGGCCCGGGCCAGAACCGCTTCTGTTACAGCAACACCAGCACCCTACATGAAACCGGCTGGGGCGCCGCAGTCGGAAACGACGACTGCGCTGATGATGAAAGTACCTCTAGTACGGCAACGGTGGGTCAACAACACCGACATGACGCCGACGGCGGCAGCGCAATAGGGCCCCGTGTAGGCGCCTGGCCTACTAGTCGCGCCTCCGAGGCTCCTGGGAGCTCCTCGGCGGCCTCGGCTGCGGCTGCTGCCCCGCCGCGCGTCACTCCACCGGGCCTTATGCCGCTGCTGACCGCTCTCGGCCCACACCTGACCTCCCTGGAGCTCGTCCACTTGGCGGTTTCGGTGCCGGAAGTCCTGGCTGCCGTTCGAAGTACGACAGCTGCAGCGACAGCAGCACCAACCGCTGGAGCTACCGCGAAGGCTACTGCCGCAGGGCAACTTTTCCCCAGTGGCGGTGGCGCCGCTGCTGCTGCTGGTGCCACGTCATCCCTGGGGGGTGCGGCAAGCGCAGCTGCCGGCAGCAGCGGCGGCGCTCACGGCGAAGGTAGCTGCGGTGGCGGCAGCGGCGGTGGCGGTGGTGGCGAAGGCTGTTGTGCGGGCGGGCTCCGGCGGTTGGTGCTGGTGGGCAGTGGGGTGAACCTGACGGGGGTGAACGCGCAGGAGGCGGCTGCCCAGCTGATGAGGCTGGAGGTGGGTGAGGGAGGAGAGAGGCATGCGGGGCTAGGGAGGGGGAGGGGGCAAGGTGGCCGCATCAAAGGGATGAGTTGGCAGGAGGCGAAGGTGCAGCTGGGGACAGGTGGGTAAGGGGGGTTCTGGTCGCATGGGAGTTGAGGTAGAGAAGAGGGGTATGTGAGTTGAGGTAGCATGGGAAAGAGGAGGGCTGCGTAGCCCTGTTGACGACAGGTGAGGAAGGGGAAGTTTGGTGGGGAGGGTCGTGTCAACGGGATAGCGGTTACTAGGCATGTCGTGTATACGTATATTGGGAGCTGGTATACGGTATTATACGCATAATTATGCGTATAATGCGTGTTATACGCGTATGCGTACATGGCTGACCGTAGGCATACCGGTCTAGGGCCACGCTCATACCGGTTCCACCATACACAACGTAAATGGGGTTTAACAGGGCAAACACCGCATGTACCAGCCTCTAGGCGCCCACAGCCCCCCTACACGCCAACATTACGCCGGGTTTGTGGCGTTTTCCTGTTGTACGGCGTACACGACCAGGCTTCCCCGTATACGGAATTGGGCTTTTGTACGTATTTCGCATACGCTGCCCTAAAACTTTATACGTGTATTATACGCATAAATATGCGTATACGTAACGTATAGTATAATATACGCCGACATGCCTAGCGGTTACATACAACACATACACGTAACGCACACGCCCTCTCCCCACGCCTCCCTCCGCACAGGTTCTCACATTGGACGCCTGTACGGGCGCGGATGCCTTCATGCCGCTTCTGCCGTACATGCACCACGTACGGGTGGGTGCTGTCAGGATGCTTGCTGGCTTTACGTTGGGCTATAATGGTTACTATAACCGTTACCCTGTTCCCGTTCGTTCATGCGCGCAGCACCTGACCCTGGCGGGCATGGACTATGCCTGGGCAGCAGCGGCCGGCTACCACCAACGGTCACGAGCCGACAGCACCCCTGACCTCAATCGGTTTATACTACTGAACGATCCCAACATACACCGGCTGCAAACCAACATCAACAGCAGCAGCAGCTATGGCAACCAAGCAGGTCGGAATCCAGCGGCGGCGTCATCCTCGTCAGCGGCGAACAACGAGGCAGCAGTTCTGGCGGCTGCCGCAGCCGGTTCGGGTCGACCGTTGGGATTTCTGTTGTGTCTGACTCAGCAGTTGCGGTCGTTGAGTCTTGCTGGATCCTTCCTGCGGACGTTGCCTAATCGGGACATCGGCGGTCTTTCTGCGTTAACAGCTCTGGATGTGTCTGGGAACGGCTTGGACGATCTACCGCAGGGTGAGTACGTGTACGTCACAGTGATCCATGTACCATTCCTGCCGTACAAATACCAAATTAGAAACCTCCAGTTCACCAGAGGGCACTCGCATCGTACAATAAGTACAGCTCGCCCCTTCCGAACGCTGCGAATCAACAATACGTACCAACATGGCTTGTGCGGCCCACGGCTCTTCTCTCCCAGTACCTTTGCTCTCGGACCGGGGTCACTATTGCTAACTACTCCCTCCCAACACACACCCGCCCCCAGGCCTGGCTAGTCTACCGCTGCTGTGTCGGTTGGACGTCTCCAACAACGAACTAACCGCCCTGCCGTCCTGGCTAACGGCCATGGAGGTAGGCAGCTAGGGCACCCTTAGAGGAAACGGGTGGTGGATTAGGGGAGTTGTTGGGGAGGGGTGCGTTACTGAGGAGGTGTAGAATTCAGGCCCTTGGAGGTAACATTTTGCGGATTTCGTAGCCGTGTTTTCGTGTCCTGGCCAAGGATTCTGGAGAGTAGCTACCGGTACGCAATCTCCATGGCACGGTGCGGGTGCGGTGGGGTGAGTGGGTTGGGGTGGCGTGGCGGAGGATGAGACAACCATTGTTTCGCCATTCCTTTCCATCTTGCTGCTTTGCGTTCCTTGCTAATGTTTGTGTGTGTGCTTGTGGATCCGCCCAACCAACAGGCTCTTGAATCCGTATCGTGCCACCACAACCGGCTAGAGGACTTCCCCACACTCCTGTACGACATACCCCGACTGTCGTACATCTCCCTCGGCCACAACCGCATCTCCTGGTGGTAGGTTTGTACGTTCGTTCAGCATTCCTTGGTCATGTTAGTGAAAAAAGCTTAGCCATGTCAGGAGAAGCGGGGAGGGGTTGGGGACAAAGCGCACGTGAGTGCAGGGGCATGTTGTTGCTGACTGGTTTTCCGTCACTTTAGCTGGAGCTTGCTATGAGGTTAGGAAAAGCAAGAGGACTGCAACACCTCCGCCTGTCCCGCAGTGTCCTGCACGCTTCGCCGGGCGTTGTTGCATCCTCGTGACACGTCCCCGATGCATAATCCTTCCCTGTCGTGGCACTATGATATATCTTGTCTTGCCCTACCCTCCTTTCTTCCCAACCTACCTGGTCAGGCACGTTGCCCCAACTGCCTCAAGCCGACAAGACGGCCCCGCTGCTGCCGCCACCACCGCCTCTTCCTCCTCTCCCTCCTCGCAAGTTCCTCTTCCTTCCCTAGCTGGTAGCGCCACCTCTACCCTCACACACCATTCCCAGCCTCATCCCCAGCAGTCCAGCCTCCATCCCCTGCCAACTGTATCCTCATCGGCATCAAGAGAAGCAGCAACAGCCGCCACGGCAGCAGCAACACCAACGACTGCATCCGCTGCTGCCGCCGCTGCTGCTGCTGCTGCTGGTGATGGCATTAGTGGCGGCGGTGGCAGTAGCTGTAGCAACGCACGCACCTGCAGCAGCAGAAGCAGCGGAAGCGGCAGCCTGACCTCCCTTGATCTCTCTCACAATCGGTTGTGGGGGTTGGCAGGTGGTTTGGGTTCGTTACAGCAGTCGCTTCGGCGATTGCGGTTACGACACAGCCTGTTGGGGTTTGGTGGCGCGGCGGCGGCGAGAGCTATGGGGCTGCTTGCCACGCTGGGAGAGTTGCGGGAGGTAAGGTGGGGAAAAGGGGTGGGTGCGGTTGAAACGCGGTGCGTTTGGTTTGTAGGGAATATCGGTACACACGCATGCATTCCAGCAATCGCTTTATTGTTCCCGCTACTGCGACTGTTGTTCTTCTTCTGCCGGTGAGTACTATATCGTTCGAGTAGCAGCGCATGCCCTCTCCTCTACCCCGCACCCGCAACACCTCCTCCGCTCCTCATCTCCGCAACCCGTCTGAACCCCAACCCACCCCCACTCCACCTCCCGCTCCCCCCACCACCAGCTGGACCTCTCCTCCAACCACCTGGACCACCACTGCATCGCCCCGCTGTCGGAGCTGCGGCAGCTGCGGCGGTTGTGGCTTTCAGATAACGGACTGGAGGTGGGAGGGGGGACGGCGGGAGGGGAAAGAAGAAAGAACCCTGCTTTGAAGGATAATGGAGGGCAGGTGTCCTGGGTGGGGCGTCGTATGGTTTGTGGGCCGGGGACTCGAGCTGTCTTCTCCATGCTGACAGCTGCCATTCCTGAGCTCGCTCCTGCTGCCACTCCTGCTGCCGTTCTGTCCTCGACAACATGGTGTTCTCCTACGTTGCCGCCCCTCCTGCTCCGTCGTTTGCTTGCAGGACCTGCCGCCTGGGTTCGCCGCGTTGAGCCGCCTCACCGCCCTCAGCCTCCGAGCCAACCGTATTGGAGAGGTGGGGTACAGGGAAACAAGTGAAGCACTGGGTCTGGGTCCCATTGCGGAGTTGTGGGAGGGCGGGGGCCTGGGAAGGGCGGGGTAAGGATGGAGGGGCGGAGGAGAGGGGGCAGGGGGGTTGCGGGTGGGGAAGTGGAAGAGGGCAGGGGAGTGGAAATCGGGGCCAGACCTCTGATTTCCTGACGTCTCTGCCTTGTTTCTTTCTGCCCACCCCCAGGTCCCCAACTGCCTCCGCCACCTGCCCTCCCTGGAGTTCCTGGACCTCTCTTGCAACCGCCTGACGGAGCTGCCGTACTGGATTGCGGGGGCGGACGAGGACGACGAAGTTGAGGATGAGGGAGACGGCGGCGAGGAGGAGGAGGAGGAGGAGGAGGATGTCGCTTACGCCAATGCTGGTGGCGATGACGAAGAGGACGACATGAACCCCGACAACAAGAGCAACAACAACAACAACGGCTGTTGCAGGGAGCCGGAGCAACAACAACGACAACAGCAGCGGAGGCAGCGGCAGGAGGGGCTGCGGGAGCACCGGTTCCAGAGGCAACAGCAGTCAGAGGGGCGGAAGCAGCAACCGCAGCAGCGGAGGAGCAGCCGGCTGAGGAGGAGCCGGCAGGCGGGGCTGGCCGGTCTGCGCCACCTGGACGTGTCGCAGCAGTACCTGGTGACGGTGTCGGAGAAGAGCATCCTGGGGGGCTCGCGACTGGTGGGTGGCGGAGGGTGAGGGTGAGGGTGGGGGTTAGTGGCGGGGCTTCTTGGGACAGGGGAAGGGAGAGGTTTGCTGCGGAGCAGTAGCGGGAGGAGGGCAGCTGCAGGAATGGAGAGTTTGCAGGGTGGCGTTGGAAAGGATCGGGACTGTGATAAACCGTAGGGAATGTCTCACCGACGATTCGGTGGGGCCGGAGGGAGGGACGCTTCCGCATGCGTCCTGGGCGTTTGGGTGCCGACCCAAATCCTCCCGCCTCTAACCTCCCACTTCCTTCTCCTCTCCTCCCTCCTTGTTCTGTGGGCCCTTGCCAATACTTGTATGCAAGGTTCCCTCCCCCAACCACCTCCACCTGCTACATTCTCCATTCCACTCGGCTCCGTTCCTCTTCCCTGGCGCCGCTATCCTCCTCCCACCCACCCCTGGCTGACCTACCATCCATGCTACATCTTTCCAACCTTCCCCTCCCCCCGGGGTCGTACACGTTTGTGGTTTCAGGTCGTACATCCGCCGCATTGCTTGTACGGCCCGCTTCAGGTAGGTGTTGGGGAGATGCGCAGGCGTGCGGTTTGGGGAGAGCTGCGTCTTCAACAATGGGCTGCTCTGTATTAGGGCTAAAACACGCGCTTCCCTAGTGTTCCGTTCTTCCCGCCAAACGCACGAGCCCCGCTTCAACCGGTCACCGGGTGGCCTACCGTACGGAGAGCTGTTGTACCTGCCGTATCTCCATGCTAACCCATGTCTCTGCTACTCCATGTTAACCGCCGCAACCGCCCCCTTCGCGCTAACTAGTTCCTTTGCACAAACACGCGCACCCCTCTTGCCCCTTGGGCCTCAGGGCGACCTGCCAGAGGAGTTGTTGCTGCTGCCGTACCTGCGCACCTTTGTCGTGCAGCGCCATTTGCTGGGGTCCTGGAGCTCGGGGGTACTGCGGAAACTGCAGGTACGTGCGTGCGGGTGAGGATGTGTCAACCAAAACTGGCCGCAAATAGGAACGTACTGGCATGTGTGTGCGTTTACGGTGTCGCCCGCTCGCCCTCCTGATCCCAAGAACATTCCCACTCCTCCTCACCCCTCACCGGCACTGACCCACATCGCCAACGTCATCCTCCTCCTGCCCGCCCCCTCCCTCCTTCCTAACCCAGGCCCGAGGGGTGGAGGTGCTGTACCCGCGGCCCCTGCGCCTCACCACCCTTCCGCCCTCCTCCAGCCCCTCCCTCACCCTCACCGCCGCCCTCACCGCCGGCCCGGGCAGCGGTCTCATCTACCCGCCGGAGTGCCACCACCCCTCCTCCTTGGCATCAGCGTCAACCTCCGCCTCCTCCGCTGCTGCCTCCCGTGCAGCAACAGCAGCTAACGCAACCGCGGCAACCGCAGCGAAACCGCAGCAACAGCAACAGCGGAACACGGCGGCTGCGGTCTACGGTTGTCGGGAGCGGCGGCAGCGGCGGCGGGCGGCTTGTGGCGGCGGCTGGGTGCCGGTCCTAAGAAGGCTGGACTTGGCGGTTGGGAGATGGGTGCTGCTGCTGGCGCCGGCCGTTGGTTGCTTGGTGGTTCTGGTGGAGGCTTCGAGGCTCTGTATCACGGTGAGAGCTGTTTGGGATCTCGTTACAAAAGGGGAGTAGGGGGGGTTGTGAGGGGGGCGACGCAAAAGGGCAAGCGGAGCCCTCTGTGTGACCGCCCTTTTCCTCCCCCTGACCGGTGCAGGTGGTGGTATTGCTGCTACTAACGGCCTTTGTGCGCCTCGCCATATGCACTACTTGAGGAGACACATGCATGCAAGTTGCCACCTTTACCAGTTAGGACTGGTGTGGATTAACGCCCGGCAAAGGAGCCGGAGCGCGGTGGCCTTCTAGGGCCACACGTGCCATCATCGAAACCGTGTGTGCCAGGTCGCTGGTCTGAGGAGTTTAAATAGGGAGTTTGAGACTTACCTACCAGTTGGGATTGTGCATCCGAACTGATTTGGGTCAGATCAGGCTGGGGTGATCTGGGTCGGAGCTTGGGTGAGTTCCTTTGGGCTGACCTGGGTTGGGTTTGTGAAGGCCCTTTGGGCATCTGAGCCCTGTGTACGGAGCCTGCTTCTTGATTTACGCTTGGACGGAAGGCCAAAGCGGGTTTATACGATGGCTGCTTTATATTAGGTCAGGGATTGTGTTGCAGAGGGTGTAATGTCACAAAAGACTGCGATAGGCGTATGGTACGGCGGGATATTGGGGCTGGGGAGCACAGATCCAAGGCGTATGATGACAGTGGCCAGGGAACTGGTTTGTGGGTTGCCATCGCTTTTGCTTTGGAAGGACAGGTCATGGCTGTCGCTAGGGACAGGTCATGACGTGTTGCCGTTGTTGTCATCTATCTTAGGTGCAATTACCTTAACATCAACGTCCATGTTGGCTGTACGTCTTACCGGTTGGCATGCACAAATGTATAGCGTTCGCCATGCGGAATGCATTGGTGGGCTACATGTCATTACCCGTCACAGGAGACACGCGGGGCAACCGCAAGCAGCTGGGACACTGGCAGTGTAAGACTACGGCGCCGCTGTCGGGCACACAGGGCACAGCACATAGATGTGATTGCGTTTGACATCATCGCATGTAACTTAAGAGTGTAAATGCAAGTGCTTTACACGACCTTGCCGCAGGCATTGCGCACGGGCATTTTCTCCTCACAAAAGCGACCTGGACCTCTCATCTGACCTCCTAATCAACCATTATTTGAGAAGGCTAAACCGATATGCGTTGAAATTGTGGGTACCCCGTCCGCATTCTTCCTAACTATAGCCTGGGGCTCAAGAGGCACACCGTCGTGCAGTTATAAGTTAAGAACTTGGATTACTATATCAAGAGGCGATATTCCACTGTAAGAAGCTTCTTGGAATTTAGCTGGTGGGCGCACCCCCGCGACTTAAGCGGTAGCTACCTGGTCACACGCAGCTTGGAACCAACCAGCGTATGGAAGTTATGGGTAACGTTGTTCTTTACAAAAGTGGGAAGAGGAGGGGCCACGGCCTTCTGCATTCGCGTCTCTTAATGTATGTAGCGTTCGTACCATGGCCGTAAATAGCTGTCCTGTTGCGCTGGATGCCTGAAGAATCTGGCTCATCACATCGGGCCATATAGATCTTGGGTTTGCTGCCTATTGCAAACACCACTTCCATTCTTGTTTAGTTACGTCCCACATCCCCCTCGACCCCCCAAATTTAGGACCGCTGACCCTCACAACATTTACCATATCATCATATTCTCAGTATCCATTAAGTGCATAGCGTAGGACTGACGTAGCAACGCGGAGAGAAGTGTCCTTGGTAAGTAGCGCTTTGGAGCTTTCCCATCTTCCTCAAGTGGCCGGGTCCTTTTGTTCTATATGTGGTCTGTTTCTATATACCTGCATGCTGTTAAGGGGGAAGCGTAAGGTGCCCGTAAAGCACGCCTCTTAGGGCAATTGGTCTTATCAATTCCTTTGAGTCATAAACAAGAATGGTTGTGTTGGCATCACGTTTAGGGCGCGACTCTGATCTTTCATTCCTGACGTTGCGTCAGTAGCCATGAAGGCCTGCTTCGTACATAAAGTGGCGCGCTTTTGCGCTCTAGTTTGTTCCTTGTGCTCACGGTTGCATCGATGCTGCTCACTGCAGGTTCTTCCGATCTTCTCGGAGGGCATTGTGTAATCTGAGCATGTCTGAACCCAAGCCCTCGTTGGCCGCCGGTTCGGAGGATGCGGAAGTCTTCATATCCGCTTCCGAGGATGAAGCATCGCAGCAAGAAATTACACCAGAACTCCTATCATCGCTCGTCAAGCAGGTAAGATATGGCTGCCTGTCAAAGGTTGCTGGTTTGAAGTAGAGTTGAAGGCCTTTAACACTCATTCTTGGATTCTCCTTCCAGGTGGAGTTCTACTTTTCTGATGCTAACCTACCTACTGACAAAAAGCTTCTCAAGCAAATTCGCAAGGACCCTGATGGCTATGGTAAGGTCACGTCGCTTCCTGTTCCCGACCTCGGCCGCGCCGCTTCCTTGCCAACCCCGAGCCTTACCCCCTGGCTTTCCTAAAGTGCTGCTAAAAATGCTACCTTCCTCTAAACTTTCTGTTTCTCACCCGACTGCCACATCTCTGCCCTCTCCTGATGTGCAGTTCCCGTGAAGCTCTTTGCCAACTTCCGCAAAGTCCGCGCCCTGTCCAAGGACGTTGCAGTCATCACTGATGCCCTGCGCGGGGCAACTCAGCTTCAGCTATCGGAGGACGGCAAGCGTGTACGGCGCATTGTGGCAGTACCAGAGTACGACATTACCGACATCCAGCGCCGCACCATTGTCGTGGAGAACCTGCCCGGCAACCCAAGTCCAACGATTGAGAGCGTGACCGACATGTTCCGCATGTACGGCCGTGTGAAGCTCGTCCGCATTTGCAGCCGCGAGTCCAAGGGCAAGCTGCCCAGCTGGTTGACGGTAAGCTCCATTGGTTGTCAACTTGCCATGGGTTCAGTTGTTAAGCGTAGGGCCAGTAAGTTTGGTGCGGGGCCCTCACCATGGCGGTTATGCCATCTGGGTCGGGCTTGTTATGTGGCTGTGGGCTGTGGCTGCTCAGATGCTTCAAGTCGGTTGCGCGTTTACTATGTGTGACGTATTATTTTTAGATTTGGGTAACTGGGTCGAGCTTCTCGCTTATGGTCCTCTCCGGATGGATCCTCGGGATTAGGCCAACTGTTTGGGGACACTACCTAGCAAGGGTGCCGCTGTAGGGCTTCTCTCCCCTTTGGGTTGGTAAGTTCTTTTTCTTTATCATTTGGGTTGAGGGGAACACGGGGGGGTGACCGGGCGGGGAACTTTTCCCTAGCATCCATATCGATGGTGTGTTTCATTGCAGCAACAGTGTCTACCACGCCCTCTTCATCTGGGCTCGCTACATATTACTACATAATACTACTTTTTGCTGCGCTGACATTTTATGCGGTTAAATGACATATCTTCCATTGACCCCATATTGCAGAGCTCGTGCCAAAACATGATTGGCCAGCAGCATGCATACGTGGAGTTTGAGGAGGAGGAGGGCGCCATCCTCGCCTCGGCCGCGCTAGCGCAGGAGTGTGATGCACCAGATGGTGTTGTGCAAGTTCGTCGGTTGCTAGCCTGCATTGCCGAGCAACGCGAGCGTCGCAGCAACGGCAACGGCAGCAGCTGTGGCGGCGGCAGCAACATTGGCAGTAGCAGTCGCAAGGGAAGCCGCGACGTGTCTCCCTTGGGAAGCCGTGCTGGCGGCAGCCGCCGCAACAGCAGCGGTGGCATGTCGTACGGCACCTCGTATGGCAGCCACTCGTGCGGCGGGGGCTCTTGGACTTGCACCTCGTCTGGTGGCGGCGCCAGCTTGGCTGCTGATTCATACCATCATGGGTACCACCACCACACGTACGGCGGCGCGTACGAGCAAGTTGGCAGTGGGAGCGCTTGCCAGCGCCGGAACAGCACAGCCGGAGGTGCGGTATCGCCGAGGGGTCTTCCGCCTCCACCGCCTCCTCCTCCGCCACCGCAGCGGAGGAGCTGCGATAGCGCTCCACCTTCGGAGATGGCTCCTTCCGCCGCCAACTCCAACGGAGGAAGCAGCCTTGGCGGCAGCAGCGGTGGCGGCAACAACAGCGCTGTGGGCGACTTGCGCGCGCGCTTGAACATCTACCGCCCGCCCGCCAAGCGGTTGTCAGACGGTTACAACCCGCCGATTCCTGTCCCTCCAGTAGCGCTGCACCGCCAGTCCAATGGCAGCTTCACCAGCAATGCCAGCAGCAGCTACTGCGCCGGCGGCAGCAGCATGGCCAGCACCCCCACCTGCGCCCCTTCGTCTCCCGCACTGTCCTCCTTCGCTCCCTCGCCACCGCTCCCCTCACGTGGAGCATCTTCAGGTGGCGGCAGACCGCCAGCGCATCCGCCTCTGCCGCCCCCGCCACCTCCTTCGTCCAAGTCCCAGGCCACCGAGGCTATCCTCGCTGCCTCCTCTCCCATGGCTCCTTCCTCGGCTACTGCTGCCAATGCCCTAGCGGAGGCGATTGCGCAGGCTCAGGCGGAGAGGCGTGCATCAGAGGCGGGAGCTTCTGCATTCCGGGAGATCTCCGTTACTGCTGTTGCTCCTACCGCGCCGGCGGCTTCTATCGCGGCAGTCAACGCTGCTGTTGCCAGCACTGCGGCCCCACCCCCACCTCGCCCTACTTCTGGAACCACCGCACCCAAGTTTTGCTTTGACCTGGGTGTTGGATCTTCAACATCCGCTGCTGCTGCCCCTTCGTCGTCCGGACAACTGGTCCGCTCCAATTCGAGCATAGATGGCAGCAACACGAACAGCAGCAAGGGTACCGGTAACGCGGTTCCAGCAGGCACCAAGGCACATGGCAGCAGCTGTGGCGGCGCCATTGCCACCGCCCCGCTCCCTCGCGGCGGCACTCAGGCCCAAATGGTCGCCAACGTTGAAGATTTTATCAACAACATTCTGGCGCGTCCCGCAGCTCGCCCCATCCCTGCACCTGCGGCTGCCGCAGCAGCCGTGGCTGCCGCTGCCGCTGCCCAGCAACGCAAAACCGCAGCGACGCCGTCATCATCCTCTTCATTCGCTGTGCCCGCCGTCAAGTCCTCTGGCTCGTCATTCACGTCCACGTCATCTCAGCAATCTTGGTCTCAACCATCCTCTGCTCGGGCCCCGCAGCAGCAGCAACTGCAGCAGCAGCCCCTAGATGCCGCCGCTGCTGTGGCTGGCATCCTGGCCTCCGCCCTGCGCCGCCCCGCAGGACCGCCCCCGGCCCCAACTGCCCCAAAGACCGCAGCAGCACCCTCTAACGCCTCGTCCAATACAGCTTCAGCTGCCGGGACCCCAAGGGCTGCTCCCTTCTCCGCTCCCTTGGTGTTCCTCACGGCCATGACTACCGCGGATGGGGAGGACATTCCGACTGAGGAGCTGCTGGCGAACGCTGTAACGGTCACCGTGCATCACTCGGGCTCATCTAAGAAGGCCGCCGGTGCTGCTGTTGTGCCTTCTGCTGGTGTTCAAGCCCCCGTCATTCCGGCGGACTTGCCACCGATTAAGGTTGCTGCGGCAGTTGCCGCTGCTGCCACAGCTACTACCACCAGCACCGGGAGCGCTAGCATGAGCGAGGGTAATGCTGCTAGCGCCGGTAGCAGCTTGACCAGCAGCCCACGTCAGGGATTATATAATGGCTATGCCAACAGCAATAACGGCTTCAGTAGCAATGGTGCCGGTCGTGCGATGAACCACCAGCCTGGATCCAAGCGCCTAACCCGCCGCGAATACGCCCAATGGGCAGCCGCCACTCCCAATTTCCGCGCTGAGGCTGCCTCCAAGTACGGCAATGTTGTTGTTGCCGCTGCAAGTGCCGGGATGAACAACAGCAGCAACAGCGCCGGCGGCTCGGCCGGTTACGTGCACTCTCGTTGCAGTGCCGGTGGCGCTGCTCCTGCTGCCGCTGCAGGAGCTCCTGCATGCGGCGGCGGTGCCGATGTCAACAGCCCTTCAGCTCTGGCGTCAATTTCTGACGGCGGTGCAGCGGGTGTGGCTTGCCATTCTGGTGCGCCACCCCAGCAGGGCGCCGGTAGCGGTGCCTCGGCTGCCATTTGGCATGTGGCCCGTGGGCCGGACGGCTCGCGGGGCTTTGGCGCGCGCATCCGGGCATAGGTAACAAACCTGCGGTGACAATGGTTTTTGGTTTCGGTAGGCCTATGGGCGTCTAGAGTTTGTTCGGTGATTGGCGTCTTTGCAGGCGTCTTTGTCTATTAGTGCGGCTTTGCAGCCGGATTGTATAATTGCAACAAAGGAGTGTGACCAGATGGGTGTTTGCGGGGTTTAATGGTCAGAACAGGTAGCAGAAGGTCGTCACTAGTAAGCTATGCAAGTGATGTGGCGACGGCAGCTCTTAATAAATCATAGCCGTGTGCTACCTATAGACGTACTACTAGTGCGAACATGCTGTAGTTGTAGGGGACTCTTTATATAGCTCTCCCATGGGCGTACGGAAATAGAAGACACTTCTGGTAGCACCCGGGCACTGCTGTTGTACCAGCTCAGCGCGTGGCCTCTTGATTGTCGTACAGGGCATTAATATGGCTGTTCGCACATCGTTAGGCATGCAACTGGTACAAAAGGACAGGTGTATGCTCCCCTGCTGAAACATTCAGGGGCTTAGATGGAACGGAAATGGATGTTTGGTGGAATACTTGAGGATCTTAAGGTTTGGTTCTTTGGTCTTGACACGTTGGAATGGTTCGGATTGACCGCGGTGTACTCGCCAGGCACGCACATTTGTCTGGATGGTTAGTGCAGACCTAGTTCCACCTCCCATGGCCCATTAGCTGGTGTGATAATTTTTACATTTTGACCCACTAAGTGCTTTTGCGACTGATACCTTGGAGGAGATTAAAGTGACGGCAGAACGTAGAGTAAGCAAAACATGTTAATAGTGCAAATGTTAGGCCCGCCAATCGTGAAGTAAGGTGCGTGTCCAGGGCCCTGTGTGGATGATGGAATACAGTCTTGAGTTGACATCCGGGGGGCCTGAAGCGTGCGCCAGTGTACGATTGTACGGAATGCTGATGATGCTTTAGCTGTCTTTAATGACTTTAACAGACTTGATGGTCACAGGCAAGGCGACTTAACATATGGGCCATAAATGTTTGCTTGATGGTGGGTAAAACACACGATACAATGCTGCGGGGCAGGTGTGTTGGCCCGTGCCTCGTGGTCCCCCAGAAGAGTGTGGAGCCTTTTCACACAGCCTGTATGTAGGTTGTTGGGTATGGCGCATAATAGAAACGGACACGATGCGAGTTTTTCGTCGTAACTCTTAAAACTTCTAGTACTTTTAGGTTCCATGCGCGTCTCCTGTGGAAGTACGTAGCAAGGCCGTGCTGCCTCTTTAGGTTTTCTATTCACTACTAATGCGCGCATCCGGGTAGGGAGGGTTGCCCGGGGGCGCTCTCAAGTCGCTTTGTCGGTGGTGGAGGGTTTGGGAGGAGAGGGGGTAAGAGAAGCATTATAAACGCTGCTATGCTGGATGGCAGTCGGCTTTTCTCCGCCGCTATATTTAATGGTGCGCTTTGCTTATTTGCCATGGTATGTCGCCCTTCTCTGTAACAGAGAAGCAAAAATCGGATGCTTCAATCATATCGATTCTCTTGATTCGTTAGCGCCGCCTTCGAGAGCTGGTTTTCCTGGTGGACATTTGTGGGCTGTAAGGCTTCTTACCACAGCACGCGTGTATGTACTGTGCCGGAAATGACCAGAACCTAGCCCTCTTGCAACCTGTACGTTTGCACTCTAGCACTCTAGGATACTGCAACTTGTAAGCATAACCTTTGCAGGCTTTAGGATGGGGCTTGGTAGGCGGATTCTATATGTCCATTCACAGGAATCAGCGCCGCCCTATGAGTGACAAATCACAAGTGCAATCATACCAATAGTTCGAGCGGTTGTGTGCGGTTTTCCCGGAGGGTTCTCCCAAAGCACCCGGAACAGTGTGTGTGTGTGTGAGGTGTTGGTAAGGATCATCATGCACGTATCCCGACAACGGGAACGGTGATTCACCACAACGGCACCACATGCAACCTATGCGGGTCTGGGTCCCGGCAGCTGGCGCATCATGTCCTGATGCCGTGATGCGCGCTGGCACCGTACAATTACGGCCGATTAGGAAGGCAGCTTGCAAATGGTACATTGCTGCTATCAGCCATAGGTTCTATATTAAGAAGCTGTAAAACATTATACTGGCATGCATATTCCGGGTATTTTTGGCTCCGCAAAGAATTAATCTCGGCAGTCGTACCTTTGCACACATATATGGCGCAATTTTACTACGAATTGTAACACGAATTATAACATTTACGAGTGTAAAAACACTGACACTCTGCTCTGTGCCATTGACACTTAGGCAGCGGCCAGCGGCTGAGATAGATGAGGCCTACCGCCGCTACCCTTTTCTTCGTATTGTCATTTCTATTAGCTTGCGGCCTAGCCAGCGCGAAAGGAATCGAGCTGGAGGGCCTTGACAATCCCGATCAGGTGGTCGACTTTGGCGGCAGCGCTGCTATCTGGCAAAACGAAGAGCCACAGAACCCGGAGCAATGTCGCGAGCAGTGCCAGGCAGAGGACTCGAAGCCCCGCGCTGCAGTGTCCCAGCTTTCACGCCAGGGTCCTGCGCAGCAGGGCCCTAAAATTGGTTATCTTGAGGTGGCAGCTGCCATTCTAATCATAACGTACACCATCGTTTCTGTATTGGGCAATCGGGCTAACAAGAAGATCGCGGAAGCTTTCGCAAAGGAACACTGCATTAGGGATTCGTCGGTTTTCCAGCGCCAGTTCGCAGTATGCGGTTCCCCGGACAGCTTGAACTCCTCGAGCCGGGCCGCGCTGTTGAGGGAGAGTGCCTCCGTATACAAGCTCTATGCGTCAGGCAGGAGACTCTGCGAGGGATGCCTTGCAACCCTGACGCTCCGAAAGCGGCCAGACGTCATGTCTTGGGTTATCGGTCTTTTCGTGCCCTCCGAGGACCTTCTAGAAATCGATGTGTTCATGGGCGAAGCCAACATGCCACCCATGGTGCTTGCCCTCGGGACGCCGCGCCAAGTGAAGGCGCTGAGCAACCGTGATGATGTCCGTTCGTACGCCAAGCAGCTTTCAGCTGACTCAACCCCAAACTTCAGCTGGCCCAGTCAGAAGATCCAAGTGCTCGCGGAGCACAGCTCGTTGTTCTATGACCTCTTCTCGGACTCGCGTGCCAATGCCATCTTCACATCGCCGGCACAAGCGCACAAGCTGCGTTTGTTCCGCAGCTTGTTGATCACCTCGAACAACACGGACAGCAGCCAGAAGCACGTGATGCGCTTTACGTTTGCGCTGCCGCCGGCGGACGACATGCAGGCTTTGGAGCCTTTGCTGCAACTGGTGCCGGTCATGATCGACTTGGTGGGCATGTACAAGTGAGTGGCCCTTACGCAAGCGTATAGAAGGGAGCTAGATGTTCCTCCGTGCCTCGCCCGAAAACGTCAAGGAATTGGGAGTGGGCACGGCTTCTTGCTTAGGAGTAGCGTGGGGGTGGGGGTTGGAGGACACGCCTACTGCTACATGGGTTTCAGATCAGCAAGGGCCCGTGTGCAGCCGTGGATGAGACCTCACGCAACCCCTCACACAGCCCTCCACATCCGGGCGGGCACCCAACACAGACGGGATGGTCACAGGGCTCCACGGCGCCTACCCTTCCCCATCCACGGGCACAGCCTCAGTCCCGAGCTAATTCACCGCAGCGGGGACCAGAGAACCTCACGGCCGCCGCAATCGCATGTACCCAGCCTCTAGTAATGCCCCTCACGTGCTATTATTAAGTGGGGCTCAAGTGCTTACGAGTAATCAGCCCTGGACGTTGCCAGCTGGCACCGCTCCTGACACATCGCCCTGACGCACCCCGGCGCAGGCTGAGCCCGGAGCTCAAGCGCCGCGCAACGGAGGCTCGCAGCCGCCTGGCGCAGTCGAGTGCGGATGCTGAGGAGGCGCGCAAGCGGCGAGTGGAGGCGCTGCAGAAGCGCAAGCAGGAGAAGGCGCAGGAGGAGAAGGTGGGTGGGGGCGGAAGTGGAGATGGATGGGAGGTGGCTTGGGAATTAGGGTTGTGTGCAGCATGTGCAGGATGGAGACGTATGAGTGGCGGTGGATTAGGAGCGCTGCGGGCGGGAACGTGGGCAGTGGAGCGCAGCAGCGACGGAAGCAGGGTGCAGGACGTGACGGGACCGTGTGGGGCTGGGGGATTGGGGTAAGGAAGGGGGGCACGCAGCACGGGGTTTGGGGTTGTCGTGCAGATGCGCAATTCTGGTGCCACCATACACAGACTCACTGGCTGGCACACCCACCACCCGCGACGTGCTGCTGTGGGACCTCGCCACCTCCTCTCCCTAATGCCTTGCCCTCAATTGTAATTTCCAATAGAGCCGGTTGGTTTCTCTCTGAACCTCCTCTCCACCCCGCCCCCTACCTCTCCAACCCAGGAGCGGCTGGCCCGGCTGGCCCCTGATGCTCGCCGCAAGGCGGAGGAGAAGCTGGCCAAGCAGAACGCCAAGAAGGCGATGAAGGTCAAGATGGTGCGCATGTGAGGGGCGTGTGCTTGTTGGGGGCGTGAGGGGGATACTCAACTGAGCCGCGATAAGGTGGGGGGGCGTAGTGCGCATGTGAGGTAGCACGGGAGGGGGTGGTAGAGGCAGGAGGGGGCCGTCACGACACTGCATGTTAGCATAAGGAGGCGTTCGTTGAAGAGCTTAAGCGGGGTGGTTGCATGTGAGGTTGCAGGGAGGAGGAAGGCAGGATATTAGGAAACCAGCGAGCATCGTTGTGAGCACGTGAGGGGGAAGAAAGGGGCAGGAAGGGGCGACAGGAGGTACCGGTGGCGGCAGGGTGGGTGGGTGGGTGGGTGGGGGTGCGGGCAGAAGTACAGGGACGTGCATGTCGGATTAGGACAAGCTGGGGATCATGTGGGATGCCGGCCACAAGCCTACAATACACGTGTGCTTTGCCAGTTAAGTTTTGTAGGTGCCGAGGTGCATGGTGCGCATGAAACGTGCGCGCAGTTCGTTTCGCTGTGCTGAAGCCTTAGGTGCCCCCTTGAACCCCCCATTTCTTAACTGAATACGCGCCCGCGCGTGCGTCTGTTCCTAGAGGTGCGAAAGAGGGCGGTTGGTGAGTCTCTATGCGTGCGTTTGTACGCTTCCTCGGCGCTAGTCCCGTTACCTTTGGGCGCTAGCAGCCGTGGCAGAGATGTAGCAGGGTGAACAGCGGGAGGACTGATTTGAAGGTTGCTTTAAAGGTTAGACAGAAGATGGGGAAGGGCAACACCATAGGCAGGCTGATGCGGGGTGAATGGTCGAGACGTGTTCCGCTCTTGACAGGCGGCATAAAAGGCGGGTTGACCGCGGTCTCCTGAACGGGTACTGTTAAGTCATGTTGGGTGTGGCGTTGCAGCGAACAGGTGGAGAGTATACGGGTGGAGGCATACAGGTCATGGGTGGAGGAGCGGGCCGCTTTGTAAAGTTTGGTAAGACATTACGCATTTACACTTTACGGTCCTTCGGACGTGGAAGAGCCCTGATTGCACTTTTCCATGTGACTTCTCTTCTTGGCACTTGATGGTGCTTCTCGAGCGAAGTACGAGTTCTTAATTTAAAACAGGCCCTAGCGTGCTCTACTCAGCCGGGTATTAAGCAACCTGGAACCATGCAGCAATTCGACTCCGAGTCAGCCCATTCAGGCATATTAGCAACCCACAGCTGTGCCCTCGACCCATGGGTCAGTCATTCCCAGCAGCACTCGCGAGCATGCATGCCCATTGCCACTGAATCCTAACGCCGTGAGTGTTCGCCCAACGAAGCGATCCACACAGCAAAAGGCTCGACTGCAGGATCACTTGTTCAGGCCGTTGTCGCAGGATCACACCCAACTCAACATGGAACCCCCCCACACACACAAAGTAGGATATGGTCCTCCTTCACTTGCTCAGGCACCCGGCCGTATCACCAGCTCGGCAACAAGGCCGGCGAAACAACAGCCCTTTCTTCCCACACCATTCGCACGGTGCGAACCCATCTCAAGGCATATACATCTTGCCAGATTCAGGTCGTTTGCTACCAGTTAGTCCGCACACGCTACGTCCTAACTACCTCACCCAGACCGTATCGTACGCTTTGTCAAAGCCGCACGCAAAACGCGATGGTAGCTAGAAAGGAGCACCACAAGTGCCATATACGGTATGACCCTGTTCGGCGCCTGCTGCTACGTCCATGACACAAGACTTATACCACTGAACCCTTACAACCTTCATTTCCTCACTGCAGAAGTAACTGCAGACTACCGTACACTGCCCTACACATATATGCAGCTAGGCTTGGGAACAAACCAGTAGGAGGCAGCCGCGGCAGCAAAGACCGCGCCATACAACCCCTGGCAACACATTATTTTGGTTAGGCATCACCAGGAACATACCCGCTGCCACCCGGTTCACCAGGCACCATACCTTATACCCCGCTCGCGACCTCCCCCTTTCTCTCCCCACTCCTCACACTCCTCACACCGCCTGGTGCAGCGCCGCCACCACGCCCCACAGCGCCCCTCCCGCCCCCAGCATGAGCAGGATGTTGCGGCCCAGCAGCGCGTCGTTGGAGTGCGGCACCAGCGCGTTCTTGAGCGCGTTGGTGACCTCGAACAGCCGGTGGCTGGCCAATACGTAGACTGGGGCAGGGACAGGAAGAGGAGGGGGGGCTTAAAGGAAACTGACGAACCAGTATGACGAGGGTGTGGGGGGAAGCAAATGAAAAGCGCAGCAATGGAGTCCCAATCCCAAATCTCGACGCATGCAGTGAGCGCATTCGGAGGGGCAGGGTGAAAGGGGGGAGCAACGAAAAAATGGGTTTGCAGGTGTCAGGATTGCCAGCACGACCCAGGTCCGTCCCTCCTCCCTTTCCTCCAATCCCTCCCACGCTTCATGCTACTACTCACGTCCTGACACCAGCGCAAAGTTGAGCAGCGGGTAGCCGGGAATGAGCACCAGCAGGCTCTTGGGCTGGCCGTCCGGGAGCCCCGTCTTCATCCAGATGTGGAACTGCGGCGGGGCGGAGGTGTGGGGCGGGGAGGGACGCCGGTGACATAAAAGTTCAGACATTGGAATCCCCCTTTGGTGCGGTCCAAACTTCAAGCACCTTCATCGTCTTCCAACTGTAATGTTATCTCGACTGCCAACTTGATTGTTGCCTGTGTTTTTTTCTTGCATTCGTTTAGCCTCCGAAGTCCTAACGCCCCACCCCCACCCCCACCTGCCCCAGTCTTGCCACACGGTTAGTTCCTTCCTCTCCCCCACAGCCCCAGAACCCCAACCCCACCTGCGAGATGTACGTCTCCAGCGTGATGCACCCCAGCCAGCCGTACAGCCGCAGGTGGTAGATCCGCAGAGAGGGCGTCATGTTGCGCACAATAATCCACAACGTAATCGGGATCCACGAGGTGTACGGATGTACGGCATTGTACTGCACCTTGGGTAGCGTGTAGACGGTGCTGTAGTACACATAGCCCGCAGCGCCGCACGCCGTGAGGATGGCGGAGCGTACGGAGATGCGCTTCAGTGTGGGCAGCTCGTCAATGTACGACAGGATTGCTGAGGCCTGAGGGAGAAGACCAGGAGGGGGTCACAGGGGGGCAAGAGGAAAAGGGACAGACGTGAAACAACTGAAGCACCAGGATGGGAGAAGAGGAGGAAGGGAAAGGAAAAGGAGGGGTCATGAAGGGCAGGGAAATGCGGAAAACATGGGAAGGGACGTCAGGCGACTAGGGGTGGGAAAGGGCGTGTATAATGCACCTTGCTCACAACCCTTTTGAGGCGTCAGCCACCCAGCCAGCCACCCACCATGGGGTGCATCAGCGCACACAGCATGCCGTAGATCCAGATGTAGCGGTCCAGGGAGGAGCGGAAGTACCACTCTGGGGGGAGAGGCAGGGAAAAGGGCAAGTACCGTGTCATTAGCACTAGGAAGAAGGGCGGGAAGGTCAGTAGGAGCGAGGGCAGGGAAGGGACCTTAGAATCGGTACAGCTAGGAGCGGAAATGCCGGGTTGGGGGGGCAGCGGGAGGGCAGGAAAGGGAGGCCGGGGCAGGGGCAAGGGTTGCTCAGGGAGGTGCATGTGGCAAAGGAGACATGGGCGGGAGCGGACTCGCGCTGTCTCTCGCATCCGCTGTTCCTGTCCACCCTCGACATTCAAGTTATCCCATCTCCACCTCCACTCACCCACTCTTTCCTATCTTATCACCATGCCTGCACCCTCGTTATGTCGCTCTAACACGCCCCCCCCCCGTGCCCCCTTCCCTTCCACGCCCCCCCTCCCTAACCCTATAAAACCCAGCCCAGTGCGGAACACCCAATACTCTTAACCCCTAACCCCCTCCCCCCCCACCATGCAGCGGGTCCTGCTCCTCCGCCGGCTTTCGCGGGTCCACGTAGCCCACCAGCCACAGGAAGGGGCGCCAGATGGCGTAGAAGACCGACTTGATGTCCCACGTCACGAAGATGAACACGAAGCACATCGCAATCCTGGCGAGGGGTGCGAGGTGGAGGGGATCAGATGCACTGAGCCGAGAGAGATGGGGGAACGTGGGAGGTAGCCAGGTAGGTAAGCCGCAAGCTTATAGCATGCAAGGCATGCTGCATGCTTTGCACCGTGTGAAGTGGTATGAACCGCTCTGCCCAAAACCCTACTAAACCACCTGCCCTCCAAAACGCTGATGCGCTTCTCCGCACGTCCCCCACTCCCCCTTCTCTTACTTAAACAGCAGCCATCCATTGGACTTGTTGACCTGCGGCGCGATGGCCAGTGCCAGGTAGACGAAGACGGTGAAGATGGTGTGCATTGGGCAGATGTAGTACAGCATGTAGCTGTTCTGCAGTACGACACACGCGAAGAACACCAGGAAGTTGAGCCGCCAGAACATCTGGGCGAACCTGGCGGCAGTAGTGAGGAGGGAGAGGGAGGGAAGAGACAAGAGGAAGGAGAGAAATGGGTCAGTGAGAAATCGACCCGTTCCGACGGACAGCGCACGTTACGGCAAGGCAGTTAGGAGGGCAAAGTCGGAGGAGACGAAGGGAGTTAAGGGGGCAGGCGTGTCCAAGCGCCCGACGTCGTCCTCACCGCCCAATGCAGAAGTCTCCGGTCTTGTAGTAGTATGAGAAGTTTCCGAATCCCGTCATCCACACGTAGCCCGCTATGAAGATCCGGATGGCGTTGTACACCTCCTTGGCCTCGAAGTAGTGGTACAGCAGGAACAGCACCTGGGGGCAGCGAAGTGGGGTGAGGGTAGAGGAACAGTGACAGCATGCTGTGAACGAAAGTGGCAGCCCTTGATGCAAGTCCAGAGAAGGGATGTGGTAATGAACGCGGCGGAGAGCGTTGTCGTCAAAAAGCCATGTTCCCATATACCTGGCTGCCCTCCCTCGCCCGCATACCACCCTAACCCAAGGGCCATCCTTAACATTCCCCGAGAATGCGGGACACTCCAGACAGCACCCAGAGCACCAGTAGCAGCGCCTGAGCTGCGCGGCATACAGCTGCATCCCCGAGGGAGGGCTCCTTGTCCGCCCCGCCACCCCACCAGGACGATGGTGAGGGGTGACTGCTAGGGGACTGCGGGACGGCCCTCCTGACAGGCGAGCAGACTGCTGCCTGCAGGGGACTGCTGCGTGGTGCCTTCCCAAGCAGGCAGGGCCGAGTGACGCCCTCCCCCCCCTCCGTGGGAGCAATGCGCAATCCTACAATCCAGCCTTATGCGGAATCTTCATCCCTATTAAAACCCCCTCCGTGCTCCACCTCCTCCGGGGCCCCAAACCCGCTTCATCCCGGACCACTGTCGGAAGAGGACAGGGCCTATTCCCCAATACCAAGCTCCCACATCCCACACAGTTAGCGTTGGCAGGCTACGGTAGATATGGTGTAACCCATTGGTCGCATATGAACATGGCTCATGTGATAAACCTCCTTTTGCACACTCCCCAGTCCACACGCCCACATGTGAGGCAATCTGCTAGGAAGGGTGTCGTCCGTCCTGCCTGACCCACATCACGAACATGGGCCCAGATCACACAACTTGTCCCATTTGGATAAATGCGCAATTTACATTGAACTGCTGATGTGAACCCGCCCACTTCGCCGCCCGTTTTCATGGAGGTAAGAAACCCACCTGCATCCAGCCCTTCCACTCCTCCGTCTGCGGTCGGTTCAGCAGCAGCGGAAACTTGAAAGTCCGTAGCGAGCTGCCCACTGCTGCACAGGTGAGGGCGACGAAGATAAAGAGGAAGACGTCGCGACTGTACGACTTCTCGCCTGTTGGAAGCAAGCTAGTGCGGTCTGACAAGAAGTACCACAGCATCAGGCACCCAAACTCCACGACGGTGCGAAGAGTTTCCCTGTTCGCGAGCAAGGCCTGGCGCTTGAGCAGCAGGCAGGACACCATGCCGCAGTTGACCATGCTTCCAAGCATGCCAGAAGCGCCATGGATGGAGATTGACGCATCCCCAGAACTGCTGCTACCCTGGCCTCCCGCCGCTTTTCCTGACTGGCCCGATTCCGCCGTGATGGGCAGAAGTTTGGCGGATTCCTGGTCCTGCGGCCCTTCATCGTGTTCGTGCCGTGGTGCACGCGACCTGGAAAGGGGCAGAGGGGATAGATGTATTGTGACCATGAAATGGGTTACCTAGAAACTAAATAGCTTGTGACAGGAGCCGCTGCGCACGTTAACGACCATCACGACTGCGTATCCAACCTACTTGTTGTAGTGTAGATACTCCGCGTACAGCCATGCGAATACAGACCAGGCGAAAGCCACGAAGAAAGTGACCTGTAGTTGGGGAAAATGTTTCGACCGCCCAACATGCTTGACGCGCAACAGCGAAGACCCCGAATACGTGTGGGTGGCCGCAATCCCGCACCTGCCCAGACGACAAAGGTGATGCAAGGAACGCCATATCGCCCTAGCCAAAGGGCCAGCACCTAGACTACAGTCTGTCAGTGATGTTTATCGCTGCATCACTCCGATCCCGTTAAACCCAAAGTGGCAAATACAAATACATACACAGCAATCACATAGCCTGCATTTGCAAAGCGGACTGTGCACAACGCAGTAGGACTCACACTTCCATTGCCGTGCAGCATGCAAGAATTGACGTACCTCTAGGCCACCATCCCTAGAACTTTACAAATATACGTCGTTGTCTTTGTTTCGTGTTCACATATAATGGAAGTTCGCAAGTATCTATCTAACATACCTTGCGGTGCTGCCGATCCGGCAACGACTTCTTCCTCAGCCTGCAAATGTGCATGCTATTCGCAATCTGGAGGGTTGGAAGGCTAGAATCCGGATGTTAAGGCGATCGCATTTATTTTAAACCGCCATTGCTGTCGCAGTGGACATGGATGCTGGTGCGCTGTATCCCAAACATGGCTACTCGCTATCCACTGGTGTTGATGGCTTAAGCGCTGTAGTTCTACGTCTAATTCTTCAGCCACGGCAGCGGCTTGCGGGTTGCAAACTTCCACTCACAGACGTGCGGAGAAACCGTGCCGCCCGACTTGCTCTACGAGCGTGAAGTACAACCCTGCCTTAACCCATGCCTGCTGTATTCCCCGTGCACATGCATTCTTGGTATGCCGTCTAGTAGCACAGCCCATGCCATACTACGACTGCATAGCAGTGCGCATGTAGAGGAGGAAGGGGCGTCGGCTTACGGGGTTACATGACGAACGGCACGGAGGGTGGCAACAGTTTATGATACCGCATGATACCGCATACGTTTCATAGTTTCATAGTTATGCCACCCTTGGCCCAATCCGGTCCCCCTTGTAACCTTCGCATCCTAATCCAAGTCACCCTGTACCCTATAGCATTGCAATCCTTATCCCCTGCTTTGTATGGTGAAGCGGCGACTGCAATAGCATGACAGGTGCAGTCCCTTGGCTACTAATCATGGTTCATTGAGCGCCAAGCCGAATCCAAAAACAGGAAGGTAGTGCACGGCCTATTTAAATGAGCCGCCGATTGGCACCTCGTACTTCGCTGTTAGTAATGGACGGTGGAGTATTGTAGGCCGTACTTCTGCAGGGCGTAGGCTACCCCACGGCCTCTTAACGTGCAAGGTCATTAAGGCGCTCGGGTATTGTCGGTCTCAGGAGTCATGCGTGCCCATACTTCACGAAGGGGTCTCCGGTACTGCCAGGCTAGCGCGTGCGTAGCCCGTGTGTAAAGCGGTAAGGCTATGCCATGCGGCTGATCAGCTCAATTAAGGCTGTGACTTGATTTTGGGACCTGCCTTTCGCCATTCGGCGAGATAGGCTGACGCGGAGCCGCAGATTGTTTTGTACGGCAGTAGGGGAGCATCTCTTTGTTGTTTTCACAATCGCTTTTGTTTCCTTTAACCGAATACAAAATCCAGGATTTCACGTTGTTACCAGCGACGTTTTTCCTTTTGGGACGTAGTTTCGCGAACGCGCAAGCACGTGCTGTTATCTATGACAAAGGCTTGGCACCGCAGCATTGCCGCAGCTCTTCAATTGGTCTTGTTATAGTGATATACGGGTTCATACGCTTAAGTCGGTTTGGCTAGACAACGAGAAGAGAGGCGAAGGGTCGCGCCCGTCAGCCCTGCATCATGGGACCTCAACTTCAGCTCCAACGCTGCGCCAAGCCACAGACAAGCCACTTGTCGGCGGGTCGCTGTTCGGCTCCTTTCCGCTCTGGCAGATGTCGGCCGCGAGGTGTTCGCCCTATGCAAGCTTTCTGGCAGCAGTTACTACCCATCGGCCACAATGCTCCAGGGCGAGCAGGTCCCACCGAGAAACCCCTATACAGGCCCTCTGAACTAGTTCCCCTTGGCGACCTCAAAGTCAGCCCGATGGGCCTGGGGACCTGGGCATGGGGTAACCGATTCCTCTGGGGCTACGACGAAAGTTGTGACCCCGAGCTGCAAGAGGTCTTTAACCTAGTCGTCCGCAGCGGCATAAACGTATTTGATACCGCGGACTCGTACGGCACAGGCCGCTTGAACGGCAAGAGCGAGCAGCTGCTGGGTAAATTCATCCGCGAGTATCCAGGATCGGCCCGCACACGGGAAGGACTCCACGTTGCCACCAAGTTCGCGGCGTATCCGTGGCGCATCTTGCCTGGAAATGTAGTAGCGGCTTGCCGCGGCTCGCTGCGGCGTCTGGGTGCGGAGCAGCTGTCCATCGGTCAGCTGCACTGGTCAACCGCCAACTACCAACCGTTCCAGGTAGGATGCAGGCGTTCGTACTCCCTGTTCGTCTTCCTGCTGACGTCACTACCACCGCCCCTTGTGTCTCGACTCGTCGTGTGCCACACGCAGGAGCGAGCCCTTCAGGCGGGTCTAGCGGACTGCTACCAGCAGGGCCTAGTGCGGGCGGTGGGGGTCAGCAACTACGGACCCAAGCAGCTACAAAGCATACACGCGGCACTCGCCAAGCGGGACGTACCATTAGCCTCGGCGCAGGTGTGGAGATGGGGGAAACGGGGAGCACTAGCTTGCTTTGTGGCCGGAGAGATTTCCTGGGTCTGTTGGGTGCAGTCAGGGGGCCTGCCGCATCCCTTCAGTGGTGGTGAACTAAGGAGTTTTGGTTTATGGGTCATGTTGGCCACTTGGATAATTACATGCGGCTGTACTTTCGAATACTGTAAAACAGCCTATTACTGACACGTATGTCCGTAACTGCTTCGTGTGTTATTCCATCCTGCGCAGATCCAGTTTTCGCTGCTAAGCTGGGGCACGGCACAGCAGGACTTGAAGGTACAGCGTGTACGACTAGCCCATCTGCTGACGTGCATGAAGTTCGTGTAGCGTAGGAGAGCCCTTACGTGCATGCATGGGCACACGTATTGGCTTATTAGTATCGTTAACAGTTGCATGGGATTTCAAACGCAACACCGCCTGCCTCTCCAGCGCTCTTCAGGGACCCTTGGTAGGGTTGCTGAGGTGCCGACCTAGGGGCTACCGCCTTTTCCTTATTTACATGGTGCAAGACTCCTAAAACATGGCTTCAAACCGGCCCTTCTTGTCCTCGGAACCTCTCCTTCACCCCTTCCCCCAGGCCCTATGTGACGACCTGGGGGTGACTGTCATCGCCTACAGCCCCCTCGCACTGGGCCTGCTGGCGGGTGGGTGGCTGGGTGTGGGTCTGTGTGGGGTGGGGTAGGGGTGGGGCGTAACGAGGAACCAACTATGGGTGGGATCGTGGGAAGGTAACGGATGGGGAGTTAGCAGAGGGAACCCACAGATTTGGGGGGGATCGTGGATAAATGCCGAGGGTAAAAGTGCGTTTGGTGAGGGTCGCTGTGTGCCTCGCCTTCATGAAATTTCAATCGAACCCCATTCGACTCAGCTTCAATTCCAATACGGCAGGCAAGTATTCACTAGCTGGCGATGGGGACCCTCCCAGGCTGCCTGCCGGTCCCCGAGGTGTCCTGTTCAGGCAACTACTTCCGGAGGTACGTGTTACCGCGACCTCCCTCATCCTCTTTGACAAGAATGCCTGCTTGGGGCCCCCGAAAGAAGGCTCTTCCTAAGCCAACACACCTGAACGACCCATGGGTCACGTGCAGGTGGCGCCGCTGCTCTCGGTGCTAGAGGCGGTGGCGGATGAGCGGGGCAAGACGCCTGCGCAGGTAAGGAGATCAGGAGGGCAGCAGGGGAGCAAGCAAGGAATCCGTGGGAATGTTTCGTGTCGAACAATCGTACCGCGTTTTGGGATCTGGGAGCAGTCTACGGCAGTATTGGAGCTTATCTGCGGGTTAGCTTTGGGACTACCGGTATTGGGTCGGAACTACGACTGGTTAATCTGGGCCAAACACCCGCGGCAGGTTCCAGCCTTTGGGACAACTATGCCGTGTCTGGGCCTAGCGCTTGTCAATGCACTACTCCCCATTGGATCTAAGATGCCCCTGCGTCCGTTTCCTTTCCCCTCTACAACCAGCTGCACTCGGTGTCATCCTCTCAACCAGCCTGCACCCCCTCTCTCTGCGCTTCTTCCCTAGGTCTCTCTCAACTGGTGTATGGCCAAGGGCACGGTGCCCATCCCTGGAGCCAAGGACCTAACGCAGGCGCGGGAGAACCTCGGAGCGCTGGGCTGGCGGTTGGGAGCTGGGGAGGTTTCGGAGCTGGATGCGGCGGCGAGGAAGCTGAGGAAGGGCATGGTGCAGAACATATTCCAGACGCGTTGAAGGAACGCTCCAATACCGGCATCGTACGTTAACAGGAGTGGAGCAGGGGCCGTGGATGGCACCCTGTTGAGTGGAGGGGCGCTGCTTGCGCATGGTGAAACAGCTAGCCACGCTTGCAGTTTCGTTAATTTATCCATGTACGATGAGGAAAGGAAGGTAGGCGGTCAAAATGGTGTTTGAGGTGCAGAGGACAGCTAGAGTGTCCTGGGTTAAAGGGGCAGGGCAGTAGAAGAGTGTCTGTGTTAAAGCGCTGCTGAGGTCTTTGAGCACCATAGCTATGGTGGCCAATTGGATGCCGTCTCGCGGACTACCGGTACTTGCCAAAGAACTGGCATGCACTGTGAAGAAAATTTGTGAAAGAAGCGATGTATCAGAGCACTTCTTTAGGTCACAGCGTGCTTTGCTAGGGCCTGGCTAGACTGTCAACATCGATGGGCCCTGTTGACGGTTGGCAGTTTGTGGCAGAATTCGACGCCACCTACCCCGCTGAAGTCGTTTCCGCTTACTTTTCCGATCTCTCTTTATAAAAGTTCACCGCCAGGTTCTACACGGTCAGGATGCACCGATAGAAAACATAGGTATTCTTCTGTGCTTGAAGCGCATCCGTAAACATGGCTCGATTGTTTTCCAAGCTAAAAGCAATCGACTTTTTCAAGAAGATCCCGAGGTGCGGAGGAACGGGATGGTTTAGCGGTGCGGCCTTTCAGCATGTGGCCCGGGACTTTCACAAGCTAGCGGACGGGAACTGACCCGATGCCTGGAATTGTTCTGCAGCGATCTCACGGAGGCTACGTTGACGGGAGCATGGATTTCCATATTGGCCGCTGTGATCATGGTCTTTCTCTTCGGCGCGGTGAGGCACGGGAAAGCAAAGCAGCAAATAAGGTGCCAATACGTAGGGTTTTGTTGCTGTTTATCTTAGATTAACAACGGCACTGCCCGAGGCAGGGCCGTTGCCGTTGAATCGCAGAACACTCTTAAGGGTGTCCTTGACAAACCCTTTGCCCCTCATAAGGTTACCAGTAGGCAAGGGTGCTGACACGTAACATGCCTTATATTGCAGGAATTCTCGGCCTTCCTCTCGACCACCAGTAAAACTTCACTAGTTGTCGACCGCAGCCCGCAGAATGAGCTCCTGAAGGTTAACTTTAACATTAGGTAAGTTGCATTTATCCTAAGGTCACACGTACACGCTTGGCAACACCTGTCCAACAAAACGTTACTTGTTCGCCTGCAGCTTTCCGGCTCTATCCTGCGAGTTCGCCACGGTGGACGTGAGCGACTCGTTGGGGACGGTAAGTAGGAAAGGAAGGGGGCCAAAGGAAAGGCAGGCTACAAGTTACCTTCTTGGAGGGAGGGGTCACGGGGGTTATATCTCTGAAGGGGGATACGACTGGGAACGGAAGCAGCAAATTCTCCAACTCCCCTTCCCTCCTAGAAGCAGCATTCCAACCCCTCAGAACCTTTGCGAACCCAACTGTATTCCCAACCTGTCGCTTTCTATCCAATCCTCCATACTATCTTCCAAACATTCGCGTTGTGTGTCCCCTCTATCTTCCTCCTTCCACAGAAACGCCTGAACCTAACGAAGACGGTTCGGAAGGTGCCTATCAGCTATGACATGGTTCGCCAGGTGGGTTCCGGCTTGCGGGAGATGGTGGGCGGTGGGGACGGACAGGGTGGGACTTTGTGGGCTATAGCAGGGCGCGAACGTGTGGGTGCTAAAAACACCGGTAGGCGGGGGTCCTCTGGGCTATGGCGCGGATTGCGGTGAGGCACAGTGGTGGGGAACCCCTACTAGGGAAGGGCTTAGGGTGTAAAGGTGACGCTAACACCCCAGCATGAGACTGCTTAGCGGTGCTCCCTCTTAAGCAGCGGCGGTGTAAGCTTCCATGTGGGACGCCTCGCTCGTTATGAGAAAAAGCGGAAGCTGCGCTCCACATTGTGGGTCGTTGATCCGTGAGGAGGAAAGGGGCAGGGAGGCCGTTCCTAGGCACGTGGAATCGTCACTGTGATGTGGGTCAGCGACTGCTGCTGCTTGCCGCTGGCATCGTGTGCACCCCATGGTACCCTGCGCATCCTGCGCTGAGAGAACTATCCTCACCCTGAAGACTGTGACCGCTGCTCCCCTCTCATAACCCCCGCCTCCTCCTCCTCCCTCCGCTCTCTTCTCCCCTCCTCCAGGGTGCTGCCATGGACGACGCCTCCCACAAGCCGGGTCCCAAGTACGACGAGGAGGGGCGCTTCGAGGACGTGGACGATATCGACATCACCGTGGTGGGTTGCAGGGAGGGGAGGGTAAAGAGGGAGAAACTAACCAACCGTATCGCACGGGGAGCTATGGTTTGGGGGTTGGGTCGATGTTTGGGACATGCAGGAGGTCGGTTTGGTGGGAGGCCGTTTGCCACTAGCGGTTATTGGACTAAACTAATGGCTACGCCCTCTTCCTCCCCTGGACCCTCCCCACTCCCTTGCCCCCCAACAGCCGCTCAGCCACGAGAACTTCGAAGCCACCCTGGCCCGCTACCCCATCGTGGTCGTCAACTTCTACGCGCCGTAAGTTTTGTTTCTGTTGGTGATTTCGGTTTGTGTCTGGCTGAGCTCGTCCGTGTCGTACAATTGGCTGGAGGGTTGGGGTTGGCTTAAGAAGAGAGGCTGCTGGTGGTTGCATGTCGTGCTTTTGGCGGGCATGCAGACGGCAGCATGGGTGTTGGGTTCTTTCCCTCCCCCGCTTCCCTACTACGTTTTTACAGGCGGCGAACAACACGACAGGTCCTTCTGCGGCTCAATCGCCCTTCCCCCTTTTGTCACTACCTCGGATTAGCGGCTGCCCTCGCCCTTCCTGCACACCCTTTCCTTGCGGCTCCATGCAAGCGGCGACCCCTTCTCCCTCTCTCCATGCCCCCCCCCCACCCCCCTCCACTCCCAGTTGGTGCCACTGGTGTCAGCGGCTGGAGCCCACTTGGGAGGCGGCCACGAAGGAGGTGCACGATAAGTACCCAGAGTGGGACGGACGCATCAGGTTCGCAAAGGTGGGGACAAGAAGAGTTCTTTCCCTCTCTCCTCCCAAACCCTATCTTAACCCTTTCTACCCCAGCAGTCCTCTCGACCCCCAATCCGGCCGTCCCCCTCTCCTCTCCTTACCCTCTTACATGCCCCAACAGCCGGCTCTCACCAACGCCAGAGCTGCCCCTTGTTGTGACCTGTTACAGACATGTGTGCCCCCCTCTTCCACCCTTTCTTCCACCCAGGTGGACTGCACACAGGAGATGGACCTGTGCCGGCAGCACTACATCACCGGTTTCCCCTCCCTCCGGGTGTTCAGGAGGGGACATGACGACATCTACATTGCCGGCATGCACGAGCACGAGATGTACACGGGTGGGTTACAAGGGGTTGGAGGGTAGCAGGTGCGGTGGTAGGTAAGAGACCAGAGATCGTTTCGATAGTGAGGAGGCAATGTAGCGATACACCACACCACCTCCTCCCTCCACCCCTCCTGCATACTACCCCACCCCTGGCGTCTACCCTCTCCCCTCCTGCCTACTTTCCTTTCAGCCCCTTCCACCTACCCACCCCTCTCACCTACCCCTCAGGCGACCGCACCAAGGAGGCGCTGGTGTCGTTCGCGGACGGTCTGGTGCCCTCTGCTGGGCAGCCGCACCGCAAGCATGCCAACCTCACCGCAGCACCCTCGGTAGGGACAGGGGGGAGGCGGGTGTTGGGCGGATGGCTTGGTCGACCGCACCGTTAACCCAACGCGCCAATCTTCATGAGGCTCTCACAACCCGCTACTTGGCAAAGTTCTCCCTCGCAGCCAGTTTGCTTCTTCCTTTTCCTCCCCCTCCCCCTCCCTCCCCAGACCCCCGGCTGCAACCTGGCTGGCTTCGTGATGGTGAAGCGCGTGCCCGGCAGCCTGCACCTGGTTGCCCGCTCCGAGGGGCACTCGTTCGACCACGCCTGGATGAACCTGACGCACCTGGTGCACGGGCTGCATGTGGGCAGCCGCCCCTCGCCACGGAAGTACCAGCAGCTCAAGAGGCTGCACCCGGCGGGTAGGCGAGGGAGGGGAGGGGCGAGCGGGACAAAGAGCACACCTGCCAATACCAGGTGTTGACGTCTATAGGGCGTTTCTCTGTACCTCCCGCCACGTTGATTGTTGCTTCCTCCAACGCACCCTCACCTCACCTCTCCCTTCCTCTTCAGGTCTGACCCCCGATTGGGCTGACAAGCTGAAGGACCAGATGTTTGTGAGCGAGCACACGCAGTCCACCCATGAACACTACCTGCAGGTGTGATGGGGGGATGGGGTAACGAGCCGCTCCGCTCCTCCTTCCATGCAACCCTGCGCACCACCCCAACGTTTTCCGCCACTCCCAACCTTATTACGAACCCTTCCTCAACCTCCTCCTCTCACAACCTGCATCCCCACCCTCTGCCCATGCTCACACTGCATGAGTCGGGACATGGCATTGGGATTCCAATTCTGCATTTCCTCATTCGTTTCCCTCACCCCGTTCATTCCGTCAGATTGTGCGCACCACCATCGAGCCCGCCCACTCGCGCCACGCGGGGTCGTACGACGCGTACGAGTACACGGCCCACTCGCACACCTTCCAGTCGGACGACCTGCCCTCGGTGCGCTTCACCTACGACCTCTCGCCCATCCAGATCCTGGTGCAGGAGACCGGCAAGCCATGGTGCGTAGTGGGTGTCCCGTTTGTGTGCGGACGGAGGGGGACGATGGAAGCGGGCATGGGCAGGGGGTGTTTGCGAAATCAGGGTTACCGGTAGCACTGCCTTACGGACGGGCGGAGTACCGTACCACGTGTTAACATCCTCTCAAATCAACCTCCTCTCACACCAACCTCTCCGATTCAACCAACCCCGCCACCAGTACACCCTTTCGTCCTCCTCCCACTGAGCCCGTCCCCACTCCTCCCGCCCTCACGCGCATGCAGGTACCAGTTCCTGACCACCAGCTGCGCCATCATCGGCGGCGTGTTCACGGTGGCCGGCATCCTGGACGCGGTGCTCTACCAGAGCTTCAAGGCGGTTAAGAAGATGCAGCTGGGGAAGCAGGGCTGAGGGCTGAGGGGATGGGGATGAACGAGGTGGTGAAGAGGACGGTGGAGTCCTAGCGCGGCTGCTTGTGAGGCTGCTTCCCTCAGGAGTATTGGCTGCTACGAGATTATAAGAGAGCGGTGGTTTGCCGATTCCAATGGTGATGGTTGTTCAGGACTTCCGGTTAGCCGACGTGTAGGTGGTGCAGAATTGGTGCAACTGCATAAAGAGGGGCGCAGCCTGGATTTTGGTCGGGGCTTCTTAAGCTTCTGGTTAGACTGCTGGTGCCCATGCTAGGAGGAAGGGCTTAAGGCGGGGTCGAGTAGCGTAGCAAGACTTTGCTGCAGCTGAGTAGTTTGTGAACCCTAAAAGACCTTCGTTCTTAATACGGCTCGTGACTTGTATCCGTGCGGCTAGAGTCAGCTGTGTGACACATAACATATGCAATGAGAATCAGCGTACCCCATCCGTAGAAGCAGGCAGAAGCACGGAATTGCAAAAGGCGGATGCGGGGAGGCAACGCACGTCCGGTCGTACGCATAAGCCCCTACATTGCCCTGGAATCATCCTTGGTCGCCGTTTCTGTGATACATGCACACAAGGCGAGCTACAGTATTCTGGGCTGATGGCGTCTTTCATTAGCTGGCCAGACACTAAAATGACCTTTCACCGTCGTATATTGCAGCAATGGAACGCCTGGAATAGCTCATTCTGGAACGTGATAGTACTCCTGACCCAAGATGCCGAAGTTGGTAATCAATGAATGTCGAGACTAGGGGTGTGCGTTGTGTTTTCCACATTACAAACCACAGCAGTTCGAAAGTTTACAGCCTGCGGGGCCCTGCGAACCAGGTAGCCCACCCCGCCAGCTGCCTTCGAAGACTACTGCCTTCCAGCCACGACCCCAAGAGGTACAAAGGTACACCCTGCCTCTTCGACTGCAGACGCAACATGCTGACGGAAAGCCGCCGAATCATAAACGCAGCCATGGACACAGCTGATACCCAAAAGAGTTACAGCTGTGCTGCTCTCGGCATTTACTCCAAGCTGCCGTAGCGGCCGCCAGCCACGTGCACGTGAAATCTTTCAGGATTCGTGACCAGAACCTTCCTCCCGACGTCCCCTCATGCAACACTCCAGGTACAGCCCAACGCTTCACGCATGGTCCCCTCTTGTTTCCTCCCACTGCAAGCCGCCGCTGCTACTGCCGCTGCAGCAAGGGACAAAAAGGCCCAAAATGGGTCCGCGCCCTGCTCCTTCGCCGCCTTCATCGCATGCTCAACCAGGCTGCCAGCCAGCTAGCCAGCGCGCTCCAGCCTTGCATGCTGCTGCCGCTGCCTTCTCTCCTCCGCGTCCACCGCGCTGCTGCTAGGTGGCGATGGCAGGTGAGAAAGCGCCATGGTGGCAGGCAGGCGCTCTTAGAAGAAAGCCTGCAGGTTGACGGTGATGCGGCCCGCAATCTGGTCCATGTCGCGCTGGCCGTTGGCGGTGAGGCGGCGGCCCTTCTCCAGCTTCTCCACCAGGCCGCACTCCTCCAGCTGCTTCAGGATGTGGCGAACCAGGCCGCCTAAGGGAAGGAGGGAGGCAGGGGGGCGAAAAAGGGCGGACAGGGTTACCAATAGATGAGGATCAGCGGAGACGGGCGGGCTGGTCGCAAGAGAGTTGCCCTCTGTGCATTAACCCAAGGACCTTTAAGGCTTCCTACTCCTTGTTCCACACGCCGCCATGCCTATACAACCCCATATAAGATGGGGCGATGATGAACGTCCTGGAAACCATACATGACGACACATCTCTGCTCAGCAAAGCCGAAGGTCCTCTCTTGGAACATGGCTTTCTCACACAAGCCACAACGCGAGAAAATGCCGCCATGGACTGTTGCATTCTTGCATACCGTGCTACCCCTCCATGCACCCCTTCATGCTGCCGTGGGCATACTTCTGCTTTTCGGAGTGAAACCAACCATTAGTCGGGCATTACACCGACGCTGGGACTAGCAGCACCTCTACATGCAAGTCATTGAACGTTTCCTAGAACCAACATTTGAACCGTTATGACTTGCCATGGCAAGCTTTTCAGTGCCCAACCTCCCGCACACATGCTTTGGTATGCCTGGCACTGTGTAAAGACCTGTTCGCCCTCCCATAGCCTCCCAATCCCCAAAGTCCCCGCACAACCCGTCAAGGACTGTCCAAACCCGACGCCCAAGGCACTCACCAGAGCCCTTAGCCTGCAGCTCGGGGCGCGAGCCACGCAGCTTGTTGCGGCCGCCGTACTGGATGCGGAACAGACCCACACCCATGCCCTGGCGGATGTACAGCTTGCGGGCCACCGAGGCTGCGAGGAGTAGTAGGATAGTAAGGCAGGGAAGATGTCCGTCAGTGAACCATAGAGGGAAAGGATATTCAGTGGGCGACAACGGAAACGAAGACAGAGGAGCGAGAGCCTGGGGGCATTACCGCAATTTAAGAGTCCCCAGCAGCGTGACGGCAAATCGGTGGGACCCCGGGGTAAGGCTAGATCAGCGAGTCCCAAAGGCAAACCCTCACTTCACGTGTTGCGTTCGAGATGCTCACCAGCGCGCACGTAGTACCAGTCAGGGTCGTAGGGGGCCAGCTCCTTGAACGAGCCAGTCTTCACGACATCCACCCAGCTGGGCAGCTGGATCTGCGCGCATAAAAAACCAGCGAAAAGGTAAGGTGTGGCCCCGTTGCCATTAGGAGTAGCTCCTAAAGGAAATTGCTGTGATTTCACGAAGCGGATTTCAACCATCGCCAACGCGGTTCGCCGAACTGCTCCCGGCCTGCCAGCGGAATCTAGTCCTTGAATGTCTGCAAGCTGCTGCTTCCAGATTACTAAGGCACAGGTCCGAACAGCGGTGCGATGAGCGCGGGAAGCCGCCGTCACAGCTGCACGCCTTGTAAAGGCATGGCGCAGCCTGGCAGAAGTTAACGATGATTGCAACTTCTTGCTGCTATTTAAGACGCCGTAATGCTCGACTGGCCGTCTAGTATGCTGCATGCAGGCTTGCGCAAAATTCTCCAGCGCAGCCGCTCGCCGCTGGCAAACTGCAACGCCATAAAACTGCAGCTAGGCACTGCCTCATGCTCCAGTAACGCTGGAAGTAATGCCGCCAGTTCGCCGCCTCGCCCAAGCCGCCGTGGTACCAAGCGTGCACCAAAAAGCCTACTGCAGCCTATTATTATCTAGATGAATAGGCTACTATCGCACCTTATCGTTTGCCTTCAGGTGCTTGGCGTAGGCCTCAATGAAGTCCTCAGCCGGCACATCCTTCACGCTCTTGGGCTTATAGGTAGCCATGGCTGCAGGTTGTGAAGAAGTGTCGAACTGGACACGCAGCCGGCGCTTCCTAAAGAGAGTGAAACTTGGGATGCGAGCGTGCCCTAGCCCCCCAGCGGTCAGGGGTTAACTCCAGGGACGCCCCAACGTTCCTTCCAAACTTTTTGGAATGCAAGCCCATCAACACTCTCTTAGGGACTATATGCTTTTCTGGAAACTTTATGCTTGTTAGAGTAATTAAACTTGCTTTCCTGCTTTCCTTCCCACATGCACATTTTAGGCGCAATGCACGAGTAAGTTATGGGTGCGCTTCTAACTTCATGGGCACATCGGCCTTAAGACGTCTGGAATGATAAACTGTAGTATGCTTACGTTTGGCCTGCCTATCAGCTCGGTCTGTACCGGTATTACCGTTCTCCCTCTACGTCTTTTGCTCTTGGCTTGATTTACTTGCCTTCCTGGACCTCTGGATGCTGGCAGTTTCTGTAACAAGCTGGGCGGTAGCTTTTCAAGTGGACCCCATAGGTATCTCGGGTTGTGCCATCCCCGGTTACAACCCCACTGGGCAATACTTATCGCTTCTCTCGCCGACGCAATTCCCATTTCCTTCGATTGCTGGCCATTAAGGTACGGCCACTGAAATCCCCAACCCATGTTCCTTCTCCCCTACCATCCACGTACATACAGGCTGTGAAGCCAACACCCGTTTTCCTTCCTGATTGCGTTGCCCTGGAGAACCATGCCACTGTATGCCCCTGTACATAACGCGGTATCCAATAGTCAAGTGATGCGCGCCTGAACCTTGCCACGTACCGATAGAGGTACACACTAACACACAGCGTGCAAAGAAAGGCGTTACACGGTGGCGGCGCCCTTTGCATAAGAGTACACTTCAATGTTATCAATTCCAAAGGGGGTAGAAACTCCCTAAGAAACATGCTGGAGGGACACGATAAAAGTCGAGGGCTCGCGGTCACTGTTTATAGCCCAACACACAACACCTTACGAGATTGGCCGTTTACAACACGAAGGTAAGAGCTATGCACGGATGGTGCTCGCTCTCAGGCACTTGAAGATATCGGCCAGAGCAGCACAGCTAACAGGGGAAGCACACACCCAACAAACCCACATGGCCCATGGGCCAACTGGGCCGTCGGCTCACAATCAACTTGGACAGCCATTTCCAGTCGTAGATGGCAACACACTTTCACACACATGATTACTTTGGGTTTCACTCCTGATGGACGCTCTTGCACTAGCAGCACACACGCGAACTAAATAACAGATTGGGCTCTCGTCCACATAGGGCTCTTCCACGCTCAGTAAGACGCTGCACTCGGTTAATACGGCCATCCCACGAACATGTTCCAACTTCCATGTTACGAGCAACGCTCGCTCGCTCCTACGTCTTACTCACACCCTCACACTCTCACTTTATCTACACCCCTCATATCTCTATACAATATCACACTTATCACATCCCTATCCTGCTCTGTGCGACAACGCTGCTAACTGGTATTTCTTATGTATGTACGGCAGCCTACCAGCGCCAAAGCTGCTGTACTACAATAGCCAACGCGGCTGCGCCACCACACCTCTAGTTCACTACCTATCCGTTACCATAGTTCACAGCACAGCCCTTAACAGCTCAGTAGCACCCCACATACCTCTCAAAGCGTATACACGCGCCGAGGGATCGGCCACCTACCTGACAGGTGCGTAGAGAAGTAAGTTTGAAGGCGGGGAATTTGATACTTTGCAATTGCAACAGGCACGACTAGTTCGCGGCTCAATCCATAAGCAGTCCTCACAGCAGTCCTGGTGACACCTACGAGTGCACGGCGAATACAAAGAGAAATGCATTGTCCCCGCCGTGGCCTCCCCACGTTCCCACTGCGTAGCGTGCCCCAAGGCACTCCGCACATTACTCCCCACCATGCACCCAGCTAGCACCCACGAGAGGACAGCCGAACACAGGAAGAGAACTGCAACCTCCCAACTCTCCATTCGGCCACCCCCAATCCGCCATCCAAGGCAGGCGGCCCCAACCTTCCCCTAATGCACCGCTGCTGGTCTGCCGGCGGCCCCCTGCTGCCGCCAGCTACTGCCACTTCCAACCACTGTTTTTTCCAACGCAAGCTCCAACCGCACAAATCCTGCTTACTTGACATCACCTCATGTCTACACGCGGGAGATGTCGCGCCCAAAAATCTTGGTCCTCAGCCAGTCTGCCGCCACCAGACACTGGTTCCGGAGCGAGAACTGACTCATGGTTTCGTAGCTCTTCCATGCGAAACACGCACCGAGACCAAACAGCGGACCGATGAGGGGGATGTCGAACACGGCTCGGTCGCTGCCCACATAGGCAGCGGAGCCCTTGTGGAAATAGCTGGAGGGTGCATGGGCAGGGGCATGCGAACGCGGGTATAGGCTTGAGGTTGGGTTTGCGATTGAGAAAACGAGGGCGCGGCTGGGGTTAAGAAAACACACAGACTTCAAGACGACGAGTCGCCACACTCCTTCCTTCCCCTTCCCTTGCCCCACCTGAAGGGCTTGATCTTGTCCCCCAGCTGCGAGTCCACCTCTGGGACGCCGGTGATGCGCGCCGAGGAGAAGACGCGAGCCAGGTGCTTGCCCTGCTGGTTGGCGACCTGGGGGAGGCGGAAGGGGAGAGGCGGGGGGAACGTGTATGTGTTGGGGCGAAACTGCACCATACTCATTGCTCCGGTGGCACGGTCGGCGCTAACGGTAGGCGTTACATCCAAGCTTTCTTGTTAGCAGTGTGAGCCCATACAAGATACAACCCATCTGGCGGTACACAGCCACTTCCAAGGCGTACCTGCGCAGTTGCCGGCAGCGCCCGCAAGCCCTTGTCAATCTTGCCCAGCACCTCGTGGAATTGCTCCCGAGTGAGCTCCGTGGAGCCGCTGAGCAGGGGGGCGAGCGGCTGGGAGGGGTCGTGCTGCTGAGCTGCCGGGGGCGGGGGTGCGGAAGAGGCTGGTGCCGCACCCCCATTGGTGGGGGCGGGTGAGGAGGAGGCGAAGGCGCCGGTGGTGAGGAGGGTGCGACTGACGAGGTCGCTGAAGCGCCGGATGCCGCCGGTTTGGCTGCGAGGGTTGCGATTGTGCGTGTGCGTTGTTGGGGAGAGGTGGGTTAGGGGGGAAGTAAGAGGAGGTGAAACACACACTGGGAAATGACCCATGGGCCAAACAAGCCAGTTGAGCTTACAATTCCTTTGCAGCAGAGCCCCCAGTCGTGGTTGCCTCGAACAACAGAACAGACGCAGGACACGGTATCCACACAACGCGCCCCCAGTAGGCCATCTCCCTCACCTGTCCAGGAAGCTCGCATGCTCCTGCAGGTGCGGGAACTCCCGGCTTGCGTCGCTCAGCAGCACACGCAGCTCCTCCACGCTCAGCCGCCCGTCGCGGTTGGTGTCGCCCGCCTCGAACAGCTGCTCCGCGTAGTCGAGGGCCTGCGGAGGTGGATGGGAGAAGGAGGTGAGGAGGAGGGGGAATGGAGGGAGAAACGAGTGCGTTTTCACAAAACAAATGGCACACATGGGGTAACACGCATCCCTTTTCAGCGACCAGGTGGAGAACCCCAAGCCACCCAACAAGCAAAGTGACAGCGTCGAGCGATTGTGTACGTGGAAGTCCGTTTATACGACATATTTATGCGTAGGACATCCCGCTACATGTGATTACCGGTGCAGCGGTGCTCATACCTTGGGCTGGTCGATGGTGGCTGCATCTCCCACGGCCCAGATGGATCCGTCGCTGCCCTTCACCCGCAGACACTCGTCCGTGAGCACCGACCTGGGGTGGGGAGGGGGAATGGGTGGGTGGGGAGGCGGGGGTTGCGCTCCCAACCTGGCTCCCTCTGAACTGTGCCCTTTACCAAACCAATCCACACACACCCCCAGCCTGCACCTCCCATCACATCCACCCGTCAAGCCCCCGGCCTGATACGGCCAAGTGTTGAGCTTCTTCCCTTCTACACACCTGAAGTGCGACTGCCCGGGCAGCTTCTCCTGCAGGCTGCGGATGAGTGGGTTCATGGCGATACCCGTGGCCCACACACACGCGCCGAACCTGGGGGAGCAAGGAGAGCCGGGGTGTGGGGGGACACGCGCACAGCGGTAAGCACAGCAAGCAAGGTCATATACACATAGCCTGAGAAGCACCCAAGGTCACACTTCCCAGCCGCCTTCGCATTCGTTATCGCACCCACACTCGCCAGTTATCGCCTCGAAACCGCCCACCATCGGCTGCCATAGCCACATCTGCTTCCAACAACCGCACTCGCCAACCTGCTTCCAGACCCCAACGGCTACCATCCACGCACCTACACACCCACCACCCACCACCCTACTTTATTTCGGTTGTCTGGTTGGACTTGTTGACAACACGCACGCATCCATCCTCCACACTAGACACACGGGAGTTCAGGATGAGCTTCACACCTGCAGGGGGCAGGGGCATGGAGGCGGGGGCATGGAGGCGGGGGCATGGAGGCGGGGGCATGGAGGCAGGGGCATAGAGGCGGGGGCATGGAGGCAGGGGCATGGAAGGGGGGCAGGGGGGCAGGGGCAGAGGTAAAGGGTTCGGCGGGGCGGCGGGGAAGCGGTGTCGGGCTTGCGGAAATGGATTGGCGGCGTGAAGAAGGACCGGTGCGGGGCCACGCACGAGTCAGCGCATGCTTGCGCGCTCACCCCGGCTATCCAGGTCATGAGCAATCCCCACCTCTTCTTCACCCCAGTTCCTACTCCTCTCCGCCCCATGCACGCCCCTTTACCCCTCGCTCCACCCCTCTACCCCTCAGCTCCCCCCACTCCCAATCGCCTTGCCCCTCACTTGTGGTTTGGTTATCCTCTTACACCAGCATCACCCCCTGACCCCTTACCCGCGCGCTTGAAGTGTTCGTGCGTGTAGAGCGAGATGGCTCGGTCGTAGGTGGAGAGCACGTGGTCCATCAGCTCCACGATCTGGATCGAGGCCTGAGAGCAGGCAGGCAGGCAGCACATGCAGGAACCGCATGATTGCATGCCGTACATTTGCGGGTCACGATAAGGCAGTAAAAAGGGTTTCCCTCCAATCGGTCTTTGCAAAGTTAAGAACTCCCTCCGTTGTGTTATGCATGAACTAGTGTATCCCAAGCGTATCCATGCTTAACTCACATCCTTCACGATGTTGGGGTACAGCTTGGCCAGATCCTCCTGGATCATGTCGTACAGCTCCGCCGCCACCTCCACCCCGGTGGGCCCCCCGCCCACAACCACGAAGGTGAGCAGCTTGCGGCGCTCCTGAAGGGGAGGGAAGCAGGAGCGAGGAACGGGGATGAGGGGAAGCAAAGAAGACCGGGTGGGTAATTGGAATGAGGATGAGGGTTAAGAGGTTGGGTAGTTGAGATGAGGAAGAGGGTTAAGAGGCGTGGTGGTTGAAGAAACGTGCTGCGGGTTGAGGTTTACATCCGTACTTCCTCCTTCCCCACGCCCTCCCTGCCCCCTCTCTCCAGGGTGGTGGTTTGCACCCCATGGCGAAGCCTATATGTGCCACAGCTCGCCCGCTTCTTCCTCTTTATCCCCGCCCACCGCTCCCACCCCCTCTCCCTCACCTCCTCCGGGGTGGCCGGCAGCGCCGCGCGCTCGAAGCACTCGCTCACTCGCGCCCGCAGCCTGCCCGCGTCCTCAATGGACTTGAAAAAGGTGCAGTGCTTCTCCACACCGCGGATGCCAAAGGTGTTGATCACCGAGCCCACCTGCAATGTACGGCGGATGTGCGGCATGTACGACAGCGGTGTGCGGAGCGGTTTGTGGACAGGGTAGGGAGCGAGACGTTATGTGTAGGCAAGGGATACCGTTGAAGGGAAGTCCAAGAGGAGCGGCTTTGGGGTACGGGTTACTGGTGTGGTAGTGGCGATATAGGGGGCGACTTAGGCTGTAAGTGCCGTGTCGTGCCACTGCACGTTTTCGCGCCCGTTACCCCTCTCTCCCGCCGCTCCCCCCCCCCTTGCTCACTGCATGAGTCGGGATATGGGATTGGGACTCGTTGTTTCAATTTTCCCCCCTGCTCCTCACCGCCAGCACCAGCACGTCGTAGCTGAGTTTGAAGCAGGCGCTGTCGAGTCCCGCGTCCTCGGGGAAGCAGCAGACCAGTTCCTTGGACACCGGGTCGATATCCTTACACAGCGCCTCGTAGAACTCGCCCTACATGTGGTGCAGATACAAGCCAGGCAAACACACATGTGTCTTTGTTGCTAAGTATGCGTTTTTGGAGACGTGATGGCCCTCTGTACGGCGCTGACCGAGGAAGTTTACCCCGTGCACGATGTCTTGCATCTTTTTGTACGACATCAGACCCATGGACGTCTCATGAGAAGTATTGTTCCCATCATGTGCCCAAATGTGTACCTTGCCTACGATGAAGTTGCGGACGGGCTCCACAATAGACCTGCGTGGTGTTGGATAGTGACAACATATCCAGGTGTTTGTGGCGGCACCCGGAAAGGGCAATAGCAGCAGCTGTCAGCAACAACTGGCGGGAGAACATAGCTTTAGCGACGAGGAAGACCTTTGACCAGATTGAAACCCTAGTCGTACAATCGATGAATGTACTGCGGTAGTTACATCCTCAGCACTGTGAAGCGACTACACATGGAGCCGTCTTATACTCACCGTTCTTCCATTGTTCCTGTCGCAACCGCTGGGAGCAGCGGTGTATACAGGAAGTAGTTCCGGGGCGAAACGACGATGAGCTCGTAGGTCTCGCTGCAAGGTAGACAAAAGAAACCCCGTCAGTGAGGTTGTAGCTATGCGGAGAAGCCGCGACACTTGCAGGCCTTAATGCTAACTAGGGCAGCTGTCGCGCAAGCCAAGAATTATTGATACTGGATTACGCGCAGAGCGCCAGGATGTTGAACTAACCTGATGTTCGATGGCAAGCCCTTAATAAAACTCATCGCTCCCCACCCAGAGCCCAGGACCACAAGCCGAGGCCGGGTTGTCTTGGTGCTGGAGTCCATGTTATAATAAACGCCCGTCTGTGTTTCGACCTGCCGCGCAAAGTAAAGCGGTTTTCAACAGCTATGGAGTAGGCCAAGCCCGGCCTAGGTCGGTGCAACGCAGCCCTTGCAAGCATGCGGCTCGCCATGATTACGCTCACCGCTGGTGCCGGCGCTTCGCGCGTTATGATAGCATTGCAAACCATGGGCCTCCTCGCAACTGAGCGCGCACAACGCAGTCCAGCGCGTTTGTTGACCGCCGCATGGCGACTGGCGACCGTCACCTTCCTGGTGATGTGCGACTCAGCGTCCTGAGCTCGACGGCCCGCGTCCCTTACGCGTTTACCCTCTAGTGCCTGCATATTTCGTGTCTATGACACCTGCGGTGTTCAGCAGCCTCAAGCGTGGGGAGCGGTTGGATGGAACTGTGCGGTGGAGCTTCTGGTATTAATACCTGACACAAGAAATGAAAGTTCTACAGTTTTCTTAGCAATTCAAAGCGAGTGAGCATTACGGTGCAGAATGGTGTTGCTGCCCGTTGAGCGTCCGTTTACCGTGCATGCGTTTGCAGGCCTTACATATGACAGATGTGAGACCGGGTTGACGGCAGGCTTAGCTTAAACGCACGCCATCAGTTACGAACAGAAGAGTTCGCAAGTACCTTACCATGTCACAGTATCAATACTTCACGCGAGGCCGTATGTTGCACGGCCATGAACGGCCAGGAACAATCAAGTGATCAACCGTCGCAGTAATGCCTCTTTGTTAAGTTACCGGGCCACAGACCCAAGGATCGACACTCCTTATCAAGTACATTTCTTTCAGGATATCTGTTGGTGCCAACCGACGTTGGCGCCAGTGACGGGCTTCTGGAACCCTAGGGGCACGTAGCTGCCAACACAATAGGCCCATACTTAACGTTTTCTCAGTATCGTCCTTAGGTGTCCTTTGACAAGCGTCTTTGTCAGCCGTATCTTTGCAACGTGTCATTGGGCAACTGATGGCTGGTGCACGTTGAGGAGTCGACGTATTGACAGGCCTTCGCGGGCTTGCAGTGATGCGTGGACTAGGTGACGTGCACAGCAGAACAATACTCGCCCGAAAGCATTGAGAATTCAACCCAAAACATCACACATTCTCTCCTCCCAACCCGCTTCCCTAACCCCCCAAACGCCCCACACCTGTCTGTCAGTTCCTGTCCCGCTCGCCTCCCCCTTTCCACTATAACCTCATAGGTCATAGCGCATTCCAATCCTCCTGATACACACCCTACTAGCAGCGACTACGCCCAGCACTATAGCCTAACTTGGCACGCGCAGTTCCCTCCCGCGTTAGTCATAGCAGCAGCAGCAGCACGTATGCCGTACGCTGCTTGTGCTGCTACAAAAGCCGCTGCCGCCGTTGCTATACCCCTTACGCACTCCTAAGCTTCCAAGCCGCCATTACCGTTACTGCGCGTGCATGAGGCGGCGCAGCAACATAAGCTACTACAGCCCACCACCGCCATTGCCGTTGCTGCCAGTAACAGCCCATGCCCCTGCTGCTGCTCATGCTCCTGTCCTCAATGCATCCACACAGCTACACAGCTACACAGCTACACAGCTACGACTGGAGAGGCTTGCTGCTGGTGCTGCCACGCGTAGATAGGATGGGGTTCTGACCCTCGGGGAACAGCTCCGCAAACTGGCCATCCACGCTGCCATCCGTGTTACCGCTGATCCCTAAGAGAGAGTGGAAGAAACGGGTTTTCGCTTTCAGCTTTCCACACAATCAGTTAATGGGGGAAACGCCAAACCAAAAGGAGGACACAGGACAGAGCATCACACAGACCCCAAGGGACAGGTCGCAAGTAACAATGCGCTCTCCTCATGTCCCTTCACGAACAAGAATCACACAAAAAGCAGAATAAGGGTTGAGCCTCTCACCTGCCCCCTCCGCTGCTGCTACCCCAGAAGCGGTTGCGCCTGCCGTTGTGGAGTACGACGACGATGGCGGCTGTTGTGCGGCACCCCCGCTGCTGCCACCCCCCGGCAGCTTCAGTCCGCTGTTGCCCGGCAGTTGGCCCCCGGCGGATGATGACACGGCCGGTGACGAGGAGGCGGCGCCGGCGGGTGGTTGCAGTGAGTTTTGCTGCATGAGGGAGCGGTAGATGGTCATGGCCTGCGCCACCATCCCCGAGGGGTCCCCGGCGTTGGCCGGGAGGACCAGGGTGGTGGAGTCCTTGGCTAGGTGGCGGAAGGCCTGAGGAGGAGGGGCAGGAGGAGGCGGGGGAAAAGCAGAAAACGTAAAGGATAGTAGGAAGCGGGGGGAGGATGGGAGGGATGTGTATCGGGTTATGCGCAGGGAGGTGTGGGATGACTAGTGCAGAGGCGTGGGTGATGAGGTGGGTAGCCGCAGCGACCACGATGCACACACATGGTGGAGGCTTGCCAGTTGCCACACTATTAAGTCTCTCCTCTGTACCACCCCAACCCGCCCCTCCCACCTCCAGGTACTTCTCCGCCACCCTCAGCGCCGCCGCCTCTGCACCGCCTCCCCTTGTCAGTGCAGCGCTCACCACTCCCAGACTCCTGCATGGGGGGGAGGGGTGCAATGTAGGAAGTTAGGAAGAGTTTCATGCAACTATACGGCACGGCACAAGCATCATTCTAGTTGAGTACCAAGCAAATTACCGGTAGGTCAACCGGTGCTGTGTATGACACACAGCACAAGCAGCATATAGCATGTGTACCATGTAAAAGGGTTAGCCGGGATATGGAATGTACGACAGCATTACCGTACTGTTGCCCCACATTCCCACCTTGCAGTTGCCTGGGCGGTTTGGAACAGCGCCTCCGCCTCTCCCTGAGCCAGGTTGATAGCTTGCTGGCGGGATGCCTCAGAGGCTAGGATGACCTGTACGGCAGATTCAGTTGTGCATGTACGACATGTAAACAATAGTACAGGTGTGTAGGATTCCGTATACGACATGCAATTTACGACACGCATTTGAGAAGAGGATACGGGTGGTAGTAGTTCCTCGAACACCGTCACCGCACCACACCTCCCTCCCCCCGGCCCCACCTGCTGCTTGTCCGCCTCCGCCACGTTGATCTTGCTCTGCCGTACTCCCTCACTCTCCAGGATGCTGGCACGCTTGCGGCGCTCAGCCTCGGCCTGGGGGTGGTGGTGGAGGGTGGGTTGGGCCGGTTCTAGGTGGGTAAGGAAAGTGAGGTAAAGAAAGCCAGTTATCCGAATCCCAATACTCGTTGCCCTTCCCATGACCGTTGAGGCTGGGGTTGGACAATTTGTGTTTGGGCGTGTGTAACAGCACCCGTACACAACCCGTGTCGTGAACACATTCGTCCTCATCCCAGAGTCTGGTGTCCCGTACGACGCACACACCATACCTGCAGCTCCATGGCTTGTACGATACCCCGCGGTGGCATGATATCCTTGATCTCGTACCTGCGGGGAGTACGACATGGACGCGACAGGTTCGCAAGCATGTATGTTCGACAGGTGGTTGTACGACAAAGACACCCAAGGCGCGCTTTACCACGTCTACCCACGGGCACGCCCTCAGCCGCATCTCCTCCTCAACCTGACCAGTTTAAACTACATTCCATCGAGTGGCCCCCTTCCTCCCTCTGTAGGTACCCTCCGCTACCACCTCTCTCTTCACCCTCCCCCCGGCAACTAGAACAGCCAGCTTTCTTCCGCCCGCTCGCTGGAGCGTCAACAATCCATCATCACCACGGACTCGGTATCGGTAGGGAATACTAACCAACACTTTCTCTTGTGGCACCCTGCCGCCTCCTACTCCCATTGCTTTGCCCTAACCTGTGGTCTCCTATGGTTTGGTATGGTCTTTGCCCCTCCCCCCCCGGCACACACACACACCCAAAACGTTCCTACTCGCGGCCAGTTTTCTAAACACACCTGAGGCACTGCAGCCCCCACGCCTCCGCCGCCTCATTGATGGCTCGCACGATGTTGTGGTTGAGGGCCTGGGGGGAGTGGGAATAGGGTGCATGGTGGACGAAAAGGGCAAGATGGGTGGTGGGAGCGGTGGTGGGGGCGCCCCCTGCTCTCCGCTGAACCCCGCCAGCTGCCCTACACCTATCCGGAGGCCCAACACCGTTCCCCACAGATCTCCCCTCCCAAAATACACACGCCACCAGCCCGCACCTCTCGCTCCTCAAAGGTCTTGTCCAGCGTGATCTTACCCAGCTCGCTGTTGTCATGAGGGAGGGGTGCAGAGGGGGAGACGAGTGGAGAAGACGGGTGAGGCGTTGGAGAAAAGGGTGGGGGGTCGAGAGGAGGGGGGCCGACATGTAAATGCAACTGTGTACTCTGTACGACACACCCGCGGGAATGCAGGCACACGCTACGCCCCGCAGCCCCATCCTCCCCTGCCCTCCCCAGCCGACTCAATGTCCCGCACCCCCCCCTTCTTTTGCTTTATGACAATCTGCTGCTCTCTATCCCCAGTGCTTTGCCCTAATACGTGGCTTTGGTATATACCTAGCTCCACCCTCTCAGCACCAAGCCCAGCACCCTCTAGTTAGCTGGGTCGGCAATGAGGATGCAACCCATGCATGGAGCCCTGTCGCACCGCTATTCCTCGCCCTCCTTGTTCCCCAGATGTATTTACACACACACACACACCTGCGCATGGTGGTTTGCGCCAACTGCCCCACCGCATACAACGCATTGTCGACTCCGTAGCTGGCCTTGAAGGCGTCAACCACCTGTCGTACAAGGAGCGACGCGGAACGTTCGTTAGTTGTTAGTCAGACTAACAATTACTAACAACCGTTTTGCGTTCGCAAACCATGCATCGCCCGGTTACCACATGTATACCTAACGTACATTTCCAGCTACGTACGTGACTAGTGCAATACACAGAACCCATGTCGTACACCCCACTCGTACCTTTACGTACAGCACCCCATCAATGGTGATGGTGACGTTGTCCTTAGTAATGGCGGTTTGCTGGCTGATGGGGATGGCCAACTCCTTGAGGGAGTGCACGTACGCCACTCGGTCCACCTGAACGGGTACGGATGACCCATGGGTCACACATCAGCAGCACCAGTGAGGCAGACGAAACACAGTGGCAATGCGCGAGGTTTCGGGGCAATCGCATGCGCATGTGAGTCAACGTGGCTCCTCCACGCTTGGCCTCCCTGGCGCGAGATCTTACATGTCTACAGATCTCCAAAGCTTCAAGCCAATTCAATCCAATCGTACCCACAAACGCGTCCCTTCCCCGGCGACACCGTGTACACCTACACTTGCCAGAGGAAGAGGCGGAGAAAACCCTCCAACAAAATCCTTTCCCTCCCGCTCTTAGGAGTACAGCAACACCACCCGTTTGTGTTGTCCACATCAGTTGCGCTCTGCGTAACTGCGGCCCCCTTCCCCTCCCCTTCCTCCTTCCTACCAGCGGGATGAGGAAGTGCAGTCCCGACCCAAGGGTCTCCCGGTAGCGACCGAAGCGCTCCACCACGTACGCCGTCTTCTCGGGCACAATACTGGTTGTGAAGGTACGGGTTGGGGCGGTGGGGGGGGGGCGGCATGGGGGAGGAGGGACAGGGTGAGTAGGGATGGGGGGAAGGAGGTGTGGGATGGGGGAATCGGTGCATCAACGGTCAGGGGAAGGCGGGAAGGAGGTCCATGGGAGGGCAACATGTGTGCAACACATGGGCGATCGGTGCGTGAGAGACACACACGCGTACGGATGATGCCAGCCTCCTTTGCCCCAGCGACAGGAGAGGTGGGTTTGCCGTAGTCTCTTCATTCCTTCCGCCAACTACCTACCATGAAACTACGGGGAATATAGGGGAGAAATCCCACATGTATCCGCTTGTGCAACACGCACGACAACCCGGTGCGCACATGCTGCTTGACACTCGTCCGGCCTCGCAAACCCTTCCTCCCAAGCGCACATGGACGACACTTCCGGACCCTTAAGTATCACCGGCCATACTCACAGCACGCCCATGTTGGCAGGAGGAGGCAGCGGGTAGTAGTAGTCCGAGCCCATATCGCGCCTGGGGAAGCCGCCGCCAACGCGCATGTGCTGTGATGATGATGTCGCGATGCCGCGAGCTGCGCGGCCAAACGGCCTGTAGATGGCGCCCGACGCCGCGGCGAGGCCCAAGATAGGCGCAGCGCCATCTGTAGTTATGCTGCTGGAGCAGCCCGGTAAGCTGGTGTCTAGCGCCGGAAGGGCTGTGGACACGAGAGGCCGTCCGCTACGACATATCGCATGCCGAGCTGCAAATTGCAGCAGCCTATTGCCGCTGTGCATGCTCAAGGTTTATACTTGAAAGGAGGATGTGCTTTTGTGGCAGTTGGCCTCGTAAGGGTGATCGAGTAGACAGGCAGACGGCAAGCAAGAGGCTTACGGACTTACTCAGGATGAGGAAGGATACGCTAGAGGTCAACACGTCAGGATTTGGCTTTGGTTGCGTGAAATGGCACCCAGGTGCTAGTACGGCACACTATAGGTCCAGAATCCGTGAATCCCCTGCAAGCGACAGTGGGGTCCCTATATGAGAGACTTCTTATTATGCGTTCATAAGGTTGATAATGTTGCCTTGCATGAAGCCCACCTGTGCATAAATTGTAGTGGACTTGGCATTCCCAGGCAAAGCGCACTTGCATTACTAGGCGCATTACTTGAATCTAGGCGCACTTGCATTACTTTCGCTTCAAATCGAAGAAACTGCCGGTGGCGCTGCACCAGAGGCCCTTCCGTGTATGACTACAAATAAGCCCCTTGGCGCCCCCGTCCCGGCTGAGCTTATGGTAGAACGGCGCTTACTATGCACAACTAACTGGCAATCCCAATAACGCACTCCAATGCTACCCTGCCATCCTTGTCCTCCGCATGCCTGGTGTTGCTGACGAGCAGTAGGCACAGCGGAGTAACTCAGTAGCGCACCGTTAGGCGCGGGACTTGCCAGTTGTCCAGTATTGCACTGAACAACGAAACAAGAGAACCACCTTGCTAACACGCGAAGCTTAAGCAGCCCTGAGGACTCGGGCTGCCGTCATGGTGTCGTACACCACCATGCCAAGAACCCACCCAGTACGCGAGTTAACCCGGCTATAGCTACGCATAGCTCGCATTAATTAATGACCGCGGGACATAGGTTTGTTGCTGTATGCTGTACGGCCGCAAGCTGAGCTGGCCTAATTCACCGTGTGACATGTCCCTTGCGCATGAAGGGTTCCTGCTTCCCTTCCCTCCACGGCCTCCGCCGGGAGGCGCGGGAAGAACCGAATTACATGATGTGTACATCAGCTAACTGACAGCAGCCTTATGCCCTTGCTTGCAACATGGTTTAGATCTAAATCGTGGAGACTGTTGCGGCCACCTACAATCTTCGCATGATAGCAGTCACTCAAACAAGCCTGAAACAAACCTTCATTCATAGAATAACCCAACAGAGGCGTAATGTCGTGATCTGGCCCAATGGTGCTTACGTGCCCAGTGCTGGTGGGCAGCAGCCCGTGCAGCCGCGTTTGGGGCCGGCTCCAGCACCCGCCACGCCCTTCCGTGTTGAGCAGCAGCGCACTCGCTTTGGAATGGGGGCGGCCGCCTCGCAGCCGCCCATGCATGGTCCCCCACCGTACTACTGATCTGGCCCAATGGTGCTTACGTGCCCAGTGCTGATGGGATGGGCGGTTTTCACCATGGTATGAACGATCCATGCCAAAGGGCTCAACCTTGGGGTACATGTACCCCAAACGCCCGAGGGCCTTATGCCCGCAGCGTCTCCCAGCACGCGTTTCCGTGCGAACAGGCACGATTCACGTGTAGACGCCCGCCACAGTGCACGGCGCCGCGTTTGGGGCCGGCTCCAGCACCCGCCACGCCCTTCCGTGTTGAGCAGTAGCGCACTCGCTTTGGAATGGGGGCGGCCGCCTCGCAGCCGCCCATGCATGCATGCATGCATGCATGCGCAGACGACGTGTATGTGCGTGGGATGCGCAGGTAGATAGGGCCACCACCCATGCAGGCGCTGCTGATCCAGCAGCTCCTGGGCCCGCCTCTTAGATAGCCAGGCCTCCACGCACGCACATACAGCAGGCCTCCCTGGCCCGCCAGCCAGGCGTGTGCGCATAGGACCGGCCGCGGGGTGCAGGGACGGCCTGCAGGCCTAAGGGGGCCTCCCGCCAACCCAGTTACGCGGCCAAACACGCAAAAAGTCGGTTTGTGAGGGCTGCAAAACAGATCGTCACCAGGGGTTCGCACGTGGTCCCCCACCGTACTACTGATCTGGCCCAATGGTGCTTACGTGCCCAGTGCTGATGGGATGGGCGGTTTTCACCATGGTATGAACGATCCATGCCAAAGGGCTCAACCTTGGGGTACATGTACCCCAAACGCCCGAGGGCCTTATGCCCGCAGCGTCTCCCAGCACGCGTTTCCGTGCGAACAGGCACGATTCACGTGTAGACGCCCGCCACAGTGCACGGCGCCGCGTTTGGGGCCGGCTCCAGCACCCGCCACGCCCTTCCGTGTTGAGCAGTAGCGCACTCGCTTTGGAATGGGGGCGGCCGCCTCGCAGCCGCCCATGCATGCATGCATGCATGCATGCGCAGACGACGTGTATGTGCGTGGGATGCGCAGGTAGATAGGGCCACCACCCATGCAGGCGCTGCTGATCCAGCAGCTCCTGGGCCCGCCTCTTAGATAGCCAGGCCTCCACGCACGCACATACAGCAGGCCTCCCTGGCCCGCCAGCCAGGCGTGTGCGCATAGGACCGGCCGCGGGGTGCAGGGACGGCCTGCAGGCCTAAGGGGGCCTCCCGCCAACCCAGTTACGCGGCCAAACACGCAAAAAGTCGGTTTGTGAGGGCTGCAAAACAGATCGTCACCAGGGGTTCGCACGTGGTCCCCCACCGTACTACTGATCTGGCCCAATGGTGCTTACGTGCCCAGTGCTGATGGGATGGGCGGTTTTCACCATGGTATGAACGATCCATGCCAAAGGGCTCAACCTTGGGGTACATGTACCCCAAACGCCCGAGGGCCTTATGCCCGCAGCGTCTCCCAGCACGCGTTTCCGTGCGAACAGGCACGATTCACGTGTAGACGCCCGCCACAGTGCACGGCGCCGCGTTTGGGGCCGGCTCCAGCACCCGCCACGCCCTTCCGTGTTGAGCAGCAGCGCACTCGCTTTGGAATGGGGGCGGCCGCCTCGCAGCCGCCCATGCATGCATGCATGCATGCGCAGACGACGTGTATGTGCGTGGGATGCGCAGGTAGATAGGGCCACCACCCATGCAGGCGCTGCTGATCCAGCAGCTCCTGGGCCCGCCTCTTAGATAGCCAGGCCTCCACGCACGCACATACAGCAGGCCTCCCTGGCCCGCCAGCCAGGCGTGTGCGCATAGGACCGGCCGCGGGGTGCAGGGACGGCCTGCAGGCCTAAGGGGGCCTCCCGCCAACCCAGTTACGCGGCCAAACACGCAAAAAGTCGGTTTGTGAGGGCTGCAAAACAGATCGTCACCAGGGGTTCGCACGTGGTCCCCCACCGTACTACTGATCTGGCCCAATGGTGCTTACGTGCCCAGTGCTGATGGGATGGGCGGTTTTCACCATGGTATGAACGATCCATGCCAAAGGGCTCAACCTTGGGGTACATGTACCCCAAACGCCCGAGGGCCTTATGCCCGCAGCGTCTCCCAGCACGCGTTTCCGTGCGAACAGGCACGATTCACGTGTAGACGCCCGCCACAGTGCACGGCGCCGCGTTTGGGGCCGGCTCCAGCACCCGCCACGCCCTTCCGTGTTGAGCAGTAGCGCACTCGCTTTGGAATGGGGGCGGCCGCCTCGCAGCCGCCCATGCATGCATGCATGCATGCATGCGCAGACGACGTGTATGTGCGTGGGATGCGCAGGTAGATAGGGCCACCACCCATGCAGGCGCTGCTGATCCAGCAGCTCCTGGGCCCGCCTCTTAGATAGCCAGGCCTCCACGCACGCACATACAGCAGGCCTCCCTGGCCCGCCAGCCAGGCGTGTGCGCATAGGACCGGCCGCGGGGTGCAGGGACGGCCTGCAGGCCTAAGGGGGCCTCCCGCCAACCCAGTTACGCGGCCAAACACGCAAAAAGTCGGTTTGTGAGGGCTGCAAAACAGATCGTCACCAGGGGTTCGCACGTGGTCCCCCACCGTACTACTGATCTGGCCCAATGGTGCTTACGTGCCCAGTGCTGATGGGATGGGCGGTTTTCACCATGGTATGAACGATCCATGCCAAAGGGCTCAACCTTGGGGTACATGTACCCCAAACGCCCGAGGGCCTTATGCCCGCAGCGTCTCCCAGCACGCGTTTCCGTGCGAACAGGCACGATTCACGTGTAGACGCCCGCCACAGTGCACGGCGCCGCGTTTGGGGCCGGCTCCAGCACCCGCCACGCCCTTCCGTGTTGAGCAGTAGCGCACTCGCTTTGGAATGGGGGCGGCCGCCTCGCAGCCGCCCATGCATGCATGCATGCATGCGCAGACGACGTGTATGTGCGTGGGATGCGCAGGTAGATAGGGCCACCACCCATGCAGGCGCTGCTGATCCAGCAGCTCCTGGGCCCGCCTCTTAGATAGCCAGGCCTCCACGCACGCACATACAGCAGGCCTCCCTGGCCCGCCAGCCAGGCGTGTGCGCATAGGACCGGCCGCGGGGTGCAGGGACGGCCTGCAGGCCTAAGGGGGCCTCCCGCCAACCCAGTTACGCGGCCAAACACGCAAAAAGTCGGTTTGTGAGGGCTGCAAAACAGATCGTCACCAGGGGTTCGCACGTGGTCCCCCACCGTACTACTGATCTGGCCCAATGGTGCTTACGTGCCCAGTGCTGATGGGATGGGCGGTTTTCACCATGGTATGAACGATCCATGCCAAAGGGCTCAACCTTGGGGTACATGTACCCCAAACGCCCGAGGGCCTTATGCCCGCAGCGTCTCCCAGCACGCGTTTCCGTGCGAACAGGCACGATTCACGTGTAGACGCCCGCCACAGTGCACGGCGCCGCGTTTGGGGCCGGCTCCAGCACCCGCCACGCCCTTCCGTGTTGAGCAGCAGCGCACTCGCTTTGGAATGGGGGCGGCCGCCTCGCAGCCGCCCATGCATGCATGCATGCATGCGCAGACGACGTGTATGTGCGTGGGATGCGCAGGTAGATAGGGCCACCACCCATGCAGGCGCTGCTGATCCAGCAGCTCCTGGGCCCGCCTCTTAGATAGCCAGGCCTCCACGCACGCACATACAGCAGGCCTCCCTGGCCCGCCAGCCAGGCGTGTGCGCATAGGACCGGCCGCGGGGTGCAGGGACGGCCTGCAGGCCTAAGGGGGCCTCCCGCCAACCCAGTTACGCGGCCAAACACGCAAAAAGTCGGTTTGTGAGGGCTGCAAAACAGATCGTCACCAGGGGTTCGCACGTGGTCCCCCACCGTACTACTGATCTGGCCCAATGGTGCTTACGTGCCCAGTGCTGATGGGATGGGCGGTTTTCACCATGGTATGAACGATCCATGCCAAAGGGCTCAACCTTGGGGTACATGTACCCCAAACGCCCGAGGGCCTTATGCCCGCAGCGTCTCCCAGCACGCGTTTCCGTGCGAACAGGCACGATTCACGTGTAGACGCCCGCCACAGTGCACGGCGCCGCGTTTGGGGCCGGCTCCAGCACCCGCCACGCCCTTCCG